GGGGATATTACTCAGCAGGACGCCGTCATCGCTCTCTGAGTGAGTCCGCGATCGCTAGCCTTACTGGGTTTATGTGCAGGCGAGAACTTTTCGCAAATTGTGCCAATGACTCCAGCGGTGATCGTCAGCCTCGCGCATCGTCGAAATCGTGTGAGGCAAATGGTAAAGCCTGGTGAGACAAGCAGTGTAAAATGATGCATATCATCGACATACAATCTCTTTCTGAAAAATCTGCAATCACCATTTAATGTCGTTATGGCATAGAATGGCGGTGTCAGGTGTTATTGGAGCGCAATTCCGGGTCACGTGTGCCGCAAGTGACACTTTTAATGGTGCTAACCCCAGTGGCGAGTGAGCCGACACTACCATTAACTCTTGACGAAAATTCTTTATCTATTTGAATTTAATTATTCATTAGCCACAATATTCACCAGCCACGTATTTACGATGCAAATTACTTGCAAATTTTCAATGATAGAAAGTCCTTGTTTGGTTACCTCCTCGAGGCGCTCGCCTCTTAAACATTGCGCACAGGCGCCCGGGGGGTTATATCGACTTGCTTCAGCAACATCGGCGCTTCAAATAACTCACGCCACACGCCCCGGATCCCGCTGGCACTATCCTCATTCTCTTATACCTCAAGGTCCACCCTGATCGCCGTGTTTTTCGTTTTGTTTGACCGGCTGAGGCGCTCACGATGATGGACGACACCTCGAAGCAGGCGGTGGCTTTATTCGAACAGGCCGCCGACAAGGAGTCCCACGGCCACATGAGCGACGCTTTATCATTATACCGACAGGCGTACAAGCTCCACGAGCACGTCGACCAGCTTTATCGGGCGCAAATGGTGCCGGCGAAGATTGATGGACTACGACAAGAACGCGGCAAAAACGCCGGCGTCCGTGTCGACGACGACGCCGTGCTGAGGATAGACGTCGACAAACTCCTTCGGCTGTTTGAGAATGTGGCTGCCGAGGCTCCTGACGGCACCAACGACGATTCTCATCTCACGATCAAATTGGCAAAAATGGGGCTCGAAGAAGACGACGAAATCGTCGATCTCCAGCCGATCCTGCCATTGGAACACCTTCCAGAGGACGTGTGGATGAACATACTTGAGATTCTCGTCGCTACTGACCCGGTGGCGTGGTTTAAGTGGCTGATTTGCTGTAAGCGCCACGCCTATCTCGGACTCCTGGACCACCTGACGGTGTGGCGCCAGTTGTGCTACCTCATATACCCCAAGCAACACTGGGCGGAAAACGTATACCTGCGAACATTGGCGGATGAAGTGATCCCAAGCGATTTACTCAAAGTGCTCCCTCAGTACGATAACCTGTGGAAAGTAATGCTTAAGACTCGACCATTTATTAAATTCCTCGGGTGCTATATTCTGGCCGTCAATTTCTATTCCGAAGGTGGAAAGCTGGAGTTCTCTAGCTCGTGGACTAACCCCGTGAAGATCACTACTTATTACCGCTACCTCCGGTTCTACCCTGACGGTATGGTCGCCAAAGTGCGTACTCTGCTTGAACCGACAAAAGTGGTACCTCAGCTCCTGCGACATAACCAGCTGGTACGTACACTGGCCCTCCCTGAACTGGGCCCACTACAAGTGGTTAAGGACCCCCACATGATCCAACACGGGCGTTGGACCATCAGCTCCGAGGGGCGGGTGGTGGTGACCATCGACAACGCCAACAAGTACTACCGCCTCGACTACACCTTCGACATCAAGCTGATCGGCGGGCTCATGCGCCACGCCAAGCTCTCGTGGAACAAGTGTGTCGGCACCCGCAAGAGCCAGTTCCTCAACGACGACCGCGAAGGCGAGGTCGAGGAGTTTTCGTTGCGAAACGAGAAGCCGTTCAAGTTCTCTCGCGTCGCGTCGTACACTTACACAAACTAAACCTGCATCCTTGAACAACATAGACACTTAATACAACATATTAGACTTAGGCCTGAGTTTACCATGCTTCAAATGTGTAATCACCTCGGTGTTGTATACATTGGGTTTGGGTCGACAGTGCCTATCATTTAGAGATCTAAACACATAGTAGTGGGAGTTGAGAGGAAAATCTGTTTGAAACTTAATCGAATATCAGCTGCACTTTGGTCGTCGATAACTGCGTTCCTTCGTGATCACCATACTCATGATAGTGATTCAAATATGTGAATGAAAGCGGCTAACTTCCTCTCAGAGAATGCCATATCCTTTCAAAAACTGGTTACTTGATTTCTCCAAGATGATAATTATAAGAAGGTCTATTAAATCTATATATTCGAAATAACGATGCAATTAAAGGTTGAGGCCGCCGCGGTTGGCAAATTGGCGGTAGTAGTCCAACATTTCCGGAGTGATCCCCTTGGAGATGCCCTCGATGGCGTGTTCAAAGTGTCGCTTATACACCCTGGTGGCCAGTTTATCTTCCATGATCGCCGCAAGCCCCGCTTCCTGACACAACAATGCCACTTCGGCCCCCAGACAACCATCGGTGGCAGCAGCCAACTCGGCAATGTCTACGTCATCACCGAGACTAAACTTTTTGGTGTTATTACTGATGATCTGAGTCCGCGCTTCCTCATCGGGAGGAGCAACATAGATGTGACGGTCTAAGCGACCGGGACGTAAAAGAGCCGGGTCAATTTCAGTGGGCCGGTTGGTGGCAGCCACGATCACCACACCTTTCAATTCTTCCACCCCATCGATCTCGTTAAGCAACGATGTAAGCACATTCAGCCCCGTCAGTGTCAGCGCCAGCTCTCGGTCAATGGCAATGGCATCGATCTCGTCAAAGAAGATAATCAGAGGAGACGCGGCTCGAGCCTTGCGGAAGATTTCGCGGATGGCCTTTTCCGATTCACCCACGTATTTGTTCAAGATTTCGGGACCTTTGACGGCAAGGAAATTGAGTCCTGATTCAGTGGCAAGCGCCTTAGCGGTCAACGTTTTCGAGCACCCGGGAGGACCATAAAGAAGCACCCCCTTAGGAGCCAGCACCCCAAGCAGGGCGAAGGTATCGGCGGCTTCCAACGGCAATTGGACTACTTCTACAAGTTTCCGCTTGAGCTCGTGTTGGCCGCCAATATCGCTCCAGTACACCTTGGGAGTTTCCAAGAAGATCTCCCTCATCGCCAGCGGTCTGATTTCGGGTAAAGCAGCAAGCATATCGTCTAGTTCCACTTTCGGTTTACCGTTTTTGATGGTGTGCATTACCCCTTCCCGGACCAACGCCGTTAAATCGGCCCCGACATACCCATGGGTTTTAGACGCGATTAGTTCAATATCGTCTTCACTCAAGTTTTGACGTTCAGGGTTCATTTTCCCTCGCAATTGCTTCATTAAAATGTCGAACCGAGCATTGACGTCAGGAATGCCAATCTCCACTTCCTGGTCAAATCTCCCGGGACGTCTAAGCGCCGGGTCGATGCTATTGGGACGGTTGGTGGCCCCGACCACCACCACCCGACCCAGGTCTCCGAGTCCGTCCATCATCGTAAGTAACGTCGCCACCACTCTCAGCTCAGTTTCACCAGCATCGTCGCCGTTTCGGTTGGGAGCGAGTGAATCAATTTCGTCCATGAATACGATCGAAGGTTCAAACCGACGGGCCTCAACGAAGAGCTCGCGAATGGCGTTCTCGGTCTCCCCTAAGTATTTGGAGACAATCAGTGGTCCGTTTACCGATAACACGTGGACCCCCGGCGTCTCCTGAGCCACACATCTAAGCAACATCGTCTTCCCCGTACCAGGAGGGCCATGAAGCAAAATACCGCGAGGCGGGGAAATGCCAAAGTCAGCAAATACTTGCGGGTGATTAAGTGGCGTTTCGATGTTTGTTTTGAGTAACTCCACTGCCTGAGAAAGACCACCCACTTGGTTATAGCCAATAGGACGAGGAAGACGAGAGTATTTAGAGTAGTCAACACTGCCCTCCGTAAGATTGACGGAAGTCTGTTTCTCGTGGTACAAATACACTGGCAGCACCAGCAGCACGTTGGCTTCGGAGTCAAGGGAAAGCAGAGCCATTTGGCTAGCGACATCGTGGTTGACATCCACTATAGTGATTTGGTGTCCATCAACGCCAAAGGAGAGACCAGGAGCGATGATCCCCACTGAATCTAAAGCCTTCTTCACGTCCTCCTGAGAGATATCACCATTAGTATTGATTTCCACGTCTTGGGCATAGGCTGGTTGTTGATTAACTGGAGAAAACACCACACGGTCCCCTAAGAGGAAACCCCCCCAATGACGCAAAGACTCCAGCATAAGCACCACGTTGGTATCCACCAGATCCGTCTTATCCGCTTCGGCGACAGCGATGACCCCATCAAACGCTCCCACGGCTTTACGGACAATGATCCACTGGTTTTTGCCATAGCCTAATTGAGCGAATACGGCAGCATTAAGGGTGACTTTGGGGACATTTTTCAATCCTGTGGCTTGGGGACGAAGGATATAGCTTTCGGGAAGCTTCGGTTGCTTGACTGGCTTTTCATCGCCGGTAGAACCAGAGGATTTCTTCTTCGCCTTCGAGCTCATCCTGGTAGCGCTGCCACTCGCGATGGACCCTAGACCGCGTTATCGGGGTGCGACTCGCACTGATGCTGACGCACTGTGGGCTACATTCTCAGGGCCTTATCACTCTGTTTATGATACTATGAACTCACATATTGGTTCAGTAAGTATGATTTGAGACGAGAGAAGAGTGAGCTTTCAGTACTGATGTAGTACTTTTCACTGTGAGGGCGGGATGCAGCCTGTAGTAGAATCAGTAGCTATGCATTATGAATCAGTAGACCATCAGAGTTACCAATATCTTGGAATTCTCAAGGGTTCAATCTGTAATTGCTTACAAGCTGCGACGTAATGAAGGTAGGGTATAACGGCTGAGATATCAATCTCACCACAAAGTTTTTGGATAGCGTTAAGAGTTCTCAATGAACCCTTTGACGCTAGCTTTTCAAAAACTATTTCCACCTGAATTTGCAGAAGTACACTGACCGTTTTTCGAGGCGATATGTCATTGTAAAACTGAACGATATCGCTTTCCGCCTTTGCCAACGTAGCTGTGTCAACTTCGTCATTGTATCCACAGGCTTTGGCGACGAAGATGCATAACCAGAAACACTCACAAGCCAGATAAAGTTTGCCTGATGACGACCAAACATCAGCCGGACTAAACTCTTCAAGCGATTGATGACGTTTAGGACGCTTTTGAGGGGGTAGTATTAGTTCGGTATCGTTCGGTGATGTAACCTTTTTGAGTGACGGCTTGGGGAATGTGGTATAGTTAACAGCGGCATTGTTGACATCGGCTTCTGGTACACCATAATGATTCATATCAAATCGAACTATCGGTTTTTGAGAACACTTTATGGGACTACTGATAATAGGAGAGTCAGGTCCCACGAAAGTATCATCATCATCATCATCATCATCATCATCATCATTCTCATCTATCGAATCCTTTTCAAAATCACTTAAAGAAGGATTTGGTGTCAGATTATTTAGGGTATCGTCTTGAAGTTTCCCCTCCGTGGTCTTCGTAGGCAATGGTAATTGGTCAATCACATCCTCGATAGGGTCTGATTCAGGTGCTGAGTCTGACTCTAGGTTTGAAGCGGGTTTGGTGGTTGTTGGTGTCGGAATAGGAGTAGGGAGATCACTTTTGGAGGCAGCAAGTTCTTGAATTGATTGGGAAGGGGCTAGAGGTTGAAACTCTACTCCCATCAATTCGCACAACTCTTTCACTTGAGGCAATTCAAGCACGAGCACTGCAAATTTGCGTTTATCCATGACTAATAGATGGAAGCGACAGAGGCGGACTGACCATCAAACTATACAGACGACGCGTCTCTATGGACGCTATTGACGTTTCATTGGTATCGTATCAGAGTATGCACATTAGGTCACGATGAACCGCGTCATCTATGTTTCACCATATGCGAGTCGCCCCCTTTCAATCTACACCCAGTACATATAATTATAGCCTAGTATTCGTCTACCATAAAAATCTATCAAGCTATCACCGACGATCCAGACTAAGCAACTTATTTGTTTCGGTGGCATCCTCGTCCTCCTCGGGCGTCGGTTGCGACGACAAGTCGTGGTGGGAGTCCAGCGATGTCCGCTGGTGTTTAGTGTCCTTGAGCGGCACCGACGGCGCCACGTCCTCCTCGTCACCAATATCGAACATGGTGTCGGCATCTGTAGGGAGGTAATCGGCGTTGAGCTCGTCGTACAAGCGTTCCTCGTCGCGACGCAAGTCACGCGAGTTGTGGCGGTGCAAGTTCACCAGCGCCTCCAGATCCAGCCCCAGATCCTCCAGGTCGGTGTAGTCCTCGCCGGGGACGACATCAAACTCGTAGTCGTCGCGTCTCCGGCGTTTGCGACCCCGCATCGGCAGTTTGGAGAACTTCATGAATGCAATCACCACAATGAACCCAGCCACAGCGAGCGCAATGAAATACATGCCGGTGTGGTCTACCACCAGCTGCTTGTTGGACCCTTTGTTAGCACCATCACCCGGTTCGTCATCCTCGGGTTTCTCCTCAGGCTTACCTTCCTCAGGCTTGTCCTCAGGTTTATCTTCTTCGGGTTTATCTTCGGGTTTATCTTCAGGTTCATCCTCGGGCTTGTCTTCCTCAGGCTTGTCTTCTGGCTTGTCCTCCGGCTTGTCTTCAGGCTTATCCTCGGGCTTATCCTCGGGCTTATCCTCGGGCTTATCCTCGGGCTTTTCTTCTTCAGGTTTGTCTTGTTCCGGGTCAGCAGTGGGCTTATTGATGTTAGGCTTGTCGGTGGTGTGAGGGGTATCATGAACCGTTTCCGAAGGCACCTCCAGGGGGTTTTCTTGGCCCGATTCTAACCGTTGACGCCGCACGGCAGCGTAGTCCTTGTCCAAGTCGTACTTCTCAGCCTTGCTGGCATCTTCGCTTTCACCCCACAACCGCAATTGCCAGCCGACAAGCTCAATCTCAATATCCTGACTGCGGCCGTCGTCACCGTACACTTCGAGAATCCAGTCCCCATCGCCGGGCTCACCCCAGTGAGCCACCAGCATGAACGTCCATCTGACAAAGCCCTGGTTCTTGGAATCGCCGCCACGGAATGTCGCGAGCGTCGACACCACGCCTTGCGGACTGATCAAACGCACACCGGTGGCACCACGGCGGTTACTGTTGATGTTGACAACCACCGTCACGTGTTCCACGCGCTTCATGTTCATCGCTTTGAGGTCATCTTTAGTCACCGTCACTTTCAGGCGGATCAACTCTTGAGGTGGCGCCGGTTGGCCAAACTTTTTCGGTGTTTGCGTGATCTTTTGGTTGACCTCGATCAAGTCGGTGTACAACCACGTTTGCGGGTTGACATTCTTCCACGTCTTTGCCGTCTCCACCAACAGGTAGGCGTCGATTTTGCCAAACCCGTATTTGGAGGAGAACTTACGACCACTGCCGGTGACCTGGTACGCGCCGTTGTCTTCGTTAATGGGAACGGCCAGGTGAAGCACACAGTACTGCATATCCCGCCAGGTCAACTCGGGGTTGGCGGAAAGAGCCAATGCAAATATACCGGCAGCAAGCGGTGCCGCCGCCAGCGTGCCCCCGTGTTTGGCCGAGCACTTGCCGTCGATGTCGGTGGTGTGGATGTGTTCGGGACCACCCGAGGAGTAGGTAACGCACATCACTGCCGTACAGGCTTCGGCGTAATACGGGTGGTTGTTTTGGAAGTCGATGGCCCCCACGGTGATCGAGTAGATGGAGTTGGTGTAGCCGTCGAAGTTGCAAGAGTCGCCGCTCAACGCCCCGTTACCCAGAGCGAAAACATAGACGGAACCCTTGCCGCCACGACCATTTTGAATGGTGTTGATCATCGCCTTTTTGACAATGGGAGGCGGGGCAGCCAAAGTACGACCGTCGTCGGTGGGACCCCACAGACACAGGTAGATGTCGTTGACGTCGGAGCCAAACATCATCGCCTGGGCCTCGGTGTCACTGGAAATACGTCCCAGAAGGATGCGGATCCCCAGTACCGTGCCGTTGAAGGCGACACCGACGCCACACACGTCGTTTCTCACGGCAGCAATTTCACCGGCGCACCGAGTGCCGTGGTAGTCGTCACTTAACCGTGGCCAGGGAGTGTTCCCAGGGTTGTTGTAGTCCCACAGCCCCTTCATGTTGAAGTTATCGGCGAGATCAGGGAGGCGGCCATCGACACCGTCGTCGACGACGGCGACATTGATGTTCTGCCCCGCGTTACCCTGAGCCCACACACCGGTGACGTTAACATCGTTACCGGGGTAGCGGCTGTTGATCAAGTGCCACTGCTCGACGAAAATGGGGTCGTCGATGCCAAACTGCTCCAGCGCCTGGCGGATGGGCTCCTGCAGCAGGTCGGTGATCGTGATCACTCTCTTAGTAAAATAGTCGGCGTCGATGGGCACCGGCACCCGTTTCTCAATGTGCAGTTCCTCGATAAGCTCGACCAGTTTTAAGTGGGGGTTGGCCCTAAGCGCCGAGGCCTCGGGGTAGTCTCGGGCCATCTGGCGGCCCTCGGTGTTCAAGTTGCCGAAGAGATCGCGTTTGTGGGCCAGTTTGGCCACGCTGAACACGTAATGGTCGTCCCACAACTGCAGTTCGTAGCGATATCGGGGGTGGTCCTGTTTGAACGCCACGAGCGGCTGGCTCAGCGTCGCGGTGTCGAGCTCGACGATGAAGTAGTCCCGGGCGTCGTAGTCCCGGGGCGGTGGTGGCAGGAACGCCGCCACAAGGTGGAGCGCTACCACAAGAAGCCAGGGGAACATGGTCTCGGATACGTGGTAGTGTTGTCAGTCGACGTGGCGCGCGTGGATGCGCCCTTAGCTGACAACCACAGAGCAAAAGTAACCCGGGAAAAAGTAACAGCATTATAGAAAGAATGCGATGATGACGAATTGCTTACAAAGTAGAGATGGAAAATAGATCGAATATCAACTTTAAATATTTGGTTACGGGGTTAACTCGCAATAACACACCTCCTTGGATGGGTGCGTTTTTTTCAGCCGGTTTTGTGACACATTAGGCTATTGACGTGGAAAGGGTTTTTTTTTTTTTGTAGATGGTAGCGGTAACCGAGGGCAAATGAAAGAATAAAATTTTAGAACAAAGCGTGCCAAGCATTTGCTTACTATGGGGTACACCGTAGAACCAGAACCTTCATGTGACATTATTTCGATTCTGAGTGAGTGTACTGCATATATGTTCACACCGACGATCGGGGGTAAAGGCCCTTGTCGCTCAAGGTAAGGGTCATCAAAGTTACGTGCGATTATCTCGAGAACCAGCGTCTACTCACCAAATGTCCGCTAACAAACATTGCTCCAAAAGGCGCATAGACCAACGCTGTCAAAATTCGACTCAAACAGATCATTTTGGGAAGTGAAACCACATTTTTCGAAATCTTACGTAAAATTTCGAGCATTGCGAATCCATTTTTTCAGAACCCCGACTCTGCATACTTAGGAAAATGATTACCCAGCTCTTCAACTAAAACATTGCCATGATTACTCTTCTTCGTAAATGCCCTTCTAATTTAACAATTTCATCCACCAAGCCATATTACTGTAAACTCTCTCACTGACTCTAGTAGGACTGCTTGATGACATCACAGCCAACCGCTAAACTTTTATAGTCACAAAATCGGTTGTGGCGATCAAACCGTGCGATATAGAGGCATCACCAAGTCAACAGGCAACTTTGACGTGCTGCAATGTCCGTTGAAAATGTCGCAACCGCCTTACAGCACACGGCACCAAAAAGAGGGGCTGAGAGGGGTACCACGTTTTTTTTTGCCTCTCCATAACAAGACATCAATAATTCAGTGAAGTGACACAATATGAAATGACAGGGAATCGGCCTAAACACTACTAGATCCACTTTGCAGGTCTATTATAGCCAGGTGTGGTTCCTGTTGCCACTGGCTCCACAGTCACGTGTATGGCTGCAAAAATTGTGGGAGCGATTGCTGACAAACTGCGACTGCCGCCCTATATATACCCCACCACCCACATCTTAAACTCTCCATTACAACCAGATACATGACTAAAGACGAGCCAAGACCGCTTGGAGACACCAAGCTCTTCCAACCCATCAAGGTGGGTACCCATGAATTGGCCAACCGCGTGGTGTACGCCCCTTCTACTCGTTTGAGAGCTCTTGCCAACCACGTCCCCTCTGACTTACAAGTGCAATATTATGATGAAAGACTGAAGACTCCCGGTCTGTTGCTGATCACTGAAGCTACTTTCGTCAGCCCCCAAGCGGCTGGGTATGCTCACGTGCCTGGGATCTGGAACGATGAGCAAGTGAAAGGATGGAAAGCGGTTACGGATAAAGTCCACGCTAACAAATCTTTGATCCTGGTACAATTGTGGAACTTGGGACGTGCGGCTGATCCCAAAGTGTTGAAAGAAGAAGGTCAAGACTATGTTTCAGCATCGCAAGTGTATGATACTGAGGAACGGAAACAGGCCGCCGAAGCCGCTGGTAACCCTTTGAGAGCGTTAACTACGGAAGAAGTGGACAACTTGATCGAAAAAGTGTACCCGAATGCTGTGCAAAAAGCGTTGGAAGCGGGGTTCGACTACTTTGAGTTACACTCGGCTCACGGCTATTTGCTCGACCAGTTCCTCCAATCTGAGTCTAACAAACGTACCGATAAGTACGGTGGATCAATTGAAAACAGAGCGAGACTCGTGTTGGCTCTTGTCGACAAGTTGGGCGAACAATTTGGCTACGAAAAGATTGCCATTAGAATTTCTCCTTGGGCCCAATTCCAGGGGATGAAGGGGAAAAACTCTGAAGTGCACCCTCTTGCTACTTTTGGCTACTTGTTGTCTGAATTGCAACGTCGGGCCAACGACGGTAAGCAGCTTGCTTACGTGTCAGTGGTGGATCCTCGCGTCCAAGGTAGCAGTGATAAGGAAACTGACCTTACCTCCGAAAGTAATGATTTTGTCTCATTGATTTGGAAGGGAATCATTATCAAGGCGGGCAACTATACTTACGATTCTCCCAAGTTCACCAGATTATTGGAGGACATTGAGGATGACCGCACGTTGATTGGGTTCTCTCGTTACTTCACGTCCAACCCGGACTTGGTGGAGAGATTACGTAAAGGTGAAGAATTGACTCCCTACGAGCGGGTGTTCTTCTACACTCCTTCCAATTGGGGTTACAACACTTACAGTAACTATGATGAACCGAAGCAGCTCAATGAAGCTGAGGAGAAGGAACGGTTGCCAAAGCCGATCAAGCCTTGAAGTTATACAATGGGAGCAACTTATACGAGATATGACAAGAATAGACACATTTGGATTTCAAATAGTAAGGCACTACCATTCCGAACCGATGGTCGATCTACACTTAAGAAGGATGTGATCTTTCAAATATTAAAGTGATTTGTGATGGCACGCAAATGAAAACTCGAGAAGGCTCGACGTGAGGCATTATGCCTTTGTTCCTACGTGATAACCTTATTTTTGTCTCATCGAAAACTGTGGCTTCAAGATACAGGCGCTGTCAAACCCCGTTGCGTTTGTAAGCACACAGATCAAACGATAGTGAGTATCGGACTTTGAAGGTTCAACTATACGTCGCTAGTTTTAGGGTTTACTTGACGCTACTTGATCAACAGGATCTAATTGAGACCAGCCGTGTACAGGTTCAACTCTGGTTTAGTAGTACATTGACGTAAGAGGAACGCGCCAGCTATTTACAGCCATATAAATTTTATCAGTACGACGATGACCTAGAGCAATCGTTGCCGATGCTAGCTAAGCCTTAAGCTCACTAGACAAATGGATACGAAAAAGTGATAATAGAGATTTTTACAAAAATTGTATTGGTCAAAATTCGACTAGGTTGTTAGCCGTATATGAAGCCACACTATAATGGTACAATCAACATGAGCGTTTTTCCACACAGCATATTGTTGCCGAGGATAACCGTTAATCGACGCATGCACATCTCAGGGTTGCAGCAAAAGAAAATCATCGAAAATCTCGCGATGCCTACTCCGATCCCGGGATCATCGGAAAATTGCGGCTTCACCGTAGTGCAAAGAACAGAGGGAAGCAATAGCAACTATGAAAATATGAAGGATCAAGAACTAGTAGTTTGATGTATACGATCTTCGTATCCTGGTTAATTCATCTATGTCTTGTAAATGAAAAATTTTGAGCATCGGGGGGTTTCCTTTTTAGTGGGTTGACGTCTACCCAGCCACACCATGGTTGCGTCGCCACGTGACAGCAACGGCTGCAAAATGGTACGTGCTGACAAAAGGTGCTTACAAATGTTGACACCGACGCCGCACATAAATACCCTACCCCAAGCCCTCGTGTCGTCTCCATCAATCCCATTCATATGACTAAGGAACAACCGAGACCTCTTGGCGACACCAAGCTCTTTAAGCCCATCGAAGTCGGTGCCCACACTTTGGAAAACCGCGTCGTGTACGCCCCCACCACCAGATTCAGAGCGCTTGCTAACCATGTCCCTTCGGACTTGCAAGTGCAATACTACGACGACAGACTGAAGACTCCTGGTCTGTTGCTAATCACCGAAGCCACTTTCGTTTCGCCTCAGGCCGGGGGCTACCCGAACATCCCCGGGATCTGGAACGCTGAACAGCTGAAGGCATGGAAGGTCGTCACTGACAAGGTCCACGCCAACAAGTCGTTTATGTCGGTGCAATTGTGGAACTTGGGGCGTGCTGCTTTCCCCAAGGTGTTGAAGGAAGAAGGCCAGGACTACGTTTCGGCGTCGCAAGTGTACGACACTGAAGAGCGTAAAAAGGCCGCTGAAGAAGCCGGTAACCCCTTGAGACCTTTGACCACTGAAGAAGTGGACAACTTGATCGAAGAAGTGTACCCTAACGCCGCCAAGCAAGCGATGGACGCCGGCTTTGACTACGTTGAATTGCACTCGGCCCACGGGTACTTGTTGGACCAATTCTTGCAACCCACCACCAACAAGCGGACCGACAAGTACGGGGGTCTGATCGAAAACAGAGCCAGACTCGTGTTGTCGCTCGTCGACAAGTTGGGTGAGCAAATTGGCTACGAAAAGGTCGGGATCAGAATCTCGCCCTGGGCTCAATTTGAAGGCATGAAGGGCAAGGACGCCGAAATCAACCCCATTGCCACTTTCGGTTACTTGCTTTCGGAATTGCAACGCCGGGCTAACGACGGTAAGAAGCTTGCCTACGTCTCCATCGTCGACCCGAGAGTCTCCGGGATCGAAGACCAGACCGTCGACTTCGCCTCCGAATCAAACGACTTCGTCCCCTTGATCTGGAAGGGGACCATCATCAAGGCCGGTAACTACACCTACGACTCGCCCAAGTTCACCTCGTTGATCAAGGACATCGAGAACGACCGCACTCTCATCGGGTTCGCTCGGTACTACACTTCCAACCCCGACTTGGTCGAACGTTTGCGCAAGGGTGAAGAATTGACCCCGTACAAGCGTGACCTTTTCTACGCCAACTCCAACTGGGGGTACAACACTTTCGACAAGTACGGTGACAATACCCAATTCGACGAGGAAAAGGAAAAGGAACACTTGCCCAAGCCCATCAAGCACTAGATATATTTATAGACCATTGCATGCATTTCATTTGATCACATTCCAGAAGCTAGCACTTACCATACATGGAGCCCATTGAACTCGTCCGCCTATATCTTCGCTTAACAATAGAGTATCTTGAAGTCATTCGCCAACTATGGGGAAGTAGTAGTTACCAAATGACGTTATGTCTGCAACTATCCATGCCTTCAAGCATTGTGTCACCTAATTGAGTCAGATCTAAAAAGGGGGCTCAACTTAGCGGCATGTGAAGTGATTCTATTAGTCATGTTTTCAGATCCAAGCGAATGACGCCATTTTGATCTTCGAAATCTTGAAGGCTGGTCTGTGCTGGCTTCAGTAACATTTTTCATCCACGGGATCATTGCTCAAACCCCATATCTGGAGAGAGGAGTTGGAATTCGATCTCATGTACGCGATGTTCTCCACTTTGTCGGGTTCGTGACGCTTTCGGGTTAGTGTTTGGTTGTTATATGACCCCATCGGCTATTTCACTACACCTCAAATAACTGGGCAACGGAAACTACCTATTGAATCACAACGATGTGAATGGTGAATGACCTCTAGTAACAGAGCCATTTAGCCCCACCCACCGCTGACAGACGCGTCTAACAGCCCGAGCCATAGCAATCATCTCACCTCCGCCACCAGAGTAAGTAGTCAACTTCCACTCATATTGAGCCCCTCACTCAAAATCTCCAATCCTTTTAGTTGCATTTCCCTCACTACATCATCAAAACACCCTCTCCTTCGTGCTCTGTACCCCGTGTTTTAGGTCACTCGTAGTCATCACATCAGGCCTCATCGGTGCGCGCTACGCGTGTGGACCCTTGCCACTATGCTCCCGCTACTGGAGCTCGGCCCCTTCTTACGGGACGTGACCCCGGGGCTTCACGATGAAACCAGTGTAACCAAAGTGGCGAAGATCACTCTGTTCCTCTTTGACTTCTATCGCCAGCTAATTGGCAGCGGGCGTGACGAAATCGCGGGGGTAATCGCCGCTCTCCAGGTGGTGATTGACCGTCACCGAGCCGTTTTTAACCAGCCCGCCGACCAAAGCTTTACTCTGCTATACTCGGGAGGACCCCTGGTGGGTGCCTGGGCCGTCCAGTTTTTGATTCACGTCCTCAAAACCACCAGTTCCTCGGTGGACGCCACCTTCCAGTTATTCGCCAATGTCGTCAGCGCTGCGGGAGTGACCAGTGGCAAATACGTGAAGAAAGTGATACTATCGGAGCTAGAGCTGCTTACGGACAAGTTTATGGCCGGGAGAGGCGACCACGATACCCTTACCGTCTCCTTATATGGCATAGTCAATCTGATCCATCTGCTCCGGTGGACGGTGGCGCAACAGCGTAAACTTGACTCGTTGCGACGGAGACTATGGTTTGCGGCCATATCCATCAATAGCCTCTCTCCCATGGCGCCAGAGATCTTGCTTCAGGCCCTGCACGCCGTGGTTAACGACGCGTGTCGCCTGGTTGCTGAAGTGGAACAAGTGAAACAAATGATCTATGAAGCGTGTCGCATTGAAGACCCCGAATTGGCCAAAGCGATGGCGCTTTCCATTCTAAGGCTAGCCGAAAAGGGCCACTACATTTACGATACCAAGCTGAGATCAGTGGCGGTTGTTCGAGCCCAACAAGTAGCACACTACTTGGCTGACCCTACTACCGACAAATTGAAAGGTCTTAGTGATCCCATGGGAGATGAGACGATTGATAGTATCATTGCTCGACTATTAACTCCCAAGAAATGGCTCGAACCGCCAACTATATCCGATGATGAAGCCGCCACCGTGGTCCTGCTTACAGTCAATCGCAACTACCCGTGTCAGGTGTCAGGTGACCTCAAGGAAGGCCACTGTGGTCGGTGTGGGTACCATCATGGGAAAAACCCTTACGCCGTAATTCTGAAAACTCGACCTTTCCTTGAAGATGCTTACGAATTAAAAGGGGAAGTGATTGACTTAATGAGTATCCCGCAACACTATGAAGTGGCACTTGTAGCCCTGCTTGACGTGTGGTGGCTGATATTGGCTCTGTACCGAGTGCTGGATACTTCTCAAGTTATACCCTATCTTGTCAAATTACTACGCCACGATAATCGAGAAGTGAGACTATTCGCTGCTCGGGTGATCCCGCTTACAGTGATTGCCCCCGCCCTGCCTGAATTAGATCAGCGTATAAACGAATTGGTGGCTGAGGCCACAACCATGCTATCTGGAGGGCCGATTTTGTTAGGTGAAGCGGCGATAACCGTATTATCCTGGCTCACCACTGCACTTGATCCTGAAGAGTCGCCTCAGCCTCTCGCAGCCTTAGTGGCCCAGTTTAGCCATACTAACGAGCAATATGCTAACCACGCGTTTGTGGGAGTAGTGCTGCTGGGAGTACTGAGGGGAATCCACCCACCAAAGCTTGTGATGCCGATTATCGGTCGCGTTGTCGACCCCATAATAACCCGACCGTTAGCATTGACCAGGTTTTATGAGCTTGGCATGAACCCTCAGCAATTGCTTGAGCGACTCAGAGACTATGCCGTACCCAAATACTTGGACGACTATAGCCATGACTATTTAGGCGATATCGCTGCTCGTTTACGACTGTCGAAAGGGGACACTGTGGTGAAAGTGCTTCCAAGAATTATCGCTGCCTATGTCACTAAACGAGACTTCAATCCTCAGTTATTCCACATGGCGTTGACTAATGCCAGTACTCGTTTTGAGGCGCAAAACATCACTTCGTTATTAAGGGAACAAGCGAAGGAAGCCTACTGGCAGATCCTTATTTCGTTAAATGATGATAATCATGAGGAAATACGCCTCGGGTTGGACCGCATTGCTGACGCTACGGGGAACGATTTGCAGACCGAATTGGGCAGCAGCGCTCTTTTGCTTGTGTCAAAATTCAAAGACACCGTTCACAATTTGAAAGTGGGTAATCTGGCCGATGGTAAAGTGGCAGCTTTGAGAGCGGCGGAGTTCTTGTTATCGGAGATTCCCGAACAGTTGCTGGTGGCTATCGGTCAGGTGCTGACGTGTCTTCAAACATGTCTCGATATGGGCCCGAGAATTCAACATTTCGCCTTGCGGTGCTGGCACGTGCTTGTGATGAAACTTCCCCCAGCAAAATTGGTCTCGTTGATGGACATATTGGTGCTGTGCTTGCTCCAAGTGTACCCTAAGCTTGAGCGCGAAGATCTGCGTCAGTTGGTCCGGTTGATACTAGGCCACGTCCTCACTGCCGACGTTGACCCTCAATTCGCCCAATACCTCTGGCTGCTTCCGTTTATCGAAGGATTAGAGCAAGTGGTGCCGCGGCTCGACCCCAAGCTTGCCCATTTCAGCCGCTCGCAAATGATGCTGGCGTTCATTCGCCGTTTAGCCACGGGGAACACGTACGTGGTGGACCAGGCACTTAAGGATTTACGCTACTATTTTGATCGCTACCATCAGGAGCTTCACCGCGACATGGCGGAGCCGGCATTGGCTCAGTTGGTGGCCAACTTGGCCCACGAAATTCTTGCAGCGCTGGCGCTGCGTCCTGAACCCGCGGCTCGAGCTTTAGCTGCTCTCGGTCTGCTTGATCCCCTTAGATTTGCCGTGAAACGACTGCCACCCACGCCATTTGTCATCCTCTGGGACTGGCGCAACGATGAAGAAAATGCTAATTTCATTCGTGACTTTGTGGAAACAGTGCTTGTCAAACTGTTCTGGGCACTGCCGGATCCTAATCGTCAGTTATTCTATGCTTATGCGATGCAAGAGTTGTATAAAGTGGCTCCCACCACTAAGGGCTATAGCGATGTAGCTCGGGCTACACTTTTACCGTTTATGAATAGTGTCTATGTGGGTCCTGCCATCAAGAAACGCGAAATGGAGTATCCGTTGTTCCCTCGACGCTACGACCCTTGGGTATGTACTTTTGCCAGCGACTTAATGTTGAGGCTTGTTGGTCGGACTAAAGGAGCGCCTAAAAGGCTATTACAAACACTCACGGTGTTGCTTAGAGACCGCAACGACGTCACCGTACTGAGATACCTTTTGAAGTATGTGGTGGTTGCCCACGTGATCAATAATTCCACTGAAGTCGTTGACGATATCCGTACCGAGTTCGGCGCTGTATTAACTCTGACCGGCACTGGTGAAGACGATCGCCAGGCGTGTCTGGAGATGCTTGCCGTGGTTGATTACTGTCTCCAGTGGATTCTGGCGGCGACTCCCGTAGCCAAAACCGGGACTGATGAAGGGGCGCTGCGTGTGCGGCGTCAGCTTCGCCATCTCCAGGCGTTTGTCGAGCTGATCCTGCCGTCAATCATCGCCGACCGCGCCTTGGCGTGTGACATGTACGAGCGGACCATTTTAACCGTGGAAACAATGGTAACTCTGGGAGCGGCTCCTGCAGTGGAAAAGGCACCGATTTTACAGCAAATGTACGCTCGCATTGGCGACTACGACTCGGTGACGGGTGTATTACACAAGTTCTCGCTGGAGAATATCAGTGCTCATTTGCGCCAGTTTCAGTATACTCGCCAGTGGGCGGTGGCACAGGCGCTGATGGCGGTTACTGGCCAAGTCGACGACGAGATGTCAGCTTTATGTGATCGCGGTTTATACCAGGAAGTGCTTCTGGCAGTAGCTAATTCTGCCTATAAAACTGCCAATGGTACACCGCTGGCGGCGCTGGCGCGGGCGGCGGTGGCGGCTGGTCTTCTCCACGGCGATCCTCCAGCTACACAACGGTGGTTAGCGGCGTGGGATGCTACCAGTGTCGATGAGGATGTCATGGTGGAAATTGCTCGTAAATTGACGCGGGGAAACTACGATTTTACGCCGATATACCCGGTTGTGGGGCGTCACTTAGTGCCACTGACCAGCGCCAATTATAATGCCAACCGCCAGCTCTGGCGCTATTTACATTGCATGTATGATGTCGCTGGAATCCTTCTGGGATCGTTGACTGCTAAGCAATTGGAGGCGCGGCTTTCCACTGCGGCTAGCGACGACCAGTGGCACGTCTTACAATTTCGTCGTCTAGGTTACCGGCTCGCCAGAGACCAGAGTGGCGAAGCGCACGCGGTGCTTCAACTAGCGCAATGGGCCCGGCGCCATCAGCGGCTTGACCTTGCTGGCCGGTTAGTGGTGGAGGCAATGGCGCTTGACGAACCGAAATCTCAATTGGAATACGCCAAATTACTTTGGGACCAAGGCAAACAGCCAGAGGCAATTTTGAGTTTGGACAAATACAAACAGCTTTCGCTGGACCCGGAAGTACAGCTTCAGTACGCTCAATGGCTTGACGAGCTGGCACACGTGCTGAGTGACGAGATCATTCGTCAGTACACGGCGGCATTGGTGCCTGGACAGGGTAAACCACATTTTGCGTTGGCAACATATTTTGGTAAGCTTTTGCAGTCACAAGCCCACACCACGGGGCTCTACGAGGTTCACATCCTACGCCATTTGATGAAACTGTTGGCGTTTGCCGGTTCCGAATTCGCCTTTGAAGCGGTGCCGAAATTGTTGACGACCTGGCTTGACTACGCACAAACCGTAGTCGATAAACCATCACTGGAAAGAAAGCTGAAACTTGATGTAATTGTCAAAGAACTCACAAAGCTGGTACCGAAGATATCGACGTCGCTGTGGTTTGTTGGTATTACACAGATCCTTCTGAGATTCTTACATCCTCACACTCCCTCATACGAGTTATTGGAGACTTTGTTGGTAAATATCGCCCTGAAATACCCAAGCCATGCCTTATGGTACATTTTGAGCCACATATGGCTGAAGGACGAGCTCAGACAACAGCGGATATCAGCGGTGCTTCAACGGTTGAGCAAGGACCATAAACGACAAATCACTCAGGCGCAACGGCTCGTGGGGCGACTCATCGACATTGCCCTGTTTAAACCGCCAAAAGCGTGGCGCAATCAACGCCACCAGTTCAGCCTTGCTCAAGATCTCCACGTGAATATGGAAGGATCTAAATTCAACCTGTTGGTGGTGCCAGTGCGTCAACACTTAGCCATCAGCGCCAGGCCCGTCTATTTGACGTCAGTGATGGATGCTTGTCGTATCTTCTGGTCGCTTCAAGCGCCAAGACAGATATCCGTAAAGGGCAGTGACGGTAAGCAATACAAGCTTATGGTGAAGCAGGACGACACGAGAAAAGATGCTAAAGTGGTCGAGTTCACTACTGCCGTCAATCGCACATTGGATGCCGAACACGCCATTGTTAACTACGCCGTGATTCCGCTCAGTTCAGCGATTGGGGTGTTGGAGTTCGTTGAAGATGTCACCACCTTTAAACAGGCATTGGCGACTCAGAGAATGCGGTTGGGTCAATCGTTCCTGGAAGGGAGACTTGCTTCGAAACTTACCAAGGCACAAAGACTGGGTTCTCAGGAGGAGATGGTCAAAGTGTTTAATGAAATCGTCAGTGCTAACTCTCCCGTATTACACCGCTGGTTTGTCGACGAGTTTGCTGACCCGGCCTCCTGGTACGCTGCTCGTACTCAATTTACTCGACTGTTGGCAGTAATGCTGATGGTGGGCTACTACGTGGGGCTTGGTGACCGTCACTGTGAAAATATCCTTTTGTTTGTCAAACTGGGCCAGGTTCTCCATATTGACTTTGAGTGTCTTTTCGATAAAGGGGAAACGTTACCGGTACCGGAAATCGTCCCGTTCAGACTCACGCCGAACTTTGTCGATGGTATGGGTGTCTGTGGCTACGAAGGGAAATTCCGAGCCACCTGTGAACGCGTGGGCACTCTGGTTCGCCAGCACGAAGCAGTGTTGATGAACGTGTTGGAAACGTTACTTCACGATCCGTTGTTGGATTGGAAGACCGATGAACTGGTGACGCCTCAAGGGCAGCTCACCAAAGTGAGACGCAAAATCAGAGGGTTGATGCTGGCTAAGGAAGAACTCCCTGTGAATATTGAAGGGCAGGTGGACAAATTGATTCAGGAGGCAGTGTCTCCAGAGCGGTTAGCTCGCATGTACCCCGGGTGGGGTCCTTACCTTTAGAATTACTTAATAGAATGCATACAGTACTTAGTACTTTGTAAATGGGGCCGTACTCTCTAGAGAACCGGGAATTGCGGATCAGTAATTGATTGGATAAATTACTAAGACTCTCCTATCGGTGATATCAAGCAATCTGGCCCTTTCGGCATTGAGCACAATACTATGCTCTAAAGTGTCGTTTTCTCCGTACACACTCCTCAGACAAATTTACACCCCCGAAAATTGTCAGTCCTGACCGCCACCATTTAAAATAGTTATCAATCGTTCAATTCTGCTCTCAAATATGTATAGAGTGATCAAGGTATATTGTTAAATGTTCCGTTGACTCACTGAATTGATCCGTGTCAATCTTCGTGGCCTTCGTCCCAATGCGGCAATCTCCGCAACGGAGATCGTGCGAGCGTCGGCGGAGTTATTCGCGAGTGCGAAGTTCCGGCGGGGTCGCTTAAGGGGGTTTAAGTCGGATTCTATTAGTAAGGCGTGGCGGGTATTATTGGGGGTTTTGAGCACTAGTTTGTCGCATCCTCAATTTCAACTGTCGCGTCCACTGACGAACCCTCGGAAAACGAGTTTCGGATTTTCATCGCACTGATGTCGGGAAAATTGAGTAACGTTTGTCGTCGTTGCGGTTCGCGGTGTCGGAAATTCGCGAGATTGTCGCGTGCGTTGTCGGAAATCACTCGAACATTGTCGCATTCACATGCGGTTTTTGCAAGTTTAGTGACGGCCGTGGTGTCGCTAGATCTACATGTTTAGCCTTCGCCAGAGCGATGACAGTTCTCGAAATTTCGACAACAGGTCCGACAACGGATCCCAGAATTCCGACAACAGGTCCGACGGCGATTCTCATATATTCGACATTTACTGACGGCAAGTGCGAAATTGAGTCCGACATGAAGTGCGACTACGTACAGCCGCAAACACGACAAGCCAAGCGTCACCGCTGCCTTACTTTCCGACTCCCGGTGTGCAATCCGAACTGCCGAGTCCGACATGCGGTCCGACACCGTAATCGCACAAACCACCAATTTATCGAAATTGGCGGTAGCAACCGACATCGGCATTGCGGTGCTTGTGAGCCCGATGACGTTTCTAATGTGTGGCGGTGGTGAGAGCGCCGACAGCGTTCACCACACCCCCCGTACTCTGGCTCGCCGGACGGATCCGATCCAGGTGAGAAAAACTAGACGACTAAGCGAGGGAAACGGGATGAAAAATCAATGAAAAGTCAATCAATTGAGTACTCTCAACCGTGTAGAATAAGATTGTCGCTTGAGCGGAGGTAACTCGGGGCGGTGGTTGCGACAATGGCGGTGACGGGTCTGGCGTAACGCCTGATTGGCCCGTTTGCCTGTGTGCAGTCACGACAGCAAATGCCGCTAAAATAAAACAAGGCGAAATTTAAGCATATATCATGTTCGCTAGAATCACCCAATCGAAGTTAACTATCCCTCTCGCCGTCACTGCCGCTGGTCTCGGTTTCTACGTCATGTCTGCTCGCCAATTGTCCAACGAAGCCCAAAAGGTGTTCAAAGGTGACGACCAATGGGTCGACCTTAAGCTCACCAAGAAGACCAAATTGACCCACGACACCTCGCACTACACTTTCGACTTTGGCAACAAGGACGCCGAGTCGGGGTTGATCACCGCCTCGTGCGTGCTCACCAAGTACGTTACTGCTAAGGGTAACAACGTCATCAGACCCTACACCCCCGTGTCGGACCCGTCGCAAAAGGGTACCGTCGACTTTATCATCAAGACCTACGAACAAGGGAAGATGTCGAAGCACATTGACGAGTTGAAGGAAGGCGACACCTTGTCGTTCAAGGGCCCCATCGTCAAGTGGAAGTGGGAACCCAACCAATTCGACTCGGTGGCGTTGATCGGCGGTGGTACCGGTATCACCCCGTTGTGGCAATTGTTGCACACGATCGCCTCCAACCCTGCCGACAAGACTAAGGTGCAATTGTTCTACGGGTCCCAGTCGGTCGATGACATCATCGCCCGCAAGGAGATCGATGAGATCGCCGCCGCCCACCCCGACCAGGTGCAAGTGTTCTACTACATTGACAACGGCAAGGACGACGCCTCCAAGCACATCTTCAAGGGCTACATCAACAAGGAAGCCTTGCAAAAGAACTTGCCCGGTCCTTCGCCCAAGCTGAAGGTGTTCGTCTGTGGCCCCCCCGGTTTGTACAAGGCGATCTCCGGCGCCAAGGTGTCGCCCACCGACCAAGGCGAAGTCAGCGGTATCTTGGGTGAGCTTGGCTACACCAAGGACAACGTGTTTAAGTTGTAAGCGAAACCATCTATATAGTATAGTATATGCAGGTATATTCCACCACCGACAAAAAATGTATGCCGACAATTATAGTTCACTAAACACAAAAGCTAAACGAGGGGTGTATGCCCCTACGATGGCATATTCCACAAGATAAGGTTGTCAACAAATGTCGTCGGCAGTCGTCTTGATTGGACACTTTCCAAGGTGCCAGACTTTTGGCGATTCAAAACTGATACTTATTTCGCAAGTAATGAACACATAGAGGGGATACTACAGCAAGATCAATGCTTCTTCAAGAGGAGTATCACCATAAGCTGAAAAGTGTAGTTTAGTTTCATAGGCAATGGTAGTAATTACCTACGATAACTATCGCGTCAGTACACGTCGAGGTCAGCTAATAGCATTACTGATTTTCGATTTGGTGGTGATAAATGAACTTTTCAAAATAACGATTTGCAGCCTCTGAATGAGATATTAACATCAAAGTCTGCTACATTCGGTAGGAGGGTGTCCAGCGAGAAGACCCCATCAGGCCACCAATTCATCGATAAACCCAAAGTGAAAAGACAAACCACTTGATTGCAAGTTAATAGTATTAAACAGCACAGTACGATTTCACTATTGCCAAATGCCACCGATTTCTCCATAGATCTTCGCCTCCGGTGGTCACATGACTGCTCATCTCATCTATCTCATCGCGCGCACCGACCGACCCCTCCACACTCCAAGGCATGAAGTCGAGCTTCGAGTTTTCCAATTTGCTCGGGACGGTGTACCGACGGGGCAACTTGGTGTTCCACGGGGACTACCTTCTTTCCCCCGTGGGTAACCGGGTGCTGTGCTTCGACTTGGTGGCGAACAAGCTGTTCACCTTCGCCTACGAACACCGCAAGAACATCGACCGTATCGCCATCAACAAACAGGGTACGCTCTTGATGCTGGTGGACGAGGACGGTAGAGCCATCTTGGTCAACTTCCATGCGCGTACCGTGCTTCACCACTTCAATTTCAAGGAACCCAGTCACGATATCCAGTTTTCTCCCTGTGGCCGTTATTTCGCCGTGGGCCACGGACGTACCGTGACGGTGTGGCACACTCCTAACCAATCGGAAGACCGTCAGTTTGCTCCGTTTGTCAAATTGAGAGACTACGCTGGCCACTATACCGACGTGTTGCTGATTACGTGGTCGCAGGACCTGAGATTCTTCCTCCTGACGCTGAAGGATTTGACCGCCAGACTCTGGAGTTTACACTCTGAGGAGGCTGAAGCGAAGACGGTGTTTGCTGGCCATAGAGACTACGTGTTGCGGGCGTTCTTCAACAAGACCCAGGAGATCATCTATACTTTACTGAAGGATGGGGCGGTGTTTAAATGGGAATATCTCCCTGATAACGAGGACGAGACCGTGGAAAGATGGCAAATCACTGAAAAGAACTTCCTCCATTGTGAAGCTAAAGTCCGTTCAGGTGACTACTCTCCCGCAAACGATATGTTGGTGGTTGGTTTTACTAGTGGTGAATTCAGACTCTACGAATTAGGTGAATTTAACCACATTCAACTGTTGCTGATGGGACAACACTCTGTGGATACCGTCAAGATTAACGAGCTGGGAGAATGGTTGGCGTTCGGGTCGCTGAGAGCAGGCCAGTTGGTCGTCTACGAATGGCAGCTGGAGCTGTATATCCTCAAACAGCAGGGCCACTACGACGCCATGAACTGCGTCGTGTACCTGCCCGACGGGCTGCGGGTGGTCACGGGGCTGGACGACGGTAAGATTAAGGTGTGGGACGTGAGACTGGGGTTCTGCTTGTATACCTTCTCTGACCACCAGGCCCCTGTCACCTCAGTACAATTTGCTAAGCGAGGACAGGTTCTCTTCTCTTCGTCGCTTGATGGTACTTGTCGTGCCTACGACTTGATCCGGTTCCGTAACTTCAGAACTTTCACTGCCACCGAAAGAGTGCAATTCTCGTGTGTTGCCGTTGATCCTCTGGGTACGTTGGTGTGTGCTGGGTCTCAGGATACGTTTGAAGTGCACGTGTGGCTGGTGCAAACCGCCCAGTTGCTTGACCTGTTAACTGGTCATGAAGGTCCCGTTTCCTGCTTAGCGTTTGGCCAGGAACTGACGGTGCTTGCCTCGGCGTCGTGGGATAAAACCGTTCGTGTTTGGGACTTATTTGGCCGCCTGCTTAAAGTGGAACCCATCGAAGTGTCGCTGGACGTGTTGGCTCTTGCGATGAGACCCGACTCTAAGGAAGTGGCAGTGCTGCTGCTCGATGGTCACATCACTACTTACGACCTTGAAGAAGCTCAACAGACCCACCAGATCGATGGTCGTCGTGATATCATTGCTGGGAGATACCTTAACGACCGGTTCGAAGCCAAAAACCTGGCGAGACTGAAGTTCTTCACTTGTTTGCAATACTCGTTTGACGGGCTCTCCCTCGTCGCTGGGGGTACCCATAACTCTATCTGCATGTACGACGTCAACACCGATGTGATGGTGAAGCGGTTCGTGGTGCTGGAGAACATGACGTTGGACGGTACTTTACAGAAGCTTAATCTGAGTAAGATCACCGATGCCGGTACCAATATTGATACTATTGACGTGGATGGTGAGAACAGTGATATGGAAGATCGTATCGATACAACCCTCCCTGGTCTGCACCGGGGTGACCCTCTGGCACGTAATATCCGTCCAGAAGTTAAGGTGCTCTCAGTGGCGTTTTCTCCCACTCTGCTGGCGTTCGTTGCTGCTTCCACTGAAGGTCTCTTGGTGTACTCGGTGGACGACTCAGTGGTGTTTGACCCCTTTGACTTGGATGTTGACGTTACTCCTGAACTGGTTAAGGAACTGTTAACTGATAAAGAATACTTACCCGCTCTTGTGATGGCGTTCCGTCTTAACGAACCCTACTTGATCCAAGAAGTGTTTGAGGCGATCCCTGTCGACGATATCGCCTTGGTCGCCGACCAACTTCCTGTGGTGTACCTTGACCGCATGCTTAAGTTCATCGGCGGTTTACTCCGCGACGATTACCCCCACCTTGAGCTTGCCCTCGTATGGGTGAAGCGGCTTATCACCACTCATGGCCGCTATATCAGCAACCACAAACTGCAATTCAGAGGCTCCGTACGTCTCTTACAACGGTTCTTGGCTCGCTACGCCAAGGAGATTGTCGCCACTGCTAAGAACAACCAGTACTTATCGTCATATCTCCTCCAACCGCGACAGTTGGATAATGAAGATGAAGACGAAGACGTCGACATTAATGGTGAAGGCGAAGACGAAGAAGACGAAGACGAAGACGTTAACATGGACGAGAGCGACGACGAAGGCGAGTGGATCGCCCCGAAAGTCACCGCTGCCACCGCCTTTGCCTAAACAACTTACAACGTCTACTTCTTTTGTCCTTATGATACAGTAATTTCTTCAGAGTTGCAAAATGGGCTCTGGAGGTATAGCATTCTAACCCCCCTTTTTTTGGCCATACTTGGCAACCAATACACGCATTTGTGAAGTAACTTACGTACTACACATAAGTCTTTATCGGACCGAGAGTCGCGCCGAGTCCGTTAATCGCATAATATTGCCCTGTTCGTAAAGCAACTGTCGTGCACAAAATACCTCTTTATTAAGCATTACACACCTTTTACTAACTTAGGATTGGGGGACACTATCGTGATGTAATCAATTACATAAGCTGGGATTGCTGGTAGAAGTCGACCCTCAGTTCACCCTGGTTAAGGTTGGCGATCACAGCGTTGCGGACCAGATCCACAAGCAGCCCAGGGCCGCAGCTGGTAATCGCAATGGTTCCTTGAGCGGCCTTGACTTCACTGGTCACAATTTCCATACAATCGGGTCTACCTTCCCTGAATTCGACGTGGGGTAGTCTTTTGGCTAAAGCTGCCATGCGGTCAGTGGTACGTATTCTGACGCTATCGCCGCCTTTTTCTTTATCCTTGTGGTCATCTGATTCCAATGAACTGACATCCAGAACCTCGGGGGTGTCGTCTCCAGGACGAGTGATGTAAATCACAGTTTCCACACGAGAATGCCGAAGCTGCCTGATTTCCGAGTAAAACCAATTGATATCGGCAATCGAGCGAATAATCCAGTAGAGGCGTACTCTAGTATGGTCGTTGTAAACTTGTGCTAGCAGTCTAGCCTCAGAATACATCCCAGGGATGCCGTGGCCGCCAGCGACCATCACAGCGTTGTCGTAGCGACTGAGCGGTTCCCGAGCTCCGTAAGGACCATCAACAAGCACAGGACACGTCAGCGCCTGGCCCTTTATGTTTTGAAGCCACCGACAAAGCCCGTGCGTCATACCGCCTCTCACTTTAATATAGAAGGAGACGGTAGTCTGTCCTGGCACTGCATCGGTGACCATGGTGAACGGGTGGGATTGCCAGAACGTACACGGGCGCAAAAAGTGGATGAATGCCACCTTACCCGGAGTATTGCCCCACCATTCAGGCCGCAGCATCGTCACCTTCAAGGTGGCACCCTCCACAAGCTGTACCTGGGCTTCTCGGGGACCAAACCAGAGCATACGTACTGCTCGTGCAAATCTGTCGAATGCCCAGATGGCAGCAGCAGCGTAGAACCACTGCTTGTAGCCAGTTTCGGCGACGTGTCTCCACCCTCCAACAACGAAGGCAAGCCCCATGCCGATGTGAAGCAAGAGAAACACCTCATAGTTGAGTCTCCTAATGGCGTAGACACCGAGCAAGCACATGAGGCACATACACACAAGTGCAACCGTACCCCACACAAGGTAAGCCTTATGATACTCCTGGGTCCAAATGGCAGAACCTACACCCTTTAACACCAGGGTATAAGCACCAGCATGGACAAGAATTAGTACAGTGAACACCCGAGCACTCCATTTGTGAAAGTACAAGAATCTTACTTGGGGCCAGCCAGTAATCCAAATTAAGAAATTGTTGCGACCAGCAAAAAGAATTAAGGGTACCATGACGAAAAGCGAGGTGATCCCCAGTCGGTGAGCCACAAGATCCCAGTGCTGGTCGCTTTTACTTTCGTAAAACGGGTCACCTTCATAGTAAGGCATCTGGGAACAATTGAAGGCAATCATCAACACTACAAACACCAAGACAATAACCAGCTCGAACCGCGTGGGGATGACAAAGTGGAACCACCCCCATTGCTTGGTTTCAGCGTGGTGATGGCCGAATAGCGGTGCCATAGTGAAATGCTGGCGGATGGCGTTGATCCACTTCTGATCGGACTTTCTGATCCATTGAGGTGAAACAAAAAACAAGAGGCGACACAAGCCGGCACCGAGGCAAACGACGAACCAGTAACTGAGGAGTACGATGCCAAACCACATCAGGTAGTTGTAGTCCATCTCTTTTGCCAATGCCAGCTTGTAGGCATTCGTATAAGCTTCTGCCGGGTATTTCACGGGCTCCTTTCCCCTCAAAGGACCAGTAGTAGCATTCAGGTATTGAGTAGCATTGGTGGCGGCATCCCTTACGTCTTCAGTGGCAATGGTAGCGTTGTGTTGTTGTTGGCAGTAATTAACAAAGGCGTCGATGGCATGAGCATTAGTCTTTTGCACCTCGACTAGACACATGGCAATGGAGCCAAACGCTTCCGGGGCATTGGCCTGGTCACACCACGCGATCTTCATCGCTGCCTGTCCCTCAGGCGTGTAAGGGTTGGGCATCCCCACCAACTGGATGCACCCACTGACGGTGAGGTCATCTTTGTGGGCCTCCGTCCATCCTTTGGCATGTTCGCCTGCGTTGTCGCTGGAGTCTCCGGAGTCTTCAGCCACGGCCACTGCCGCTAGAAGTAGGGGCACTAGCGCTACTTTGGACACCATGCTATGATCAGCTAGGAATACGAAACCTGGGTTTATATAAACTTCGAGAAACTACAGAAGGCTGAAACCGAATAACGTTTTCGGTTTGACAAGGGTGCAAGGTGCATGTTTCCGTACCCCTGGACGTTTCGGCATTTTTGACGCGAAAATCGCAGATTGTGATCACGACACCAATTTGTTTTTTCCCTTGGGGTGAGAAAAACGGGGGTACATGCCACGTAACATTCCGTCCCCAATATGCCAACCCAGTCTTCTCAACTGAGTGCCTTTCACCCCCTGCCATTTGAAATCTTACAATGGTGATTGTTTCTTTGTCGGTGACTCCGCCTCTTCCAACAATTTGCTAAACCTGTCAGTTTCGGGTGTTTCCATGTGCCCCCTGCATTTGATCTTGATTAGGTTCCGCCCCACGACAAAATCGAGACGCCGACAATACTTTTTCGGAACAACACATATTGTTCTCAAACGTCAAAAAAACAGCAGCCATAGATCCCATGACTCAGCCCCTAGGTAATATTGCCATATGCGTTGCGTAAATCGTTCATTGTCGTATAAATAGGTTTTTTATTGTGAGAGATCACCAGATCTGGGCCTGTTCGTAGTAGTCGACTCTGCCCTTAGCCAACTCAAAGTTATCCGCGATCGCTTTACGGGTAGCGTCGACAAGCGTCCCCGAACCGCACGTGGTGAAGGCGATCAGCCCTTGCGCCTCGCGGCACTCAGTTGCCACCAACTCGTCGGGACTGGGGCGGCCCTCTCTGAACTCGACAAAGTCCAACCGCAGCTTGAGCAACGCCACGTAGTCCACCAGGGGGTCAGCGTCGCTCTTCTTTTCGTCCAGCAGTTCCAGTTCCGACGTATTGGTGCCGATGGGGGTTAATAAGTCCAGTGGCTGAGTAACGTAAATCACAGTGTCAACCCGGTCATTATTAAGCTGTTGCAATTCGTGGTAGAACCACTCGATCGCCAGGTAGTGTCTGATGATCCAGTAGAACTTAACTCTGGTTTTACCTTGCTTGGACACGATATCGCGAGCCTGGTAATAGAGACCAGGAATACCGTGGCCGCCAGTAACGAACACGGCATTGTCGTAGCGGTCCAAGGGGATGCGAGTACCGTAGGGACCTTCCACCGTCACCGGAATCTCGGCCTTTTGACCAGGACACTTTTGGAGGTACTTGTATAACCCATGAGTGACCCCACCCTTTACCTTCAAGTAGAGAGTCATCGTCCCTTCGCCATCAGCATCAGTAGCATGGTCCACCACGGTGAACGGGTGCGATTGCCAGAACATTGTTGGTCTGACAAAGTGGATAAACGCATGGCACCCCGGTTGAGGGAGCCACCATTTGGGTCTTGGGGTAGTGACCCGCAATGTGTCGCCACCGACTAATTGGACCTGGGCCCGGCGGATACCAAACGCACACAAGCGGCCAAGCCGGACGGCACGGTCGAAACCCCACACCGCCACCGCTGCGTACATGTACTGGCCGTAGCCCCGGTTGTCGGCGTGGCGCCAGCCGCCAATGATGAAGAACACGGCAAAGAGGATGTGGCTTCCAAGGAAGATCTCGTAGTTGAGGTAGCGGAAGAAGAAGAGCGAGTGGAACACGAGGAGACCGCCACACACTAAGGCGACAATCCCCCAGCGAACATAGTCTTCCGTCATCCACGATTGGTACTTTTCCGAGTTGACACCGCCGGCACTGATGGTATAAGCAACCCCGTGGACAAGCACGAGCACCACGGCACAACGGGCAATCCACTTGTGGATGTAGACAAACCGCGAGTACAGCCACCCGGTGACCCACTGCATGAAGTTATTGCGGCCGGCGAAGAGTACAAGTTGAGGGATAAGCCATAACGCGGTGATCCCCGTGCGGTTAGCGGTCTCCTTAGCCCTTAACTTGCCGGCAGTTTTGAAATAGACGTTGTCAGGCGAGTATTTGTAGCCCCATGCGTTGAAAGTAATCACCAACACGAGGTAACCGGCGACCATGAGTGCCTCCCATCTCGTGGGGACCAACCAGCAGAACCAGCGGCCTCTGATTTCCGGGTTGACGTGCTGGTTGGCGAAGAGTGCCGGTAACGTGACGTATTTCCGGTACTTATTGATCACAGGGTTATGAAGCTTTTGGAACAAACGAGGGACAACAAACTTGGTCAACCGATAAAGACCCGCAATAAACATGATCCCGAACCAGTACAGCAACATCCCAATGCCAAACCACACGGCATAGTTGTAGTTAATGTACCGTTCCACCGCGGCAGTGTAGGCACCAGTATATTGAGCCTCGGTGAACTTGATGGGGAACGGAGCGGGGATACTAAGATTGTACCCTTCCACCAGCTTCACCGGGTTGGTGACAAGGTAGCTCGAGGCATTGGTGTAGGCGTCATCAAGCTGGCTCATGGTGAGGGTGACATTATTGTCGCTTTCACATAACTCGAGGAACCGCTGCTTAGCGCCATCATTGGGAGAGTTCTCCAAGCACCACGCCATCGAACCCAATGCCGGCTGGTTCTTGGTCTGACAGAAGTTTTTGGCTTTCCAGCCGGCATTCTGGGTCTTGATGAGTGCCTGGCACCCAGAGACGGCAAGGTTGACCCGGTGGTAGTGCTGCCACGGCGCGGCCTCAGCCACACTCACCATGGCGGCAAGCACGTATAGAGAAGCCGAAAGGGAGACCATGAGCTGTGGAGGTGAACTTTGGTTGGCGAATTTAGGGGGGGACACGGGCTAAATATATATATCTCGGTGACGCCGCTGGCGACAATTATCAAATCAATCTAACATGCTGAGATGCCGTGCGTCGCACAACCCAGCGATTGGTTTTATGCGCCCTGCGTGTCGCCCACGTCGCAAACGTCTTTTTCCTGTGCTAGTTTGGCCGCCTCAAGCTGCCTGGGTAATGGTAGTCTAGACCGCATGTCACTGGTGTTCCTCACCCCATGGGTCAGGCACGAAACACTGCCTCCGAATCTTGGCAGTGGCTGGACCGAGCGAGATCATTTCGATGACTTGCGGTGAGCCATTGGTTTTGTCCCTCCTCGTGGTAGCCGTTTCGTGGTTATTTTTTTCATTGCGAAGGTGAACATATCCCTAGCAGCAGCAGCAGTGTACCAGGCAACGCAAAAATTTTCCTAAGTGTGCATTGTTGACGTGCATTCCCCAGTACGCCCCCCCATGAAGAACAACCTTGAGTGAGTCTCTATCTGGTGAGCATTGCTTATACCTGGTCTCGGATATCCCGAGCATCTCGTAATGGTCACAATGCCACTGAATAATCTTGGCACCCCTCCTTTCTCCCCCCAGTAGGCGGTGTCCCCCTCCTCCACGGCTGCCCCCACAAAAAAAAGCCAGCACCACCTACATTTTTTCACCGTGGAATGCATCGCAGGCCGCGTTGCGTATATTTGTCAAAGTGACTCGTTTTGCGTTGTGAGTGCGACCCTTAGGGTTCCCCGATCGGAAATGGGGGCTATTGTTCTCAAGGGCGTGCATTCGCTCGCTGTCATTGGCTGGAAGCCAATCGAGCGAATAGCCTTAGTGGCGATAGATGAATCTAGTCAAACTACTCGTCGTGGGCTTGTCCTCGGCGCTTGTCTCCAAATGTGTCACTAATCCAGGGGACACACCTTGGCCTTGGCAGGTACACGCACCGACAGAAATAGCCCTTCGTCGAGAGAACAGAGAAGGCACTATAGGCTTAGACTAGACCATTGCTTGGTCGATGCTATGGACCCTCGTAAACACTCAGCCCCATGGCTCAGCCTCAGGTCCAGGTACCTGGGATCTACCTCCCTACGGGTGGCCGCGGGTCTTCTGCTGGCAACAATCGTGAAAAAGTTCTACCGGCGACCCTCGGTGCCAAGAAATCATCTGTGCATTAGGCACAATAAGCTTTTTCAGTGGAAAATTTTTTCGACGCTGTGCGATTACGTGGACAACCCTTACCGCAAGTTATCTGATCCATCGCAAGCCGGGAGATTATCTGATCCATCGGACACTTCGGATCATTTACGGAATGGCGTCGTTTTCAAGCACTTACGAGGACTACCCCGATGAATGACATTGTCACCCCTACCGAACCCCTTGCTTTTGGTGTATTCGACACTGACACTCGCACGGCTATACTACCCTCCCTGTATGAAAAAGCGGGAGTGACAGGTGACACCTGTCTCACACTCTCGGATTGAACGATTGCTGATTTTAAGCCTGAACCAATTTCATGAATTGCCACGAACAGGAAGTTTGGTTCAAGGCGGCGACGGCGCGCTGGTCGAAACAATAAGATTGCATGTTGTCTTTGTGCGACGTCGCTTCCTAAACGTAAACGACGTACAACTGGCTGTTTTTCTGTCAACAAATGGTAAGCCCTCGTGTATTGTTGAGTCAAATTGTCAGCCGTTTGCCAAACTGAGTCTAGAGCGTCCTCAAGGAGTTGACGCAGCCACCAACAACCACGCCATTTTTCCTTGATTTGCTGATTTCGTAAGCGGGAACCGCCCCAAAAACCGCCACAGTGACAACAAATGGTAACTAAAGCCGAGTAATTGAGGGGTTTAATGCCACCAAGACTACTTCCACGATTTCCAGTAAGTTTTTCCGTACTTGTGTGACTTCGTGGGACAATGTGTCATTGTCTGACAACAATTATTCGGTTACACGGATTTTCTTGGCCCACTGATGCCTCCACTTCTCGTTCATGTACGGAACCTACCTTTCTCAAGATCTGGGCATGCGGGCCTTCAGACCCCTCTTTCTCCTGACAGCAGCATCCCGGCGAAATAATTGCTCCGTCCCTTACACTCCGTGAGTGCTTTTTGCCATTCTGATGGGGTTACCTGATTTAGAGGTCCACAGCGGGTGCCATGCTGGTGATTGGCTACGGATGCGGTAATTTCCGCAATAACTCCAATTAGTTCTATACATCAATATCAAGTTCGTTTTGATAAACAGTGTTTACCAGATTTGCGACTGTTCAAAGAGGTCGACGCGGTGCTTCGACTTCATCAAGTTGTCAGCAATCGCCGCTCTCACCTCGTCGACCAATTGCTCGCCACCACAAGTGGTGAACGCCAACGTGCCCGGAGCATCGGCAATCTCCGCAGCAACCATTTGGGTAAGGTTGGGTCTGCCTTCGTGGAACTGGATGTGGGCAAGCTTAGCCTTAAGTTGACCCAAGTGGTCGGCGACAGTCTCAATGTCCAGCTTCTTTTCCTCGGATTCCAGCGAGGCGTCTTCCAGCGAGCAGATCGGCAGCACTTCGTTTTCAGGGCGGGTCACGTACACTACCGTTTCAAGCGAGTCGTTGTTGAACTTTTGCAACTCTTGGTAGAACCATTGCACCAGCAGATAGTGAGGGATGATCCAGAAAAACTTGATGTTCGTTTGGGCACCCTTGGTGATGAGGTCGCGGGCTTGAGCGTACAAACCGGGGATCCCATGTCCACCGGTGATGAACACTGCCGAGTCGAACTTGTGCAAGGGGACGTTTTGACCGTAGGGACCTTCAACCGCCACCTTCACGGTGGCCTTGTTGCCGGGACACTTCAAAAGGTGCTTGCACAAACCATGGGTAAGACCACCTTTAACTCTGAGGTAAACGGTCATGGTGTGGGCACCAATAGTGGCATCAGCGGGCAGAGCCTCCTCGACGATGGTGAAGGGGTGCGATTGCCAGAACATCGTGGGCCGCAAGAAGTGGATGAAGGCGTGCTGGCCAGGCTTAGCATGCCACCACGCGGGACGGGCACAGGTCACTCTCAAGGTACCGTCGCTGGTCAATTCAACGTGAGCATCTCTGGTACGGAACAAAACGAGTCTGGCAATTCTCACCACACGGTCAAGCACCCAGATGGCAGTGGCAGCGTAGTAGTATTCACCATAACCTTGGGACTCGCAGTGGATCCAACCGCCAACAACGAAAAATACCGCCATGAGAATGTGGGTCATCAAGAACACTTCGTAGTTCCAGTGACGCAAAGAGTAGAGCGAGTGGAAGCAACAGATCAGCATCGCCGCTAACGATACTGTACCCCAAATCATCCAGTCGGTGCCATACCATTGCAAGAACTTTGCCCCGTGGAAGCCACCACCAACAATGGTGTAAGCGACAGTGTGAACAAGCACCAAAATAGTCGCCATACGCGAACACCACTTGTGGATGTTGATGAAGCGAGCGTAGGGCCATCCCAGCATCCATTGCATGAAGTTGTTACGGCCAGCAAAGAGAATCAATTGGGGGATGATCCACATCACAGTGATCCCCAGACGGTCAGCGGCGTACTTAGCTAATTCTTTCACCTTGCTGTCATAGTAGATGGTGTCCTTAACGTGGCCCATGTACGCCAGGTTGCCTGCGATGCAAATAGCCAAGTAGCCGAGGGTCAAGAACGCTTCAAGACGAGTGGGGACGATCCATTGGAGCCACCCGAAGATAAACCCAGGATGAGCGAGGTGCCGCTTGCGGAACAACGCGGGGAGGGTCACGTACTTACGGAACAACTTGGTGGCAGTGCCGTTCATCTTGGCCACCGTGTTGGGGAAAAGGTAGTAGCACAAGTTGCACATACCGGCAATCCACAATACACCAAACCAGTAGCACAACATGGCAATACCAAACCACATCGAGTAGTTCAAGTTGTAGAAACGACCAATGGCAGACACGTAGGCCACCTTGTACCACTTCTTTTCGAAACCGATAGGGAAAGGAGGAATCAGCAGCTTGTTGTAGCCCTCGATGGTCTTGGCAGGGTTGTACACCAAGTACTTGGAGGCATTATTGTATGAGGCTTCCATGTCTTCCAAGGTGATGTCGGCATATTCCTTACAGCCATCAATGTAGGCCTGTTTTGCCTTGGCATTAGGCGAGTCCCACAAGCAGTGCATCATCAGCCCCATCGCTGGTTGGTTCTTCTTCTTGCAGAAGGCTCCGGCGGAGCTCTTGCCCAGGAACCAAGTGGCTTGCTTTTGGAGCAATTGTTCACATCCAGAGACGGCTAAGGTGGCCTTGTGCTGGAGCTTCCAGTGCTTACCCTTCTTCTTGGTAGTGGCAGTATTAGTGGCGCCTGCCTTCGAGCCTTCGCTGCCACCTTCCTTCAGGCCTTCCTTGCCACCTTCCTTCGAGCCTTCGCTGCCACCTTCCTTCAGGCCTTCCTTGCCACCCTTGGAGGTTCCCTCGCCACCTTCTTTCAGAGTCTCGCCCAGGCCTTCCTTACCACCCTTGGAGCCTTCATCGCCACCTTCTTTCGAGCTCGCCACTGCCATTGAGCTAGCACTGGCTTCAGCAGCCTCTGCCAGAGCCAAGCACATGGCGGCGGCCATGAACACTTTGGAGATTGCAACCATTGCTTATCAAAAAAATCTCATCAGCAGGCGAAGGATACGTTAATTTATAATTTAGGCAGCCTCTCCTTTTCCCACCTGCAGCAGTGTCGACCTCGAAAAGTGTGAAAAAGATTAGACTGGCATGCATGACAATTGAGTCGACAACGCAGCCGCATTTTGTACCCACCAGCTTCGGCATACGCCTCGTTTTTTTACGGCAGCCTGATTATCAGTGATAATCTTACAGCACGGCTGAGAAATTCGCAACCACCGCGATGGTGCCTGACCCCGTCAAAGATGAAGTGTGGTTCCTGACTTGGCTAAGCTTGGCCTCCCCATTAGAGACCGAAGGCCTTGGCCTGCCTGTCACCCGCCCTTGAAAATATTGTAGATTTTCGTTTGACCTGTATAAGGTGATTTCTTGGCGGTGGTGTTCGCCATCCCCGAGATCGCATATGCTATATAAGTGGTTACCAACAGCAGAACGGGGGGGTGATTATATTTCTTATTTCAGACCACTATTGAAGCCGTTGATGTTTATGGCTCGTTTAGTTCAGTCGTGTGGGGTAGGGTGCATTGGTGGCTTATGTGTCCTCAATAGACCAGACTGGGGAAGGGGGGGGGCTCTCAACGCTCAACGCCCGATGGCGAAGATTATGCAGGTGGCGAAGGACGTTTCGCAAAAACTCAAGAATAGTCGGATAGAGGCTGCAGCACAAGCCTCACAAACTCGAGAGGGTTTATTTTGCCCCAGGTTTCCATCAGGCTAAATAAGTGGATGGCCTATGCCTTTTCCTTCCCCTCAATTACCGTCTATCTGATCCATCTAATCAATCACATCACGGCGTCGCGGTGCAGCACGCACCAAAAAAAATTTCCTCATTTGCAGTGACGCGTCTTCTCATTGGCCAATAACCTGCCAACAGCGATGCCGCGTTTAGCCAACCACAGCAATGCCAACTTGCCGCCTGGCTGGCTCCTAGTGGTGTGAGCGATTTTGTGTACCTGCACCACGGGTACCCCCGGATCCCGCTAAACGCCCCTGGTTCGCTGGCGCCAGCTGCGCTTCCAGCACCCGCAACCGTTCGAGCAAGTATATCACCTCGGCGTCGTCGAGCTCGCCCCATACGTCGTCTTCTTCCTCCTCTGGGAGGTCGACGAAGGTGACGTCGTCAATGGCGTCATCATTGGCTTCGTCGTCAAGGTGATTGTCGGCGTACTCGGCAATCAATTGGTCGATGTGAGGGGTGTGGTCATTAGCTTGCGCTGCGTAAGTAGCCTGAGTGTCCTGGTGTTCCTGGACAGCAGAGATGTACTCACGCTTATACGCCACCCGCTCGTGTTTCTGGTTCTGGCGGAGATACTCGCTGCGCTGGTACTTGTTTCTAAGGTTATGGGGCCGGCGCGGCTTGAGGGTGGGGCGGGTCCGTGATTGGGACCCCGGGGCAGCGCGGGTGTGCTGGCCGAGTTCCCAGGTGTTCTCCTCGTTGAGCACTTCCATCGGCCGGTAGAGGCGCTGTGAACGCTCCTGCTGGTGCTGGTGGAACGGGTCTAGCTCATCGTCAGCCATTGGGAGGTTAGGAGGTTTTGGTGAGGGAAGGGCTGAGTGCGAAGTGCGACCCAGTTATAGCGTGGTAGAAATGGCACCATGGGGTGAGATGTTGAAAATGGTGAGGGTAGGTTGTGGCAATTGTAGACTGTAGCAATTTGTTGGGTGGCAATTCATATTAGTTTGGGGAAGTCTGAAACGTGTTTTAACCCTCGTTCGATATGCTGTATGCCTTCCTAATGATGTTCGAGGGTCGCACGGTCACGTGATCATCAACAGAAAAACAAGGGATGGCAACTACAATTGCCTCCATCAACACGTACCTAACATTGCCTAGCAGAAGCTGTAAATGTTGTCCGTTTCTGGCAGCCTGTATTGCACCCATTTTATACAACGAATCTACATGCAGGATTTAGACGCTAGCAATAAGGATACTCGAACAGGCAGGTAGGCGGCGATTTCTCGGCTTCTTGGTATGGCCACCGACATAGGCTCTCCTCCTCTCAAGTTGTGGCAACGAAATCATACAAAATTTTCCTGTATGGTGCATTTTAGAAAGTCCTGGATCCTTTGCAGATAGATTCCTACATTGAAGGTGACTCTTGCTGGCGTGAACACAAATCTCTCTATTTCTCGAATTCTTGCATGGCACCACCATAAGGTTGCCTAACAAACATTACTCCCACCACACGATAGTATATGGATCTCATAATCTTAAGTCACCGGGACCCGTTTGAAAACACTCATTATTTCAAAAGAGTGGAATACCATCGGAGAATACCGTCTCGGTACTCCAGAGCGGTATTCCATCTGTGAGTGCGAGAAAAGAATTGGAGAATTGTGTAATGCTAGCGTTAAGTTCACTTACAAACAAAAGAAATCTCATTCCATTAAAGCTCTTACATTAGTAGTTTATGTTGAATATTGCTGGAGGCCGACATTCTATATTTGGTAGTGATGTACCGAGTGAAGATGCAGTTGTATACAGGATTACAAGGATAAATGTCGACACCTCACTCGCTCCTTATCAAAAAATGAGGTAATCAACTAATTCTCGCAACACGAGTAGCAAATTTCACTGGACTCATCATACAAAGTTTACTCGTCAAAAGGCAGAGAGTATTATATTACGATTACAAAACTTGGTGGTCATTTTTAAAATTCAACACCTTTTCAAATTATCCGGTGACGTGAGCCCCCATACTTTTTGTGTACTGAATGCAAGAACACTCCCATAATTTGTGGATTAATGTAACAATTCCGAAAATGCAAGATGGTACTGAATCTCACTTACCAGGAGATTACATATAAAGAAGTCGAAAGGACAAGCGAATTATAATTTATATGCTGTGACCAGTTGTGTCTATTCAGTGACATTGTGTCTATTCAGTGACTCACGAGGCCCAGGGAGGGGTGCCTTCGTTCTTGTGCGATTCCTGGAACGACTTTTCCAGCTCTATTTGCTTGAGCCACTTTTGTACGTTGGGACCAGCAGGACCAAGCTTAGCGCCGACGTAGATCGCCACCGGCAAGTGGTTGATGATGTCGGCGGCAGTCAAGTGGTCGCCAACAATGTACTTGTTGCCCTGAGCCGCTTGCTTAGCCAACACCGTTTCGAGGTAGTTGATCGCCTCTTCGGCGTGAGGAGAGAACACATTGGTGGTGAGCTCGGAGTCGGCCCACTTATGAGCCTTGTTGATAAACAACGGCAAAATCTCGGCGATCAACGACCCTTCCGACCAGTGGAGGTGGAAGTCGACCTCTTCAAACTCCTCGGGCGTCTTCCCCAGCAACTTCTTGTCGGTGTCGAAGTGACGTAAAAGGTAGGAAATGATGTGGCCCGATTCCTCCAACACCACGGTGCGGCCGTCAGAATACTTCACTTCAGCCAAGGGGATCTTACCGTAAGGGTGGATCTCCTTCAAGTAGGGGGCCAGCTTCACCGTCTGCTTCACTTCGTAAGGTAAGCCGAGCTCAATGGCGAGCCAGATGATCCGGGCGCCACGGGTCGAGGGCACCCAGTGGATGATGAGTTTCTCAAGGTTAGCCATAGTAAGTGGTACAATCAATTGAGAGTCAATTGTGTTTTAAAATGGGTAATTGGCCATCTTATTTATACCAAGAATTCACCGGTAGCGGACCTGCGGGGGTAGGGTAGTCGGCGATTGGCGCGCGTCCTAGTTATCCCGTGATTTACATGTACTTGAAAGGGGGCAAAATGTAGCGGCCTGTCGAGCCTGGTGGGCTGCTCGGCAATGTAGTAGTTGCTTGATGTATTTGATAAATTTTGTACACCAGCTAGATTTGTCGGCGACATTTGACTGTAGGGCTTAGGACCCCCGTACCAGAATGTCTCGGTTTAGTGTCGACGTAGCCACAACTGTGGCGTTCATCTCTGCCAGCGAGGCAGTTGGGGCGGGGTTTAGCTCGGCAGCCTTTGCTCCCCAGCTTGAACACGTGGTTTGAAAGAGTTTTAACCCAGGCTACGTCACACGGAATAAGGTACCCACATAGGAGAGCGGGGGTCGCACAATGGCTGGCGGAGGTAGTAGTTACGGGTGGTGGTAATGCGCATCGTGAGGGGTCTCGGAATCAATGCACAAACTCCGGTGAGAGTAATTCCGACAAATGTGTAATGAAAGGTTTGGGTCATGGGTGGGCTAAACTGTAGATTGTGTTGAGTTGGTTTTAAATTTTAGATTTTTGCTAATCAAGAACGAAAATTGCAGAATATCCACCGAAGATGAGATAACTTAGAGTCTTTCCAAAATTTAAGTGAGTTCGATTCTTAGCATTAGTGATTTTGAACTCATATTAAGAAAAACTATATGAGAAGGACAGATAATTAGGGCTCCTTATCCGGTGGATATACACTCCAGTTAGTACACCCCAATTTGTTGCAGCTTTTTTCTTTCCATAACACTCTTTTATTTAAATCATAGACGGTAGTGGCGTTTCCATGGAGTCCTGTATATTGAGATGGGCCTTACTTGGTGTGCAAGCCGGATGTGTTGCAACTGGAGCAACCGCCTAACCGCCAGTAGTCTCAATTTCTTGATCTGTGAGTGCTGATGTCGACGCTTATGGGTGGATAAGTGTACATGAAAATGGCTGTAGTAGGCTCTGATTAAGTCAGTAAAAATGAACATGAATGCATGGACGACGAAGAAACGGGTTCGACCATTGACGCCTTGCTCCAGCACAATGACTACATCCCAGACATGGGTCTTTAAGGGGTTCATGAGCGGAGCTCAGCTATTGACCCATCAGCAGAAGTATTGAAGCCGATTGATTTCAAATGAACTTCTTATGTGTCGTCATTTAGCTTGAAGTATCGGTATAACAAAACTTCTCCTCAGAACATTTTCAGGCGTCGAACTTGTATCAATAATTCGGCTTAGATGTCGATATTTACGATATTGATCATCCTGATCTCGTCCGTGAATATTTGTGGTTCAGGTCATACCTCCCCGACGTTTACAAATTTTCGAGGTCATCTTTGAGTTGATGAGTATAATCTCAGTAGAAGTTTGATGCCAAATATCTTACGCTTCAAGATTTTATCAGGAATAGAATAAGTCAACCACCACCTTTTAGTACTCGTGTGCTCCAGCCGCACTGAGGTATGATGTACCAGCAACTCGTCCAAATATTTAAATTACTCCAAAGACAGATTCTTACAGTCCAGCCAAATTGAGCTCAATACCGTATTAGACGATACTTGCCAGGTTTTTCTTTTCCCGTCTGTTCAAACTATTAGTACAGCTTCAATGGGGTCGCACTTAGACCCGCGTTCATTTGTGAAAAAAATCATCGAACCACCGGGATGCTTGCGAGACAGTTCTCGAGACAGCTTTCGAGCCTGGGGCTTCGAATGTCCAACGTGGGCAAGGTGGGGATCCGGATCCCCGCCGAGGTGTCGTTCCTGACCGAGGAAATCCCCGACGAGTTCTGCAAGTCGTTTTCCAAGGGGAAAAACTCCTACAAGTTACTGAAGCAAGTGGTGGTCAAGGGGCCTAAAGGTACCCTTAAAACTCAGATCCCCCCCTTTGTCAACCTCAGTGAAAAGGATGGTAAAGTGTTTGTTTCCGTTGAAAACCCCGATGACCGGATTCAGCGGTCGATGTGGGGGACGACGCGAGCCCTCATCCAGAACGACGTCGTCGGCGCCACCGAAGGCCACATCGCCCTCGTCAAGTTTGTTGGTACCGGTTACAGAGCGATCCTCGAGGAAAAGAACGGTAAGAAATACGTGGGCCTCAAAGTGGGGTTCCCGTATACTCCTCAGCTTAAAGTGCCCGACGGGTTGACGGTGTCGTTGCCTAACCCCGCCCGGCTTTTGATTGAAGGGATCAATAAGCAGCAAGTGAAGTTGTTTGCGGCGAGAATCAGAGAGTTCAAGAAGCCCGAGCCGTATAAGGGTAAGGGGATCTTTGTTGACGACCAGAAGATCGCGTTGAAGGAACGTAAGATCAAGTGATGGTGCCCGGGTTACATGTACATAGATAATAATAATAATAGAGAAGGGTCTTTACGACGATTTTACGACGATATGCGTGCTCGTTTAGCATCTTCCGGCAGAGTGGGCACCGAAGTGGACATTGGTCGTTTTAACGTTTGTGGGGCAACTGGGGTGAGGGGCGTCGAATCCAGCGACGCCGGTGACCCCAAGTCGCCTTCAGGAGACATAGAGGGTGATTTTGTGATGGCAGAAGCAAAGGGAGACGTTTTTCTCAGGCTGTTGTTAGATTGTGGAGACTTCTCAGATTGTGGAGACTTTTCAGATTCTGGAGGAGTAGAACCTTTGTACAGCAGTGCTTCCTCGTCAACATTTGTTTGCGGCGAGGGATTATCGTTTGTATTGCTAACTTCGTTTGTATCCGGCGAGGCCGTAGACGTCTTTTCCTTGGAATCATCATCAACCTCGTCATCCTCAGTCTTAGCCTCCTTAGCTTCATCATCGTCAATCCTGTCCTCAATACCATCCTTAGGTTCATCATCTTCGTTGTCGTCCTCAGCTTCCTCATTATTAATGGTGTCCTTCTCAGCTTTGTCATCGTCAGCTTCGTCCTCTGTGGGTTTAACATCATCAATTTTGTCGTCTTCGGCTTTATCCATCTCACTTGACTCAAGCTTTTTGTGATCAGATTCGTTATATTGTTCATCATCTTTGGATGATGATTCCAAGATCTCCTGGATGATAGCGGGAACACCTGAAGGTGATTGAGGAGTAGTTTCTACCCCTAGCAAATCCTCTAACAGAGCTAGTGGAGCCTCCTTAGGCATTCGCCGCACAGGCACATACTTCCCATCAATCTTATACCGAGACATACGGGCCACTATGGGGACATTGTCTCCCAGAAATGGGTGAGTGGATAATATGCCATCGAACGACGTAGCATCATCGACTGAACACAGCGGATTATAAGCAGTATGGTGACACCGTTGGCGCCACTGGTCACGAGCCGTATCCAATACCGCTCGAGATAATGGCGTCCCTGTTCGATAGTATACTTCGTCCATGACATCGAGACAAAACTCTCTTCCCTCGGTGTCAACGAGCCCCATGAGAATTATGGCATGGTACAAGTCAACGTCACGATAGACATCATCGTCGCCTTGGTTCACTAAGTCCCAGAACTTGGCTCGGGCCTGTAAATGGCTACCGTTTTTGTGTAATAAGTTCAGCTTCAAGATGCGGTGGATCTTATAGTACACGAGGCGAGGGCTGACGAGATTAAAGCTAGCATCGACATATTTCAAGATTTCGATCCCGTCGCTGAAACCGGGGAATTGTTGGTGGATTTCTTCGGCGAGGTCCGCTTCCATAGTCGCAAGTAACACCGTACGAAACAGGGCGGCAATCGCATTGGCAAACAATGGAGCGATCGGTATCAAGCTGTTATGATCGGGAGTGATGCCAAGTACTCGTAATTGTTGGATCAAGTCATCAAGACTAAAACTACCCCCATTTTTGAAGTAAATATCGAAATAGGGTACTTTGGCGACGATGCGAGAATCGAAATGGCGCCGCCACTCGTTATAGTTGATGGCTCCAGTCAACACATGGTCGGCCGCTGGTTTATCGTAGCCTTCAGTGGCAAACCGTTTGATCTTATTGATATGCTGGTAAGCGATCTCCACACATAGTGGCAGTGGTTGGGGTGGTTGGGGTGCTGGAGCAGGCTCGGGATTGAGCATGGCCGCAGACCAAATGTGATGGTGAAGTATTATTAATGTATAGAGATCTTTACGGTCATACGAATGAAATAGGAGATGGGGGGGTGTCTGCAGCCCGTAGCCTGCTTGCCTGCCGGAAGCCAAGGAACGAGGATCTGGATTTTGCGGGGGAGCCGCGGTTGAAAAGGCGGGGCGTGCCAACCAGGAACGATTCTCCGGAAAGTGCGGTAATTACAAGGCATCAGTGAATGGGGAAGAGGGAAATCAGACGCTCACTTTGTTGAGCGTGTAAGGCTTGGACTAACCTTTTGAGCGAGAAATAATTTGCTGAACAATGACTCAATTTTCGGAATAAGGTTACCTCAATTAGGCTTTTCAAGGATCAAATGTTACGTTCGGATTCACAAGACATTTCAAGTGACAGCTAAAACTTCAGTTGACTTGTCGAGTAAGGTGTATACGAAGATAATGATATTTGTCAATTTGATAGTTGTATTGAGCTTTCCCTACCCCCTTGAATGCAAGTAGACTCAACAACTTATACGAAAGCAATGGTAATTAACTCAATCTCACTGCTTTAATCAGCTTTCTTCTTGATCTGATAGTGATAGTTCAGGCTTTGGCGATGCCTCACTCGCAAGTAACCTCTACTTCATTTCATGTTTAGACCTGCGATCACCACTTCAGCTGTTACAACCAATCTATTCACCACAAAAGTCGTCATTGGCTTCTTTAATTTCTATCTGAATTCTCCCTTTGTCACCATCACCTGGTCTACCGATACCGTTTCGCACGACCATCGCGCGCTGAAAAATCTCTACCATCGACACCACCACCACGACATGTCCCGCTTGGTCTTCACCCGCGGAGCGGCGCAGCTCACGTCGCTCCACGCCGTGCCGCTGATCCGGACACCCGTGTCCACCGTCAACCACTCGCTCGCACTGCTGAACCTCCGCAAGCTGCTCCTCGGCCGCCCCGGTCTCCTCGGGGTCAAGCGCGGCATGATCACCTGGTTTACCAACGACGGCAAGCAGTTCCCCGCCACCGTCATCGAGATCGACGCTTGCGAAGTCGTTGCCAACAAGACCGTCGACTCTCACGGCTACTGGTCGGTGCTTTTAGGGCAAATCGACAAGATGAAAAACGTGCTGGCGCTGGACCTCGCCAAGTTCGAAGCCGCTGGCATTCTGCCCAAGCGCCACACCGCTGAGTTTAGAGTGCGCGACGAGCTGGGGCTTATTGCTCCCGGCACTGAGCTTAAAGCTGACTACTTCGCCGTCGGCCAGCTTGTGGACTGCATGGCCGTCACCAAAGGTAAGGGGTTTGCCGGGGTGATGAAACGTCACGGTTTCGGTGGTTTGAACGCCTCGCACGGTGTTTCCAAAGCTCACAGACACCCTGGTGGGTCCGGGGGTAACCAGGACCCGGGGAGAGTGTTGCCAGGGAAGAAGATGCCCGGGCACATGGGTGCCCGCAACTGCACCGTGTGGAACAACGAGGTGTTGCACGCCGACGGCAACGCCGGCATCTTGGTCGTCAAGGGCCAGGTGCCCGGCCCCAACAAGGGTTTTATCCGCATCGCCGACGCCAAGAAGATCTACGGTAAGTCGGTGCAAGACTTGCAACGCCAGGACTAGCCCGGCTCATGTATATAGTTAATGACACTAGAATTTAGGCGAAACTTAGCCAAACCCAGCCCACTCGATCGAGAACGTTCGTTTAGCCCGCGGTTTCAGTAGTTGTTCTAGACCGTTCTCGGTAGAGGTATCCTCCTCGGCATCATCAATTAAGAGAATGGTTTTCTTCACCAGAGTAGCGAGTCTTCCTGCCACCACAAGGTCCATCAAATTTGCCACGGCATAACGGACGACAGCGTATGAATGGTACTTTAATGGGTCACCAGGATAGCACACGAGATCACCTCCAAATTTTAGACCAGGAGATATATAGAATTGATATTGGTCTTTTAAGTGGACATAGTTCCAAAACTCAGTGATGAACCTCTGAGGAGTATACTGGGGATGAGCATTGATGAACCTCTGCGCCAATTGCTGGGCATTTATGGTATGTTGTTCGAGAAGCTCTTTATCAGACTCGGCCTCATCATCGTCAATGACCACCATTGAACCATTATCAATCTTGGATGGCTGGGTACTAGGGTGAACTGTCCGATAATGTTTATAGTCAACAAGTTGAGCGATCTGGTGGTGGACTAGCCATAACGCTTCCCAGATCATCAACCTCATGGGGACCAGCATAAACACATTCTGCTGTTGATAATGGGAAAGAGTACCCATAAACGTAGCACACACGCCGTGGTGACGGAGAGCCCGCACATCCTCGACCCGGAACACCAACACGTCGTGGTCATTGACCACGGGGAGGGTGATCATCGCACTGGTGCGATGCGATGGTGGGGATCGATGTGGTACAAAAGATGAAATTGGTAAACGACAAAAAGAAGTTTAATCGATAATAACGATGTTTAGGGCAACCTAGGAGCAAAAACTAGGGGCGTAGAGGCAAAAAAAGAAGCCCGATGCGGGGCTCGAACCCGCAGCCTTGAGATTAAGAGTCTCACGCTCTACCGATTGAGCTAACCAGGCTTGGTGCTCGAAAATTTCTTAAGGTAGGTAGCACCAGGCAGGACCAACGTCGCCGAAGTCCCCCAGAGCGGTGTTTCAGACTTTAAATTAGCACGAACGAAAAGCCCTATTGATATTTACCAGTTTCCGAGTGATATTTGGTCCATATCACCACTATTTTGCGCACTCCTGCTGACACTCCACCAGCCTATATCTCACCATCGCGGCATACGCGTCGCGCGTCATGGACGACTTCGACTTCTCGTTTAGCGGCTCCCTCCTCGACGCTAACACCACTCTGAGCGTCCTGACCATCGATGGGCAGGACGTGAAGCTTGCGAATGGTCAGGTCATCACTCTCCGCAAGAAGACCGCTACCACCAAGGCGGTGGAAGAAGAATCCATCGCCGGGTCGTTTATGGATATCGACAAGATATTTGCCGAAGCCGAGCTTGCCAATCGCATTAAGAATGCCGACAAAGACCTCGAGTTCTTCTCACCAGTGCCAAAGTCAACTACTCTGGAAATATGGACGGAAAAGTACCGACCCCAGAAATTCCTCGATTTGTGCAGCGCCGGTAACGACAAGGCCTACCGGCAATTGTTTCGATGGCTCAAGGATTGGGACACTCCGGTAGATCCCGCTGACCCACCAAAACACAAGATCTTATTAGTGTATGGACCTCCAGGGATGGGTAAGACTCTGGCAGTCCATATTTGCGCTCGCCAATTGGGGTACCATTTGGAGGAGCTTAACGCAGCCAACTCATTGGATCAGCTTCCACTGTCATCGGCAACAAGCTTTGATGACAAACGAGCTAAGACGCTGTCAGCTCTCCGCCTCCGCATTTCTAACGCTCTTAGTGCCAACACCATCGGGGCCCTGAACAAACCTACGTGTCTTGTAATTGACGAGATTGATCTGGCTACAAACACCGTCGATATTGTCAAAGCCCTCAATGACATCATTCGTGACGATATCCGTTCGAGTCGAACCTACGACAATAAGGATAAGAAGAAACGTCCCAAACGCTTGCTTCGACCGATTATTTGCATTGCCAACGAGATCTACCCTCAAGGTAGTCGGCACCTGGGGGCAGTGGCGGCGATGGAGAGACTTAGACCGATATGTGACATTGTTCAGTTGAAGAAACCGGTGAAGACAGGGATCCACGCCATTCGTGATCACTTACAGTGGATCGCCAAACAAGAAGGAATCAATTTGGACCATAAGGGAGTGACGTCAGTAGTGGATATGTGTGATGCCGATATTCGTGCCTGTATTAACCACCTCCAGTTTGCCTCCAGGGCTGCCAAATCACATAGCAATACCTATAAGGACGGCCTGGTGTCATGGACAGAGATTGTTGACCTATTATTCAAGCATAATCCTAAAGTTCCCAAGGATCAGACGTTTCAAAGTCTCTGCGATACTTTCCTTGGAGAGTCGTCTAAGGCTGCTCCTCACATTGATCGGGTGATGCGAGGAGTGTTCAATCGATATTTGGACTACGAGGATAACAACATGGCCAAGCCTCTGGAGATGGCGGACTGGTTCGCCCACTATGATATCCTCAATCTGAAGGGAGATGCCACTCAAGGACTCGGGTACGGGTGCATTCTGGCCCTTAAGACCTGGGCAACCTACCAAGACGTGACTCGACTGCGATCAGCAGAACCAGTGGTGGCTAACGCCCGTCACATGGAGTACGAACTGTTAGACACGATGAGAAGCAACACCGCGGTGGCTGAGCTTATATGGAGTCGCTTACCGGTAAACCTTCAACGGGAACTTGGTCTGGTGTCACTGCATGGGTTTTTGTCGGTGGTGATCCCCCATATCTTTGAGCTTTTGCATCCGCTGCTTTCGTCGAAAATTAAGCTGAATCTTCTGGACGAGGAGAAGCTGGCGTTGCTGCGGGTAGCCTCGTTCGTCAAGCAAATGGATTTACGCATGGAAACCACCAAGGACCACACTACCGGTCTCCTGTCATTAGCATTTAACCCCAGTTTGGACTCATTTATTGACTACCGCTCGGAATGGGCGACTCAGCTGTGGCTGTTTGCTGAAAAGGGCATTCAAAGAAAGCGGATACAACTTTTCCCTTTGCTTTTAGCTGAGTTTGATGCCCCCAAGCCCCAGCAGAAACGACCACTTACACCTACTGAAAATGGCGGCGAGGCAGCTCCCAAACGAGCGAAAACCACGATGGATTTCTTTAAGCAGCAGTATGACGATGTCAACACACAGAAGGAATCCTCGCCAGTGGCAGCAGCAGCTGCAGCACCTACTGAACGTATTTGGGTCAAATATAATGAAGGGTTCCTGAACGCTGTTCGCAAGACCATCCACTGGCAGGATCTCTGGCGAGCCTAACAATGATTACGAAATTACAAGAACTACTTATAGTGGTATTCCACCAAGCATACTCCAGACTTTATTCTTACTCTGCAACTCTTGTCTTGATTTTTCACTCACACGAACAATGAATCTACCACTCAAACCGAAAATGTCTTTGGTGAATTTGGACCTATTCTTCACCAAAATCCAACTAATCCCCTCCTACAGTCGATTCTCTTATCTGTTCATTCTCTCCTTGTTTGATCTACCACCCGCACTGACCTCATCGCGAGTCGCACCAAAGCTCATCTCATCTCCACCAAGTGAAATCCAACGATGTCGACCCGGGCCCTCATACAGCCGCTGACAAACCCGGTCGTCGACGGGGTGCTGCAGTGCTTCCACGTCGTCCCCACCGAGATGTACGTGTCGCTCGCCCCGCAATACTTGGCGCTGCCCCTCGACGGGGTCAAACAACAGCACCTCGACCACATGGTGATGAACTACCACGCCAAGGCCCACGGCGTGGTTGTCGGGTACGACCACGTGACTATTGAATCCTCCAACCCCTTGGGCGACGAGACCTTGCTCCCCATCGACGACCTGACTCCCTACTCCTTTTTCTGGGTTAGAGCCGATCTTATGGTGTGGGCCCCCCAGCTCGGAGACACCTTGGAGGGACACATCTACATGCAGACCGCGTCCCACTTGGGTCTCTTGGTCAACGATACGTTTAATGCCCTGATCAAGAAGCACAACTTACCCCTTGGGTGGGAATTTCAAGCCAGCGATGCCGACACCGATTCCCGCTACGGGCTGTGGCTTGACGAAAGCGGCCAGCGTGTCGAGGGTAAGATCAAGTTCACGGTGAAGCTGATCCACTCGTCGGGGAGAGTGGTGTCGCTCGAAGGGACGCTTGTCGACCCGCTGTCGGAACAAGACGCGCAACCGGTGACTCTGGGACTGAAGCACGTTAAGTTTGACGACGACGACGACGACACCGCCACGCCGGCACCGTTACCGGAGCTGGTGCAGCAAGAAGCCGCCAACGACGACATGATTCCTCGTTACGAAGAAGAAGAAGATGATGAAGATGAGGTGAACAACGACGACGAGAGTGATTAGATAACTCTTGCACAAAAGGTTAAAAGCCCTAGTGGCGTGTATATTAGAAAAAGATCATTAGCATCAGTAAACAACTACTACTTTACAACGTTACTTTAATTGGTCTTGCTTGACATACCCCACAAGCCCACGGAGTTGACGACCCGCTTCTTTGCCGGCGAGCTTCTCAAGCCGTTTCATCACATCCTCTTCGACTACTTTTGAGTCAGCTGCATTCTCATCCGCTTCTTCATCTTCATCTTCTTCCTCATCCTCGTCTTCGTCTTCTTCAAGTTCTTCATCGTCATTAGCATCGTCATCATCATTAGCCAAAGCGTCATCGGCCATGGTGTAGTCACCATCTTCATCGACGCCAGTTTGCGCCAGATAGTCACCCTCGATAATATCAACCACTTTATCTTCACTGATGGGGTCCTCCTTGACCAACTGGTTGATTTTGTACCTCACAAGTCTCCGGATCGTCTCGATCGTCTGTCGGTGAAGCCAGCCGTCACTATTATCGGGGGTGTCTCTGAGACCACTGCCGCCATCCTCGAGGGTATTTTGAAGTAGTTCAACTACATCTCCATCCAAGAGATCACCGAGTTGGAAATTAACTGTGGTGGGTAAGATTATGCCGTCAAACAAAAGACTACTCAGTACTTTAACCCCTAACTGGTCCGCCAACTCACGATCCTGGATGGTGGGGGAGAACATCTTAGAGCATTGGTCGTAGGTCTTTTTGCGAGCTTCGCGTGCCACTGCTTGCTTATGCCGTGGCACCCGGAAGTATTCTGTTTGGTACTGCCAGAACGACGGGTCCAGAGCGGGGTCGACGCCGTAGCGGATACAGCAGAACCGCCAGGGCCCTGACTTGAGAAGGTAAGACACATACGGCAACGCTTGTTTCAAGTACTTCTTGTGATGAGGAGGGGTGATATCGTCCAAATGCTTTCTTAACCAGATAGGCTTAGTTTTAAACACCTCTTCCATCCATTCAATACAATTGAGAAGGCCAGCATCGGCAACGGTTTCCGCATCACCAAACTTATCTCCTCTTTCTTCACGAAGCTTTTTAAGCTGAACTAAATGGTCACGGTTGACGGGTGCCGGTTCTTGCGGTACCGGCAGACCGTATTCGATGATGATCGAGTGGAGCTTAGGAAGTACTCGAGTACGAACCACTTTCGATTCACCACTTACACTATCGGTGACCACGTGAGTGCCGGGACTGGGCTGAAACTTATAGTCAAAGGGGAACCGAACTTGCGAAAAGATTGGCGGCGGAATGAGACTGTGGTCAACATTGGCAAAGTTTTTCGGGTCCTTCCAATCAGTAAGTCCCGTGAACTGGTCGTGCTGGTTGAAGTAAGTTTTAAGCTCATCAAGATGAGTCGCTTTAGCAAAGTCATTGGCGTACTCTTGGGCAAGAGGGTTATGCTTAGTCGACACTTGGAAGTCAGCAATCAGCTTGAACGAGTAAGTCTTATCGATGATGGCCACGGGAGTAGCCTTATAGTCGGTTTGTGAACACAATTCCTTGAGGGGCATCAGCTTATAGTTTTCTGGTAATTGCAGCTTAGGCACCAGCACCTTGAGCAAAACACGTTCATGGGACAGAAACAGCGACTGTACCGGATGGTGGAAGGGGTCGTTTTCCCGTAATTTGAGCTCCAACGTGTTTTCTAACGGGGTGTGGATGTTTGCGTTGCCGGCCTTGTCGCGGTGGTTGATGGCGCTGGCGATGCGATCTTTGCCGCCAAGCATGGCAATTGCCCGGTCGGGATTTTGCACATTGAGGGGGAGTTCGACCGCGGTGACGTGGGGGATATCCAACGAGTGTTTCTCCGCTATCCCCATGGTGGTAGGTACCTATAATAGTATTGATGGTAGCTCAACTTTTTTTCCGTGTATGAGCCCTGGGAAACCATAAACCGTGCGAACTTTGGAGGACAGATGGAGGAGACAAAAAAGGGCTACAATAAATGGTAAGGGGGGGTCTGGCTGTAAAGCTGACGCCTCGTACCTTCGAAAAGTCTCGTATAGCACCATTACGCCTCTTATATGTAGTGGAAGGTGGTCATAACCCCTCAAAAGGCTAAATATAGGGCGACAAAGTGGTCGCATGGGCCGCCTCCTCCGAGACTGTCTGCATCAAAACCATTTATGATTAACTGGTGCGAAGGCCACCCTTTTTTCCCTCGTCGCGGTTATTCGACGCGCCTGTCAAATTTGAACAATTCGTAGCTTAGGCACTCTCCCCTTTAATTGGCATTGACAGGAATGAATAAAGATTTCCAAAGGGTGTTTTATTAGCTTTTACCCTCTCACCTTGCCTTTTGTCACTGCTTGCACGCCTTTCAGTATTCTCCATTTTCCTCGCCCTTGCAGTTTCCAGGCGGGAGGCGCGTTCGCGACGCAGTGGCATCGACCTGATTGACATACCACGGTTGTTTAGCCCTCTACGCGTCTCATCACCTAACTCCTTTCATCGTCGAGCCACTCACCGGCTGAGTAATTAAATTTAGTAAATTTCGAAGTCTCTATACAGTAGCCAAGCTCATAGAAAACTCATCACGATGCCTTTCCTTGGCTACCCCACTCGACATCAGTGCATCGCTCGCCCGCGTCCTGCCCGCCTCTGAAAAAGTAAACACGGACACCACCGCGCGTCAGATCACGATTGTCACTTGGGATTGTTTTTCCCAATTCGGCGCGCGCATAGCTTTTTTTTAGGGTGAGTGATTCGTCTTTCCTCAGCGTCGTGTTTGCCTTTGTTCGTGGCCCCGTTAAGCCGTCCATTCGTTTAGACCAGTTGTCCCCGTGAAACTACCGTTTGACCTTTAGTGTTTGTTTTCCCCACCGTGCCGTTTTTCCGTCCACGTTTGATTTCTATCTGTGTTTTGATTATTATACTCCCCCAATGATTATCCCTTTGTCCCCGAGAAGCAACGACGGGATGGACCAGTACTGTAAGGAACATCCCGGCAGCCAGGAGTGTGCCAAGCCCGTCAACGACAACGCCACCATCATCGCCGTGTGTGTCGTGGTGCCCGTGGTGGTGATCTTGGCCGTGCTTGGCTTCTTCCTCTGGCGCAATTACCGCAAGGACAAGAAAGAATTGCTGGAGCACGACCCCGACTTCGACGAAACCGGCGACGTCACCGCGTTGCCCGACTACAAGAGCTACGGCGCCTATAATGGCTATGGCAAGGAGCCATCGCCGACGAAGACTACCACCGACCCCTTTGCTAACGACTCGCTGCTGAACGACTCTACTGCGTTTGAAAAGAAACCCAATATGCCCTACCAGAGCCAGTTCCACCACTCGCTGACGTCGCTCGCCAGCGACCCCTTGGAATCGTTTTTGCCCACTCAGCACGCAACTGAGTCCAAGGTATCTCTTAGTGACTATATCCGTCAGTTCCCTGATGGCCAAGGGTACTCGAGACTGTCGTACCTCGCCCCTCACGGCGGCATGCGCCCGACACTGTCGCTCTCAAACCTTGCCTACCAAAACCGTCTGATGAACAATTTGCACCAGCGTACGGTGTCTCTGGGCCAAACCACTGTGGATGATGCTCTTGACCAGCGTCTGAAACATGGCGAAATCTTAGATGCGAACTCTGAACCGCGGACGGCGTCGGTGCTGCCATTCGAAGAAAACTTTACGCAGCCGCCAGCCCTCCAAGTCAACAACAACGATACTTCGTCCACCGACGAAGATGACGATGAAGATGACGTGTCTAACTTTACATTTGAGCTGCTGAGCATGTCGTCAAAACGGCGTGCTGTTGACCGCCAACCGCTGGGAGTTGACCGCAACCCGCTGACTCTGCATCTCCGTCAAGTGTCTGGAGGCGCTGAATCAGCCGCTACTGGTGAACACGAACCCGCCGCCTCGCTTACCGCTAAGCCGAAGCTGCCGCGGATCTCCCAGTTCAATCTCTTAAACAATGATTCTGATGAGGAAGGCGAACACGAGCTTACTCAGGAACAAGAAGAGGAAATACAACGGATGAAGCTGGTATACCGTGTTTATTTCGATAAGGATCAGCGCGAAACCTACCAGGCTGATCTCTCCAACCCGCTCCCGCTGACACAGATTATAAACTCTCACCTCACCGCAAATACCGATTACCAAAAGCGGATGACGACGGCGTCGCTGGTCTACGATGCCAAGATCGACGAGGCGCAAGCCTACCCTCACCAACAATTTCTGCCCGACATGGAGCAGGGCCAATTTGTCCCCGTTCCTGGAGGCGAACAAATGATGATGTCACAGCAAGTGCAACATCAGCCTCACCCTTACCACCAAAACTTCGAACAACAGTACCAGCCGCAACCGCAACCGCAACCGCAGCAGTTGAGACCGCTCCAGCAGATCCCCACGGCTCTGGATATTCGGATGCTGACTCTTCAAACATATACCGACTTTGACCCTCACCAGCGGTCTAAGCGCGTACAAGCGGGCGTTCAGCGACCAGTTCAACAAGAGTTTGACCCTCTGGAACACATGCCCGCCTCCAATAGCCCTGCCATCCCTCTGGCGACACAGCTAGCTCGGTCGTCGGTGGCGATGATGAACCCCACCGGGATCCAGCGTAAGGCCACTTACAAGCCCGCGGGAGCGCTCCAAGCCCAGCCCCAATTCGTTGAGGAACACGGCCACCATGATGGTAGCGACTTGGTGCCGCAAGCAGGCGAAGACGTTCGGCGAATGATGAACTCGAACTTTTAGCATACCCCCGAGTCCGTTCCCAATTGCATATACCGTACAGTTCAATAGACAATGAGCTAGATAATACCTATCTAATAGAATGAACCTGCGGCGTTGGAGTGTGTGAGTTGTTTGTACGTTGAAGACTCGATTCAAAATTATCCTCCATAGTTCAAGGTCATCAATACTTTCACGAGCTTGATGAGGATACAATCGCTATTGTTGTCGACCATTGATCATGTGATTGAACAAAGGATGGCGTGAACGACATTTTTATTCCACCAGTGGAGTGAAGGTGTCCTACGAAACGCTGATATTTCCGTAAGCTTCGCTATTGGAGTATGTTAACTAAGCAGTAGTTTATTTTATGGGTGCAATTCATCGATTTATCTGATCTTACTCATTCCATCGAGGAATTCCAGAAGCTAAAGTCAGTGGAATTCGAAAGCAAACGGTAGATTTGGCTTAGTTGAACCACCGAAAATATGAAAGATCTGCTGAGCTACTGCAATTCAAAATTAAGAGTCTGGTTTGTAGCGTGATGACCAAAGAAACATCATCATTACCAAAAGATGCCTGTAACTCTTGGAGAAATCACCTTACCGGTTTTCACGTGATCATTGTTTTGTTGAAATGGCTCAGATTTCAAATGAGTGCATAGAGAAAGTTCGGCTGAACTTCACCAAAAATTCAACATACCAAACCTTTCGAATTTGACATTCCTTTTACCATCTTTCACTTTACCGAACCTGAACTACTTTTGTTAGAGAAATCTCTATTGATATCGCACCAATACAGCCATGTTCCGGGCCCAATCGGAGAACGATTCCATCAATCCCCCTGAAAGCAAACTTGAGTCTTTGCCACCACCACTTGAACGAGCGGCTTTTCAACTTGGTTTAACAGATGGTGAGTCCATTGATCGAATTGAGCAATTGCTCTATGAGTGGTGCCTTTTAAATTTACAAAAACGAGGATTGAAACAAATCCTGGCTAAGCCACCCGTCGAGCTACCATTGGAAATTATTGCTATAGTGCTTGATTACTTACCACAACACAGGGTGTACCCCTTTCTATCACTTTCGAAAGGCATTGACTATATCGCGAAACGAAGGTTATTTCGGAAGGTGTACGTCTTCATTGAATACCCAGGACCATTTTTACATGACGCTAATGATGATTTGCTACACTGGCTGTACCTCACCAAATTCCAATTCTTTAAATTGATGCGACTTGGATTCAAGTGGCCCGGTGAAATTGTTTTCATTCAGGAGAACTCTTGGAAGACACTCGTGTTTGAAGCAATCAAGAAACATTTACAACCCGCTGAAGTCACCATTGTCAAGAAATATAAAGAAAACGTGGTTATACCTTCAACAATACAAGTTCTCGAGCAATCGCTTCGAACGTCCTTCACCACACATCCCCACCTTGCGAAGCTTTCATTAGTTGGAAGAAGATTTATGGAACCAACCCCAGTCAAGCTCAAGGTCGATGCTCTTAGTATATTTGGTATCGTTGGAGGTATCAGAGGATGTATTGATCTTTCGTCTGTGAAACAGTTGTCTCTCGTTGATGCTTATAACACTGACGAAGGAAATATTTACAGCATAGCAAATCAAATGGAGCTGTTGAAGGACTTGTACGTGGCGCAAAGCAATCTTTCCTCAGACATATTCAACAAGTTTTTGCCATATATCAGACGATTGGCCCTTTACGACCCAGCATTGGTTCAAATCAGAACAAACTTTTATGGACTCACCGAAAATTTTGGGCTATCTGAGAAGTGGCTCAGAAGTACCTTCGACTGTGCCAAACACTTTCGGATGCTGCTTCAGTATTTCGAATTGGCGAATGGACCTCAAACTCAAAACTGGCCACGGCCGTTGAGAAAACTGGCTAATGTCAACTACACGCATCTTGATAAGTACTTTGAAAATGGCGAATTTCCCAGACTCAAAGTATGTGTTGTGGAGTCCGGGGTGTACATCATTGATCGAATCTTAGGTGAATACAACTCCGCTGAATTGAGCAATCATAATAGGTAGGATGTTGAAAACCTTATTTACACAATCAATTTAGTCATCCATCAGAATTGATCACCATCAGTATTTCAATCAAGCACCAGCCATCCACCTTAACTCTTCTGACGCATAAGTCAATTTCAAAGACTTCGGCATGCAAACACTTGTTTTCTTCGAGCTTGGTCCTTAGTGCTTCATTGTGCTCTCCGACGTGAATGGATCAGCATTGCAATCACTGGGGGTTTCAAGATGACTACTGCGATGAGAGGCAGCTTGATATGATTCCAATTCTAACCGTACGAATGCTTCCATCGATCATCTTTAGGTAAGATCAATGAAATAACAACTAGCGTTTCTGTCACGTATTCCGTGAGTTCAAAGAACTGTCATCAGGCAACAGAAGAATTTCACAACTCAATTCTATCGCAAGCTTTTCGCCTTTCAGTAGAACTAAAGTAAATCAGCTTTGTACTTTTTGATCTGTGTTGTCGTGTTAGAGGCAATGGCGTTCGTGTAGTGAGCACTTACGAGGTATGCTAGAAGCAGTAACAAATTGCGTTGAGGAGACGAGGGTGTCGAAAGACTCGAATATTTGGAGTGTAGTACTGCACCTTCCTATCCGTGATTGCAACAGAGTTTGTGATTGCCAAGGCTGAGAGTAGAGAACAATATATCTCAATGAGGATCGGTAAGATTAGTTTATCTGGGTATTTCCCATCACACAAAGCAACAACCGTCGAGAGGGGAATATTTGGGATCTTCGGGATCCGCTCGTTATGAGCACACCCAGTGGTTGATTTCAATCACCAAACCAGCGTTAGAGCAACCCGAAAGAAAATGAGAGATTGGGAAAGGACAATACTGTCGAGACAATTAGGATTGAGACGATTGTTAGTTTCACAAGGCTGATTGATAATTGTATCTGGCTATTGTGTTTAACAATAGAAAGTGAATTTTTTCATAAGCTGATGACGTTACTGAGCATCTAAGGTCCGAATGTCATGTGTGTTTGTTTGGGTGTATTCCTGCACACAGTTTATGTGAGCAAAGAAAAAAGGAATGAGTTAACCATTAGAGGTAGTGAGCTTGTGATTTCGGAGCGGAGGCGTGAAGGCAGCAGCAACCGTGTCTCAGATCAAAAGAGGGGGGGCTTATGGAGGCTACGACTGCTAAAATAGAAAGTGACTCGCGTATACTGATTGTTAATTATCCGATTATTCCGATTGTCTCAATTCTCTCTTTCGGTGATTGTGGTTACGCTAAATCTCTCATAATCTCTGGCTCTCTCAGGCTTGGACACCGGACGAGACGCCCACGGGCGCCACCTGCGGTTCGACAACGTTGCGGTTCAACGCATCGTCGGACAACAGCAACTGAGCGTCGGTCCAGATGTGCTGCACCTTGGTGGGGTCGACTTCGCCGACACCACACAACGGGTCCAAGGTCCAGTCGTTAACGCGCTTCAAATTGAGCTCGTTGAACACCGAGTCCACAGCCGATACCAATTGGTCGGAGACGTCGCGGCCGTGGCCGGGAGTGGGGGTGATTCTGAGCCGTTCCTGGCCGATGGGGACGGTGGGAAAGTTGATCGCTTGCACGTAGATGTTGTGCTTGTTGAGCAACAAGTCCAGCGCCCGCTTGGCGTCGGCAGCGTTGCCGACAAGCACGGGGACGATGTGGGACGGGTTGGGGATCACGGGGATGCCGATGTCGTGCATCGCGTGCTTGACGTAGCGGGTGTTCTTTTGCTGAGCAATACGGTCTTGCAACGTCGATCTTTGGTAGCGGATCGACGCTCTCGAACCCGCCATCACCGCGGGAGGCAAAGTAGTGGTGAAGATGAAACCAGGAGCGTAGGAGCGGAACCAGTCGACCATGTTCAGCTTACCGGTGACGTAGCCACCCACGGTACCGAAGGCCTTACCCAAAGTACCGGTGATCATGTCCACTCTCAGCATCACCGACGGCTTCGCGGTAACGGCAGCGCCCATACCCGACTTCAAGTGGGCGTCAAAGTCGAGGTGCTCGGCGACACCGGCCCCGTGAGGACCGTACATACCGACGGCATGCACTTCGTCGAGGAAAGTGAGGGCGCCGTACTTGTCGGCCAAGTCACAGATCTTCTCGATGGGAGCCACCAGCCCGCACATCGAGTACACCGACTCGAACGCGATCAATTTCGGGGTCAGCTTCGGGTACTGAGCCAACAACGCCTCGAGGTCCTCGAGGTCGTTGTGCTTAAACACGTGCTTGCGGGCTCGCGAGTTGCGGATCCCCTGGATCATCAGAGCGTGGTTCAACGAGTCGGAGAAGATGACCAAGTCCTTCATCTTCTGGCCCAATAACGACAACACGGCGTCGTTGGCGACGTAGCACGACGAGAACACGAGGGCGGCCTCATGCTTGTGCAACGCCGCCAACTCGGCCTCGAGGGCGATGGCGTGGCGGTTGTGGCCGGCGATGTTACGGGTGCCGCCGGCGCCCATGCCGTACTTGTCGAGGACACGCTTCATTTCCAGCACCGTGTACTGGTTGCGCCCCATCCCGAGGTAGTCGTTCAGACACCACACGGTGACCTTGTCGTCCTCGTCGGCGCGGTGGGCGCGGGGGAACTCGTTGGCCAACCGGTTGATGTTGTTGAAGAACCGGTACAGCTTATCTTGGCGCTTTTTGGCCAACTCGTCGTTGACAAAGCCCGAGTAGTCAAACGCCTGTTCCTGGGACCCTTCCGGCGCCAAGTTGAGCAGCGCCACCATGCCCAAGTCGTTCAAGTCGTTGGCCTTGAACGCGTAGGTAGTGGGCAGCGCCGTCGCCGTCGACGTCGCCGTGGCCCGGGCGGGGGGAGTGGCGCGCGAGTACTGGCGGAGTTGTTGGCCCATGAACGGGCACTGCGACGCCTGCTGGGCCAACTGGTGCTGCTGAGACATGCGGCGAAGGGCAGTGACGCCTTGCTTCTTGACGAACGGACACACCGTCATCGACATCCGCGTAACCGATTCCATAGCTTAAAAAGGGAAGCTGTTTTTGTTACGCTGGGCGGGACAAAGTATGGGGAAGGGCAGGATTTTTCACGCTTATAAGGAGTCGCACCATTTGTGTGCAGGAGGCTCTCATCGAAAACTCACCGTCGTCTAGTCGCCAGCGACAAAAAATATACTAGGCTCTCGGCCCGCGCAGAATGCTACCAAGACAACCGTCTCCCACCCCACACGGGGATAGCATTGTGACGTAAAACCGTTGACATGGTTTGGTAATTGCTCGTTAAAAGGCTTGCTTTGGAGTGGCTACCCCTCACTAACCCCCGAAACCCAGATCCCGCTGTCTGCGGCTGCCGCAAGTCACTCGCCGTTTCACCTGTGAATCTTACGGAGTTTGAATCGACGCGCATGCTACTGAAGCAGCACGGGATTAGTCATTAGCTACAAGCGAGCACATCTAAGCAAATAAAGGGTAAAAAAATGAATTAACGGTTGTATAGTTAACTAAAATAGTAGTTCTCTCAATGTTTCCACTTCTCTACTCGCTTGCACTGCTGGAGTTCCGTGGACTCCGAGGTGTTTAAGCCTATCACGCACCGGCTAACTGCTCACCGTCATAGCGGAAAAAAAAAAAAATCATCGTATTGTTTAGGCAGCTTTTGTGCTCATTAAGAATGTATGACAAGACTAGCGCCAACCGGTTACGGCTAAACCCACAATCTCCAGACCAAATAGAAACACTAAGTTCAAATTCATTAAGCAATTTGTCAGCAGTTACTTCCCTTCGCCTAAGTACGGGGATTGGCCTGTTATCGAGTCCGACTCGGACGCTAGGCAATGCGCCAGCGACATGGCGTCGAACAGTAAAAAAAAAAAACGGTATGTGATGAGATGGCATTAGTAGACGAGCACAGGTCTAACCAATACGTCAAGAAATAGTGGTACCGGTAAGTGTTTCATATGTCACGATTGTTAATTAGAGACTTCAAGGGATTGACAAGTTAGTGTTCTTGGTCGTACGATATTGTTTGCTGTCGAGAGGGTAGGGAGGCGGGGACGGGAGGTGGGGCAACGCTCCCTGTTTGTCCTCTCTCAATCCAGCGATGCGCGGCGTGCCTAGGACGTGGCCTTTTACCTGACTGACAAATGGCACGACGCTGATTCGTATAGTGTGAGCGTAGTGTGCGACTATGACGTCATCGCCGAGCAGTTGCCTAACCGGGCAAACACAGTGGGGAAACGGATGACAGGTTTGATAAATCACAAGCTTCCCCACATTCAGGGGGAGGTAATCAGCGGCGGCGTTTTGGACACTAGCGAAAGAGGGCTGGCACAGAATGAAGTGGAGGTTCCCTAATTCACATGAGCTCACTCACACAATGCACGCTTTGTGGATGCTACCGGCACCGGCTGAATTGGGTAAATAAAACAGCGCCGGTACCGGCGCTATGCCGGATCGACTTCCGACACTTCCGATACTCGCGACGTTTCCGAGACTGTCACGACTAATCACCTAAAAGGGCTCACTTTCTGAAGAGGATAAATCACCGCCATCATCACATTAGCCACCATCAATAGCCGTTGGTCAAGGCAGCAACGACTGTATTGCCACCAGTAGATTGCATTCACCAACAGTAGCACACTAATAGCGAATAAGGGCCAGAATATACAGTGGTTTGAGGCTGAAATACTCGCGAGACCACCGTGAATAAAACAGACACCGCTAGCGATAGTGAATTGAAGGTTTGCGTCTGAGACCTGTCTCACAACTCGATGAAACCTCATCAAACCCACCGTATACCCCATAATCATCAATAAAATCATGACTGTCCCTTTTAGTGAGACTGGTACCACTACCATTGCCAGCACCACTGCAATAACCGCAAAAATCAACCATTTCCCACAAGACGTGATTTCAGGATCAAGGAACGTGGCCACTCCCAAATCCTCCCACCCCGTGCTGGCATCCACAAACACGTCGCGGCCCTGAACAAAGTGGACGTTGAAGCCAAGCACCTGATCCAGCAGTTGAGCTGACGCTGAGCCGTATATACTCAGATCGTCGACCTGCTCCATCACCGTAGAAAATTCACAAGTGGGATTTAAAGTTGATTTCGTGGCACTGTTCCAGGTTCACCATTGACGGCTTAGCCATGGCAGGTGGTGACGGGGAGGTTGAATCGAGGTGATGTCATGAAGGGATGAGCCCTGCCGATATTGTCGTGACAATTTACTGTTTGCAGACATGGCGGGGACATTTGAGGGGGTTACTGAATGGTTACCGTGAACCCTATAAAGGCAATATTCGTCGGAATAAGATTGGCGACCTCAGACATAATTTCAGATCTCGACTGAGCCACACTGATAAAGAGAGAACAAACTCAGGATAATGAGTTTACGATGGATTTCATATGGGAGCCAAGGCTTTCTTTCGAGTGGTACTCCCATCTGCCGAGAGCGGCGTCGCTATCTCTTTACCTTCTCGAAATATTGACCACAGAATCTTGCATCTGGTCATCGGATGGGGCTGAAGCTCTATCCGAGTTTTCTATTGTTTTCAATTCTGGGGGTAGGCCCACAAAACGCCTGAGCCACGCTCGGTTTCGGCATTTTAGGCGACGCCCACCTCCAGTCGTTCACGTGGCGTCTGAGTCACCGAGACCGTAAGTCCGAAAACCATCCTACTCAAGAGCTACACCTCGGTTTCTATCTCCCGAAAGGCATGGTGTTTAGGCCCGCACCGCACCGCATCTTTTCACCTTGATCGGGGCGATCTTCGCTTGTGCATTCCCTATTGTTCGCAGCGTCCCTCACCGACTGCTGGCGGGTATTCGCTATACCCACGGCAACCACTGACAACCACTCACTATACCCACTGACGGGCTAACGGATGTAAACCAGCTTATCTCCCTCATGCTCATCGGCACTCCCGTTAATTGCTATTATTTATCCAACGGTCAAATTGCAGGAAAGAGCCGCTAAATCAATGAATAAAGTTTGCTTGGGGGAAGCTTGGCAACTTTTCCGGTATGCGGGTGACTTGTGTGCAGGCGGTCCTGACTCAATAGCCTCAGCTCGGAGCCGAGCGTCTGAGTAATCCGAAATCGACCCAAATATATACCCACACCCAACCTCCCGCCATGGCTCCCCCCGCCTCGACTATGGAACCCACGCCGCCACTAACTCCGCATACTCCGCAGCCACTAGCGTCGCCCACCGAGGAGTGCTCCATCCTCCCCAGTTACCACATGTACACCCATATCGTCACTGGCGAGCCCTGCCGGCACCGCTCGCATCGGCTACCGCCGGATTATAACCTGGAGGACGAGTCCGACGATCTGCCTGCGATGAGCCGGGCGCTGTCGCCGGCGGTGGTGCCGGCTCGGGCTCCCATGGCGGCGTTACACCCGCGGCAAGACGTGGTGGCTGAGGCCACAGCGTTGGGCGATTCCAAGCTTTTGGACCGGTTACTCAAGCTAGAGGACAGAAACGTCGACGGCTTGGACATCGCCGTTCACTTTACTAGGGAGCTGTGCAAGTTAGGAGTGCCCCTGACGGAAATCGCACAACGGGATAAGTACACTGAAGGCGATACCTTACAGGGGTACATTACTATTGACAATAACACTGATACCACGATTATGTTTGACTCGTTTTTGATTTTGTTGGAAGGGGTGTATACTCTGCACTCAACCGGGTTCAAAAGGCAATTTCTCCAGATGTTGGATTTCGGCGCTCTGTATAATCCGGCAAGAATAAACCGGTTAGTGGGAGACAACGACTACCCCTACCGTCTTCTAGATACCTACATCGACCCGGTGGACGGTCGTCAAGCTGGGTTCAGTTTTGGCGGTCAGGTGGAGAGAAGAGTGAATGCTCGCGGTCGCTACAAGCGGTTCTTTGCCTTTACTCTTCCGCCAGGTATTTTGGACTGTGAGTGTGAAGAGAATATCCCTGAACATCTCCAATTACCGCCTACTATGTCCAACGAGCTCGCGCTGATCTCATACGCTATCACCACCCGAATAATTGGCTGGAACCACAACGCCACCTCAGATGACAACCAGTGGTACATCTTCAAACAACATGCTCATCCCATCACGGTGGAGCCGCAACGTAACCTGTACCACAACGCGTTGGAGCGGCTCGACTTGCTGGAACGCATGTACTACAATTTCATCCATCGCATTGAGGAGGAACTCCAACAACGTACCCTCCACGAAAAGGGGGAGAGACACGGGCTTCCAACTACCATCAAGTCGACCGCGTTGGTAGAGGAAACCCACACGTTTGGCCCTACATCCAGAGGAGCGTTGGTGGTACTGCTAAAACGAAGTGTACCTACCATCTGGCTCAGTGCTAAGAAAATCGGGTTGAGCCTTTCGTTATCGCTAGAATACACTCTGGACGATATTCTGAAAGCACCAAAGATAAAACAGCTGTTGGTGACGATTCAGGAGATCGACTACGCCACCGACCAGTCGCTCCCGTTCTCGTTAGGGGTGTTTTTATTCAATAACCCCGTTACCGCTACCTCACACGACGCTGACACCTTGGACTATGCTATCGAAAGTACCCGTAAGTTGGCGGGATTACTCCGGAACGTCGCCATTGACGAGCAAGTGCGGTTGAATGCTGATGTTGTCAACCATGTGAAGGCGATGTGTAAGCTCCGGTGGAAGAGCACCACTCATGTGATGAAAACATTTAACAAAGGACTGACCATCTCTAAGCGAGCCAACAAAGTGCCGTGGCAGAAAATCGGCCCCAACACTGTGGGCAAACAAGTCACGATCGACATTGACCACCGCCACTTTACTCTGGAAAACCTTACCCCGTGCTGGAACTTGTGTATGACCGGCAAGTTCCATATTCTTAAGATCACCTTTGTGCTTGGGCTGGGCCAGAAAGTTAACCTTAAGTTACCCCTTCATCTTAAGGCTTAAACAAAAAGTTACGACTGATGAATATATTTGCATACTTTATTTTCTTCATAATGAACATTTAATCAACACAGAAGTTTAGTTTGGTAGAATACTCGTTGTAGGCTTTAGTTTGATATCACATAATGACGCGTAGATCAGAGATGAAAAACCCACTAGTTTCCGATAATACGAGCACTAGGGAAGCTGGCTTTTCAAGCTCACCAAGTGTGATTTACCGCTTACTTTTGCGATTACTTCATTGCAAAGTTTATGTTGGTCAAGCGGTGTTTTATTTGAGGCTTACTATCGTGGCAGGGACGTTGTGAAAATCTCTACTCTGTAACTTTAGTATTTGGCAGGGGCTCAAAATGCAGAGGCTATATCGTATAGAAGACGAATACGTGACGGTACTAAACGCTAATCGAAAAACAACAATTCATCTGGCAACAGAGAACGGTAATTGAGTACTGGAAGAGTTGTAAACTTGTTCTCTTGTGGATTTTCAGCGTACACCGTTGCCTATGAATCAAAGGGGTCGTGGCCAACCACCACCGGTAGTCATTGGCATTAGGGACCTACCCGATCTTGTTGCCTCCTGGATCGTCCAATTTGAACAAGAAATGGTGGTGTTCAACGCGATTTGGAAACCGTACTTCTTCAGTCGTGATATTTGGGTGATTAAAGCGGTCCCTTTCTTGTTAATGCCGTACAACGAGTACGCGTTGTTGTTGTGGTTTAACCTCATCCTGCTTCTGTTATGGATCCCCCAGATTTACCGCAACACTATGGAGGACCGGCGTCAAGCGAACTCGTGGAAGTTTGTCTTTAGTTTGCAATTTATCGTCGCCAGCCTATGCTATGTACATGCGAAGGTTGTCTTGCTGCTAACATCCGACGGGTTATTCTGGCAACTTAAGGTGATGGTTGCCTGGTTAGCCATCCAATGCGTTTGGTTATATCTCCAACTCTTATTGGGTCCACGGTTCTGGATCCCGTACCACCATAAGCTCTTCCCTTGGCACTATCAACCTATTCTCACTTTGGCTGATCTTGAGCTGAAAATTTCACTGAGCGTATTGGAGGGTATGGAATTAGACGACAGAGGTGGAAATGGTGAAGTGATTGATTATCAGTGCACGTGTCCTATATGCTGGACAATGGTGACAATACCTATACTCAAACACTTTCAAGCTAACCTCCCTATTGACCGCGAGATGGAGTACGCGGTGACTCCCTGCCACCACGTTTTCCACGCTGAGTGTTTGGTGATTTGGTTACGGTATGGCAGTCGCTGTCCCTTTTGCGCTTCAAAAATACCCCGAAACCAACCGTTTTGAAAATCGTGAAATTTCCTCCTATATAGTTGATGCCGATCCGAGTAACTATGGTAAATTGTAGTTTTGTGCGACCTGCATATTGGCTACATTATCATGCTGCGTCATTAGATCCCGACTAGTATTTAAGGCTCACGCGACTCAGCCTCATGTCTCAATCATGATTACCGTCTCCGTGGGGTCTCGACAAGCCGTTACCAAAAACGTGCCCATCATATATGTGGACCGGAACGACAACATGCTCAATTTGATCCCACTCGCCGCCGTTTTCTTAACAATTTACCGCGAGATATGGGGTAAATACGAGGAAGAGTTCGTGATGGAGTGGCGCCAAACGCGGCAAGAATTCATGGAAGCGCTTACCAAGAGCTTCAGATACGGTCGAGACCCCAGGTTGACTTTGAGTGATGACATAATCCCCATGATGAGAAAATATAGCTATGAAGAAACTAATGCATTGAAAGACATTGAAGATTTCATCGACGCCCAGCTTAGTTTTCAAATGTCTAGCCAACATCGGGATGCCGTCATTGCCAACGCCGACTCGAGAGCATGGCAGATTGTGGAACAAGGTTTCCAAAAGTATCGCGACATCTTCAATGAACACATGTTTCCTCATCTTCCATTGAAAAGTCGGAACAAGCTTGACAGTATCATTAGCACTTACGAGAAGAAAATGAGACAAGCACCAATTTCGAGGGATCGGAAGTGCCAAGCTTTCTTCAATGACGAGGCATCTGGCACCAACGTCCTTTGGATCAACGCACTGTGGGGGAGACTCGACATCCTTGTCCAATTCCCCGACGGCCTCAGACGCATCGTGTGGACTTGATCAAAGCTGGACTTTGTCAAGAGAACACACCCAAAGATATGACCTAACGAAACGAGTATACCCATTATTAAGAGAGAGAGAGAGAGAGAGTAAAGTCAGCGAATATAGAGGATATAGAGAATATAGCGAGAGAATCTGACGAGTATATCAAAAAGCCAATATGGGAAATAGGCGGAAGAGGTGTGCTGACGCAAGTGACTTCAGAACCTAGTAGTGTCGCGTTGAAGAGCTCGTTGTCGCATTTGAGAATTCGAGTTGTCGCAGTTGAGTGTTAGTCGTCGCAGTCGCATTGCAAAGGCCTAGTACCAGAAATGAATTTCCCAGGAAACCACTAGTGTCATTGTGTTCTACAGTTAAATACGACCAACTTTCGTTAGCATCTTGAGGTACAGTGTCATACAAACTTTTCGTGAAAGCGACGTATTTCTTGTTCATTTTGTATTAGTGTGTATGATCGTCATACACCAGGCCCCTGTGATGGTAGCGTAATAAACTGAAGGAGTATAGAAGCCAGGTGTCACCAACACTTGAACAGACTGGGATAGAACTATTCATTCGCTTGCTAAGACTGAGCTACTGGTTCATGAGCGTTTTGTATATGAACGCGTTGTTTTCTGGACGAGTTGAGATTCATAAAGCCGAAATTCAAGAAAGTTGATGAGAAATCAAATGTCAAGAGAATGTCAAGAGAGTGTCACAGCTCTCACATCATGATTTTGTTATTCTTGAAGATATATTGCCCTAATTGCTGGTATCACTGCATTAAACTCGTACTACGATCATTGGCTCACTTGAATTTCATGACTCATGATATTAATATATAACCGTGTTAGACTACTCAAAGAATGCCCGCTGTTCAGGATGCAAGTTGCGGAGGAAAACGGGGGGCGGCGTCATCGTCCCCAACGCCCGCAACGCCTGTAAGTTCATCAACGTCAACCCAAACACGTACAGGGCGTTGACCCAGCCAAACCCTTCGTTGGCGACCCCCTTGAAGTCGAGCCCTTGGTTACCGTACTCAGCGTCGACCTTGTGCGGCGCCAGGGTACCGATGACGTTATACTTTTCCACCACCACCCCGTTGTAGTCGACAAACGCCTTGGTCATCATATACAACCAGCGGTAGGCTAAGCGGCGAGCGACGCCGTCATACCCGTAGTTGATGAGCCCGATCCACGCCAAGATTTGTTGAGGGGCCCAGCCGAAGGGGTAGTCCCATTGACGTGACGGGCGGTCCAAGGAGATTTCCCCACGCAGTCTCAAGGTACCGGCAGCCAAGCCACCGAGCTCTTCAAGTTTCACCACGGTGTTGGTGACCATGGCTTTAGCCTGTTCGTCAGTAGCACACTGAGCCCACAACGGCCAGAACGTCGTCGCCAGCTCGTACCCAGTTTGTGCTTTTTCCTTGACGTTGTAGTCGTAGTAGATCAGATCCTTTTCGTTCCACAAGTAGCGGTTGATGCGTTCGCGGCGTTGAGCGGCGCGAGTGAGCCACATCTCTTCCGTCTGGATCTCGCCGTGGTAGTCGTACTTGTTGTCGAAGAACGTCATCACCATGAACGCAATGTCGGTCTCGTACTTGTACAAAAGCGAGTTCAAGTCCACCGTGGCCAAGTGGGCGCACTTACCCTCCAACCGGTACAGGGTGTCATGGCCCAGCTCACGCACGGCACGGTCGTGCAAGAAGTACTCGTCGAGCGCCGGCTCGTAGATCTTCTGGTCGTTGTAGATGGCGATGAACTCTTCGCGAGTGAGGTTGTATTTTTTGAGGTAGGGAGCCAACACCGAGTCGAAGTGGGTGGCTTCAGTTTCGGGAGGAATACCGATCCCTTCAGGGTGGTAGCACGAGAGCCCCGTGGCCTCGTCGAGACGAGGCTTGCACACCCACACCTCGTGGTATTCTTTGATCAGCGCCCGCAACGCCCGTTCCAAGAAGTCCATGGTGTCGTTGTATCTTTCGGGAGCCACCTCCATCGTCTTGTTGAAAATACGAAGGGTCATATCCGTCAAAAACGGCGGCTGAGAACGGCCCAAGTAATACAGCCGGTTGGCGTTGAGGATCTTGCCGTAGTGCTGGATCTGGAAGATGAAGTTCTCCGCCATACCACGGGCTAAACGCAAGTGGTTTTGGTGGTCAGAAGTGACATCAGTCAAGAGACCAAGGGTCTCCATGTACGAGTCCCACCCGTACTGCTCATTGAAGCGACCCCCGGGAACCACATACGGTTGAGAAACAAGGTTGGTAGGGTCTTCAGGGTCAGGGTACATCAGCAACGATAACAAACCAGGCTTGTCATTGATGGACTTGATGTATTCGGCGTCGATCTTTTGCGGAAGGCGTTCCACGTGTAACGGCCAATCGGGATTATCGTTCTTAATCGCCATGAAGTAGTTGTATTGGTCATCACGGTTATAAGGCACGTAGATGCGATGAGTGGGTTGGTTCTTGTGGACGACGCCGTGGATGTCGGTATAGTCCTCGAGGATCTTAGTGTCGGCCAGCATTTCCAAGATGTTATCCTTGTTCAATTGACGAGTCAACGATCTCCAGAACTGAGTTTGAATAAGTCTCTGTAATCTCTTCACTGGGTTTTCGCTAAGTCGGCGTTCATCCAATACCATCTCCTTACGGCCAAACCGTTTGGCGATGGTCAATTCTTGGAGTAAGTTAGACAACAAGTAAGTACCGTAAATCTGAGCCTTAACGTACCCCTTAGAGTTCACCGTACCCAAGTTAAACACTTTAGGACCGGTATCTTCAATGGTAATCTGGAAGTTGTGGTCGGTATCCTCGTTCTCCAAGAGCTCCTTAAGCGTAGCATCGATGTCGGGGATGTAGAACTTGCGCGGTTTAAGCCGGGTGAGGTCGACCAGAGCCCGGCGCAAACGGAACACATGGTTCTTATTGTGGCTAGCCACTTCAAGCATATCGTTACCGTCCAGGTCCAGTTCCTCAGCGATCAGCTGACCCGGTGGCGGCGGGGTCGCTTCCTCCTGCGGTAAAGCGATGATCAGTGGACGGCGCTCGCCCGGGTGCTTTAAGTCGAGGTCGCGGAGCTGCTTCGCCGCCTGGTCGAGGTCCTCCGTCAGCAGCAGCAGCAGCTCCTCGGCGATGGTGTCGGTGTGCTTCAACGGTTTGGTCATCCCCCTATAGGGGTTCATCTCCTGTTTGTTCAACAGCAGCATTTCCCGCATCAGCATCAGGCGGAGCTTTGCCAGCGACGTGCTGGGGTTCTTCGCCTCGTAGTAGACTTCGGCGGCCTCAAAGGGGTCGCCCGACGACAGAGCGTTCAGCAAATTGCGTTGGTGGTGGCTCATTTGAGGGGACGAGCCAGTAAGGTTTTGTGGTTGTGGGTAGGAGAAACCGTTTGGTTGTGGTAACAAGCGCAAACACAAACTTGGCGAGCGGAGGGTGAGGGCCTGACGGACGCCTTTGTTCGCTCGCTGGGACCCGGTGACGTCAGCGGGCAGCAGCGAGCCAGTGAGTGATAGCGCTTAAATGTTCGGGGTAACCGCGAGCGTGATCACTAGCAGTTAAACAGCAAGCCACCAGCCAAGATAAAAAGACAAATACCATGCAAATAAATCTATAGTATCAATGGTGGAGACGGTTTGAGATGTTTTGATGATGTTGACATTGTCCTCTATAGAGTTTACGTTGTACGTGGTGCCATCGCTCAAACCTGTTTAGTTGTAGGTACTACGTGGGGGACTCCTAATCTTCAATTGGTGACGGCGCGAGGACTAGCGTGAATAACGGAGACCACGGAAAAGAGACGTAGCTAAATACAATCTCTCTGGATCGCAGGAACTAGTCTTCAATTGAGAGGCTAAAGTACTTGATATTACCAGGGTTAATAGCTTTTGTCTGTTATTAATTCAATGGCGTAAAATACAATATTTGTTGTAATTTTTGCCTCAATTGTTGCTGGTGTTGCTGGTGGCTCTGACTTGTCGTGGACATTAATGTTCGGAAACCTTCGATGTTGCGAGCCCCGGCACCCATCAATTGACCAGCGACAATATTTCAGCTCGACTGCTGCTGCTAGCTTAGCCAACGGGGTCCGGCGGTCTGATCGGGCTGCGCACGACCCGCCTCCACACCACCCACCCATCCCCACAAGTGAAATAATCACTCAGACGGAGACTGGCTCCGATATTTTACTAAATTTCCATCAAATTCCAAAATTCTTACCGTCAATTGACCGCTACCTCCATCAAATCCATCTTATTGACCGACACCCTTAGTAATGGCGACAGCTTCCCTTTGTCCGTGTACCCAAAGTTGTGTCCCCACAAAATGGCGTGCGAAAGTTTAGCCTGGGGACGAGATACCCTCGGTAAATACCTCTGAGGGAAACTCGGAAACTCTCGGAAGGATGAGACAGCCACCCAAGCAGGTTAGGGTTGCCACGCCATGTTCACACGTTCATGCCCGAGGCCTGCGGCTGAGCCCTACCAAATAGGAAGTCACCGGCAGGGTGGACGTGTCTCCGGGGAATACTGCCCCGGGGTATTTCGGTTGGGCTCCCGGGGTAACGCGCATGCTCCCCATGAATCCCCCCTATCACAGAAAAACTATATAAACCCAAACTCGCCCCCGCACCTCGCTAAGTTTTTCACTTTCACATTTATCAAATTCAATCATGGTTAAGGTTGCTGTCTGCGGTGCTGCTGGTGGGATTGGCCAGCCCCTCTCCCTCTTGTTGAAGATCAACAAGAACGTGTCGGAATTGTCGTTGTTCGACGTCGTCAACGCCCCCGGGGTCGGCGCCGACTTGTCCCACATCAACACCAACTCCAAGACCGCCGCTTTCGTCCCCTCGTCTAAGGAAGACAAGGAAGCCGTCGGCAAGGCCTTGCAAGGCGCCGACTTGGTCATCATCCCCGCCGGTGTCCCCAGAAAGCCCGGTATGACCAGAGACGACTTGTTTAACATCAACGCCGGTATCGTCAAGTCGTTGGCGGAAGCGATCGCCGACCACGCCCCCAAGGCGTTCGTCCTCATCATCTCCAACCCCGTCAACTCCACCGTGCCCATTGTTGCCGAGACTTTGAAGGCTAAGGGTGTCTACGAACCCAAGAGATTGTTCGGTGTCACCACCTTGGACATTGTCCGTGCCAACACCTTCATCGCCCAAGCCGCCGGCACCTCGCCCTCCGACTACAACGTCAACGTCATTGGTGGCCACTCCGGTGAAACCATTGTCCCCTTGTACTCGCTCGGCTCGTCGAAGAAGGACTTTGACGCTCTTTCCGCCGAACAACAAAAGGAACTCATCCACCGTGTCCAATTCGGTGGTGACGAAGTGGTGCAAGCCAAGGCCGGTACTGGTTCCGCCACTTTGTCGATGGCTTACGCCGGTTACAGATTGGCCGAATCGATCCTTGAAGCCGTTTCGGGTAAGGACGTCACCGAGTGCACTTACTTGAACTTGGACTCGTCGATCAAGGGTGCCGCCGAAGCCAAGAAGTTGGTCAAGGACTTGGACTTCTTCTCGTTGCCCGTCAAGTTGGGCAAGAACGGTATCGAAGAAGTCAAGTACGACATCTTGAACCAAGTCTCCGACAACGAAAAGAAGTTGATCGACGTCGCCATCGGCCAATTGCAAGGCAACATCGAAAAGGGGATCCAATTCGCCACCAAGTAAATTTTTACGAAATAGATACGACCAGAGGTAAACAATCATGTAGATTTGTTCAGGAGATTTCGGCGTAGACCGGGACCACCACTCCGACATATCCCGCAGCACCTGCAAGGTTACATGTAATTGTGTGGCCCACATAACAGTAAAGCGTATACCCATGCAAGCTTGTACATCTAATCGTTAGTAATCGTGATGGATAGCGTGTTAATAACAATTTCACCATTTTGATGAAGGATCCTTGATTGAATATATTTAGATCGTCGATGAATTTTGAATCTACTCGCACATGGAGATTCAGAGAGAAAGATTGCAAAAAGGTGGAATATACACTGATCAGCTGAATCGCACTAACCCCATAAAAACTACACTACGAAGTAAACGATAACTTCAAATGCTACCTTTCTTTCGAGTAGAGCTAACTCATTTTTCACTACCTCCTTTTCTCACCCCTAAACACTGAACTAGATCCATAAAATAGGCAGGAGAAAAGAATGAGAAGAACCGATATCAAACGGCAAAATACGAATCACGAGCATGACGTTCGACGTTATCCTTTAAAGATAAACCAGCGTACTCTTTTGTGATTGGAATCCTTAGTCGGTCCATTTGGTCTTGCCACTCACGTGACCTCATCGCATCGCAAAATATCGCACCAAATTTGACAATCTCACACCCGCTTAATCATCCCATCTCACGCTCAACATGGACATTGGCAAGCCCGTCGGGGCGAGTATTGCCAGTGTGGACTTTGGGGTCATGAGTGACGAAGAGATTCGGCGCCTCCTGGCCAAACAGGTCACCAACCCCGTGGTGTTCGACAATCTCGGCCACCCCATCCAGGGGGGTCTCTACGACTTGGCTCTCGGGGCGTTCCTCCGCCACCAGTGCCACACCTGTGGTCTTGACGAAAAATTCTGTCCCGGTCATTTGGGCCACATCGAGTTGCCCGTGGTGTGCTACAACCCGATGTTCTTCAAGCAGATGTACTTGTTTTTGAGAGCTCTGTGTGTCTACTGCCACCACTTTAAGATGCTGGCAGAGCAAAAGCACTTGGTCATGTGCAAGCTTAAATTGTTGCAATATGGGCTTGTGCGTGAGTGTGACATTGTCGACGGTATTGGTGCCGGTTCTCCCGACGATGTTGACGAAGAAGGCACCGGTATCAAAGGCGACACTAAGAAAGTGATGGCGCTTAGAGAAGACTATGTGGCGAGAAAAGTGGCTAAAGCTACTCCCGTACAGACGCTGACACTTATCGAAGAGCGTAAACGTGTGATTCTGGACTTCTTCAAGCGGTTGATCGCTAGAGGTAAATGTGACAACTGTGGCATGTTCTCGCCGCTGTTCCGTAACGACGGCTACTCGAAGTTGTTCGAGAACTCGTTGACTGATGCTCAACTCGCTAACAACCGTGTTAAAGGTTTGCTGCGCCCGCAAATCGTCAAGGGCGGTGTTTCTGATATCACCGTCCGTTCTAAGGGTTCGAAATACGTGTTGCTGACAGAAGTGCACGGTATCATACAACGGGTATTCCAACAAGAACAACAAGTTTTACTGACGGTGTTCCATCTGCGCCCGCTGGACGCGGAGGTGTCGGGGGACATGTTCTTCCGCAAGGCGTTGGTTGTCCCTCCCACCCGTTTCAGATTGCCGTCTAAGCTTGGTGACGAGATCCACGAAAACGCCCAAAACGCCCTGTTATCGGAAATCTTGCAAACCGCTCTCAATATCCGTGACTTGAACGAACTTATCGCTACTTCCTCGGCTAAGGAATTATCGGCGGAAGTGCGCAAACAGAACTTCAACCGGTTGATGAATAACTTCGTCAAGTTGCAAAACGACGTCAACACGTTTATGGACTCGACCAAGGCCCAGTCTAACGGGGGTAAGCTTCCCAACCCCGGTGTCAAGCAAGCGTTGGAAAAGAAGGAAGGTTTGTTCAGAAAACACATGATGGGTAAGAGAGTCAACTTTGCTGCTCGGTCAGTCATTTCTCCCGACCCCAACTTGGAAACTAACGAAATCGGTGTGCCTCCCGTGTTTGCCCATAAGCTTACCTACCCTGAACCCGTCACCACTCATAACGTCGCTGAATTGCGTCAGTGTGTGATTAACGGTCCCGAAAAGTGGCCCGGGGCGATGCTGATCCAAAACGAAGACGGGCTGATGGTGTCGCTTTTAGGGATGACCTTGGAACAAAGAAAAGCCGCCGCTAACCAGTTGATGACTCCCTCGGGTCCCGCCCAAGGGGTCAAGAAGGTGTTGCGTCACATCAGAAACGGTGACGTGGTGCTTATGAACCGTCAACCGACGTTGCACAAGGCCTCGATGATGGGTCACAAGGTGAGAGTGTTGCCCGGGGAAAAGACGTTGAGATTGCACTACGCCAACACCGGTGCCTACAACGCCGATTTCGACGGTGACGAAATGAACATGCACTTCCCGCAAAACGAGAACGCCCGTGCCGAAGCGTACAACTTGGCCAACACCGATTCGCAGTACTTGACCCCTACCTCGGGGCTGCCGTTGCGTGGTTTGATTCAAGATCACATTTCCGCCGGGGTGTGGCTTACGCTGAAGGACTCGTTCTTCACCAGAGACCAATACCAACAGTTGGTGTACCTGTGTATTAGACCCGAAGACGGCCACACTTTGGGTGCTCCTCGCATTCGCACGTTGCCTCCCACCATCATCAAGCCGCAACCGTTGTGGACGGGTAAGCAAGTCATTTCCACCGTGTTGCTTAACATTGTCCCTCATAACGCTCCCGGTCTTAACTTGAAGCTGAAGAATAAGGTTAAGAATGAACTCTGGGGGGTTGACTCCGAAGAGAACACCGTCATCTTCCACAAGGGTTTGCTTGTGTGTGGTATCTTGGATAAGTCGCAATACGGTGCCCAGCCCTACGGGATGGTCCACTCGATCCACGAAGTGTACGGCCCCACCACTGCCGGTGCTGCCTTATCAGTATTGGGTCGTCTTTTCACCAACTACATCATGCAAACCGCCTTCACCTGTGGTATGGACGACTTGAGATTGACTGACGATGGTAACAACTGGAGACAAGAGATCCTTAAGAAGGGTCCTCAAACCGGTAGGGACGCCGCGTTGGAAGTGACCAACTTGACCGCGGAAGACTCGCCGAAGGAACTCCGTCGTCGTCTCGAGGAAATCTTGAGAGATGACTCTAAGTTGGGTATTCTCGATGCCATCACTCAAAACAAGGTTAACCAGATCACCTCGGAAGTGGTTGGTAAGTGTATCCCTGACGGTACGATGAAGAAGTTCCCTTACAACTCGATGCAGGCCATGGCCACTTCTGGTGCCAAGGGGTCCAACGTTAACGTGTCGCAGATTATGTGTTTGTTGGGTCAACAAGCGTTGGAAGGTCGTCGTGTACCCGTGATGGTCTCTGGTAAGACTCTTCCCTCGTTTAAGCCGTTTGAGACTGACCTGAGAGCTGGTGGTTACATTAAGCAACGGTTCTACTCGGGTATCCGCCCTCAAGAATACTACTTCCACTGTATGGCCGGTAGAGAAGGTTTGATCGATACCGCCGTCAAGACGTCGCGTTCGGGTTACTTGCAACGTTGTTTGACTAAGCAATTGGAAGGGGTCCACGTCTCCTACGACGACCTGGTGCGTGACGGTGACGGCCAGGTGATCCAGTTCTTGTACGGTGGTGACGCCGTCGACGTCACTAAGCAGCTGCACATGCACCAGTTCCAGTTCTGCTTGGACAACTACGACGGCTTGCTCAACAAGTACCAACCCGGTGAAGCCATCGAACACTTGGACGTCGAAACCGCCGTCAAGTACTCGAAGAAGGCCCGCAAACACCTTAAGAAGGAAGCCGACTTGCCTGTCTACGCCCAACTGGACAAGTACGACCCCGTGCTCTCGGTGTACTCGCCGCTGCGGTACTTGGGTTCTGTCTCGGAACTGTTTGCCGCTAAGCTCGACGACTTTATTGCCCAGAACCCTCAATTCTTTGAGAAGGGTGTCTCTCCCGTTTCCGAAAAGAAGTTCCGTGCGATGATGGCTCTTAAGTACATGAGATCGGTGGTCCACCCTGGTGAAGCTGTGGGTATCATTGCCTCGCAATCTATTGGTGAACCGTCGACTCAAATGACGTTGAACACTTTCCACTTTGCCGGTCACGGTGCCGCTAATGTGACGTTGGGTATTCCCAGAATGAGAGAAATCATTATGACGGCGTCGGCCGCGATCAAGACGCCGCAGATGTCGTTGCACTTGTTGCCTGACATCAATCTGGAGATGGCCGACTCCTTCTGTAAGCTGGTGACTCGGGTCACTCTTGGTGAATTTATTGACTCGGTGTCGGTGACTGAAACTACTTCTGACGGGGCCAGATCCTACCAAGTGCAAGTTAAGTTCTACACTAAGGCTGAATACGAAAAGGAGTACGACATCTCTCAGGCTCAGCTTGAACACACCGTCCAAGGTCCTTTCCTCCAGAAATTGGAAACCGAGATCGTGAAACAGTTGAAGAAGGCGCTGAAGAAGCAACCGGTGGAAGTGGGGCAACTGGCAGGCAAGATCGACTTGGAAACCGTCCGCTCGTCAGGCAAGGACGACGACGACGACATCGACGCCGAAGACACCCTGAAGAAGCAAGCGGTGCTGTACGATGGTCCCGACGACGACGAAGTCGAGATCATGCAAAAGGCCGAGGCTCTGGACGCCGAGAACGACGACGACGAGCCCAACTCCGGCAGCGACCTGGACTCCGACGCCGACGACGTCGACATGGACGCCGAGCGCCTGGAGTTGCTGAAGCTGGCCAAGGAAAGACAGAGTGCCGTCATTGGCCACACCAACTACGTCACTGCCTTTGACTTCGACGACGCCCACGGCGAGTGGTGCTCGTTCCTGATCAAGTTGAGAGGTAAGGGCGACACGTTGCCGCCGAAGTTGTTGATGGTGAACATCATCGAGGACACCTGCCGGGCCCTGGTGGTGCGGGAGATCCCCCATATCCAGCGGTGTGTGCGGGACCCTCTGGACCCGAAGGCGTTGACGACGGAAGGGGTTAACTTCCGCGCGATGTGGGACGAGGACGAGTTCATCGATGTCGACAAGATCACCTCCAACGACGTGGCGGCGGTACTCAAGACCTACGGGGTGGAAGCGGCGCGTAATACCATCGTCAACGAAATCTACCGGGTGTTCGACACCTACGGGATCTCGGTGTCGCTGCGTCACTTGGACTTGATTGGTGATATGATGACTCGCCAAGGTAACTACCTCGCGTTCAACAGACAGGGGATCGACTCGCTGACGTCAGCGTTCATGAAGATGTCGTACGAGACCACGTGCCAGTTCTTGACCAAGGCGGTGTTGGACGGCGACCGTGAACAGTTGCAATCGCCGTCGGCGAAGATTGTGTTGGGTAAGGTGGCGGACGTGGGCACGGGCTCGTTCGACCTTTTGGCCCGGGTGCAATAAGGATAAGATAGATATGCATGTAAAAAGAGATATTTGATAATAGCCAGTGTAGATCACCACCAACAGCATTGATCTTTGAGCTCTGTTAGTTCACCCTTACATCAAACTGTATAGTTGATTGAATTTGTTGAATGTTTATAGTCCTGACTCAACGACTACGTGTTGATGCCATGAGTTCGGCGTCTACGGTTTTAAGGGTTACTCAAGACAATCATCTCCACTTTTGATCTGAACTGAGTTCTGGATATCAAAATTTCAGTCACTAACATCCAATAGAGACAGATTTAATAATCAATTCACAGCGAATGAAAAGCCACCACATAAGAAGTCCATAGACAAAAACGAAACCAGGAATTTCCTTTTTTCATATTCTTCTTTTCACCCCCGCTTATCTGTCATTGCTCGCGGCGGGGCCTCTGGCTCATCGCCGTTTTCCAAGCAGCTCATCGCGCACCGACTGCCTCAGACCCATACACCCTCGCCCCGATGATTTCCAGTTCGACGTGGGTGCCCCGAGGGTTTGCCCTGGAGTTCCCGGAACAGTATGAGTTGGACGACGCCGAGATGGAGCGTATCAACCAGTTGGCGCTGCTTGAGCTCAGCGATGCTCGCGACGACTTGGCGGAAGCCGAAGCCGACCAAAGCGACGACAAGCCGGCGCTGGCGGCCCTCAGCTCCACTCTCGAGATCGACGACGACTTAAAGGCCTACGATTTGGAAAACTACGACAACGACACCTCGGAAGGCCAGGAAGTGACGATGTTCCCCGGGTTGAGCTCTGAAGTGCAATACCACGAAGGCGAAGAAGGCAACGACCCCTACTTGCTGTTGCCCAATCAAACCGACGAAGCCGAAGAGAAGGCGGAAAACCAGATCTACCCTACCGATAACTTGGTGCTTGCCACGCGTACCGAGGACGAGATCTCGTTCTTGGACGTTTACGTCTACGATGACGGGGCTGGTGCGCCCGTTGGTGCTCAGGAGGAAGACGGCGACTTTGACAACGACGGCATGGCTCCCGGTATGGTCAGAGAACCCACGTTGTACGTGCACCACGACATCATGTTGCCTGCTTTCCCCCTTTGTGTCGAATGGGTCAACTACCGCCCTGGCAAGCTGGTGGTGGACGAATCGAACCCCAACATCGGTAACTTCGCTGCCATCGGGACCATGGACCCTCAGATCGAGATCTGGAACTTGGACTGTGTCGACAAAGCGTTCCCCGATGTCATCTTGGGCCAACCTCAACCGGGGCAAAAGAAGAAGAAAAAGAAGGGTAAGGGCCACGTCACCACCCACCACACCGACGCCGTGTTGTCGCTCGCCCACAACCGCGTACACCGCCTGGTATTGGCGTCGACGTCGGCCGACCACACCGTTAAGTTGTGGGACTTAAACACCGCTGACTGTGTGCGGTCGTTCTGCGATATCCACGGCGGCGCCACCGTGTCGCTGTCGCAATGGCACCCTAGCGAAGCCCAGATCCTCTTGACTGGTGGCTACGACGGTAAGGTGGCGGTGCTGGACGTGAGAATGGCCGACGAGCTGCAGCTGACCAAACAGTATAAGATCGGCAACGGCCAGGAAATCGAATCGGTGAGATGGGGGTCGCTGCCAGAGCTCTTCTACGCTGGTACCGACGGCGGTAACGTCTACTGCTTCGACGTGCGTGACCAGAAGAAGCCGTTGTGGACGTTGCACGCCCACGACGCCAGTATCTCGTCGATGGACGTCAACCCTCACATCCCCGGGATGTTGATCACGCTGGCGATGGGGGAGAAGGTCGTCAAGTTGTGGAAGTGCTCCCAGGGCACTCCCTCGATGGTGATCCTGAGAGACTTTGGCATTGGCAACGTGTTGACGCTGTCGTTTGCCCCTGACATCGAAGTGGCGGGGTGTGCCGTTGTGGGTGGTGTCACCGGCGACCTCAAGTTGTGGGACGTGTTGACTAATAGTGGTGTTCGCCGTACGTTCAGAGATGAAGTGAGCCAGATGCAACAACGCGCCCGCGAAGAAGCACAGACGGTGGGTAAGCCGTCGCGGATGGCACGCAAGTACCAGGGCGAGGTGCTGGAGGTGTTGATGCTGGTGGAAGCGGGCGGTGACGACGACGAGCTGGACGCCGACGAAGGTGATGTCGGTGGTGACGATATTGAGGAAGACCAATAGCATAGATCGAGCAATAGATGATAATGAGACATTCTAATCAGCGAAAGAGAGTAGAATAGTAATTTAAAATAGGAATCAACGGGTTGCAAGGCAAAAAGTAAGCCCGATGCGGGGCTCGAACCCGCAGCCTTGAGATTAAGAGTCTCACGCTCTACCGATTGAGCTAACCAGGCGCCGATATTTAACTAAAAAGTGCACTTTGTCGTGTGACATTTTACCACAATGGGGTTTTCAATCTTTACACTAAGGCCTCAGAGGTCGTCGCATTTGAGTGAATCGAAAAGTCCAGAAGGATAGCGTGGTACATGAGTAAACAAAGGCCCCGAATTACCAAAGATATGTCCGTCTCTTGCGGATATACGACGTTGTGATATCTCTTTGAACCACGATAACTCGCTAGCTACCATTGTAAGGAGACTGAAGAGTTGAGTATGCGAAGAATCGAGAATGGAGTATATTTCGGGAATGGTGTACTTTGCCCAACGCCCACGATCTATCAATAGAAATGCCCCTAAAGCAGATTGATAGACTATGAAGTTATGCAGCTAGTTGACCGCAATAGAGTACCAGAGACGTGTTTCACGTGTTTATAACGTCAATTGTCTTACTCCGCTGACCAGCACAAAGAACTTAAGCTGTGAGCGTTCTTGATTCAAAAAGGTAGATTTTCGCCACGGCATCAGATTTTTTCCACTCCTCAGTCACCTGCCGGATACGAATTTCTGGGTTTTCACCTTTCCATACATCATAAATATCTTCTTCAACCCGAAACCGATGGAATTGTTTCTTGTTAAGCACCCCAGAAAATACGTGATAGTTGGTGGGGGGTTCAATTAAGAATGAATTTAATTTCTTTTCGGTCAATAAATCACAAAGCTTATCTCCAAACACTAAATGGTAGCACCGTAAGAATTCTTTGCGATCGAACTCGAAGGTATCCAACAGTGTAATATCGTTCAGAAACTGCATCCTACAACCACATAGCGCTTTGAAGTTTGCAAGCCGAATTTGCAAGCTATGCATGCGATCAATTGCGGTCTCCAGCCTCAAAAGTTTCAGGGCAGACTCGATCCAACTCTTGCACTCTTGCTGCTCTTGAGGAGGAGTTGCAAGCATTCTTTCGAGGGACGAAATAAGCAGGGCTAGATCGAGTTGATCATCCTCGTCGGGAGTGGCGTGTTTAGCCAAAATTTGAAGATCGATCCGTCGGCGCTCGAGGTTTCGGGATAGTGCGGCACTCATACTGTCAACATCTAAGTTTTTGTATCTCTCCATTGAGTTTTGACGGGATTCTCGCATAGCAGCAGCAAGACTAAAAATAGTCGTCGCCTGCTGAACGCTCAGTATTCTCCGGTAGGAGTTATACGCCTCTTCGGGGTCAAAAGATTGAGCGAATTGTGGATATACCTCGATGAAAAACGAGGGCGGGCGGCCTGGCGTCCTTAGTAAGTCGACGGGTTTGTTTGAAGTGGAGCTCATTGTAGCAGCATCTTATCGTTAAGTCCAGAGCAGGCGCAAAGCCGACGAGGGTGGTATGGTTTATTTCAATCGCTGGCAAGGGTAGACGTCCCCGCGCGGGTTATCAGTAAATGCACCGTCAAATTTAAGCTCTACTCACATGAGTCGTGTTTCTCGTCAGGACACTTCTCGGAAGCGGGGACGAATAACATTCAATGGTCCAAGCCAACCGAAGAGGCAACGCCGGCTAAGGAGCCATGATCCCGCGAAATCAGCCCCTCCAGCGTCGTTCCTTGACGGCGTAGAGGTGATCGACTTGTGCGACTCTCTGTCGCCATCACCCGAATCTTCAGAGGATGAAAATAGCCTGGACGAAGCCTCTAGTGCTAGTCCATTCGAATCCCGGTCTCGTGACCATCAACAACAGGCCAATGATGAGTCAATCGCATCAAAAACCGATACTGAAGATAATAATGACAGTGTGGAAATAATCGAGATTGAGGATTTTCCCCTGGGCGGTGAAGACGTTTCTAGCCGAGCAGAGCCGTCTGGTGTTGATACTCCCCAGGATCCAGCTCATTGTGAACTAGTGTCTACAGGTAGTGACACAATCGTACAAGCTGATGATGATGCTCGAGATCAAGTGTCTGACATTTCGAGTGACGAATATACCGGTTCTGACGCTACGGAACCAAAGGTGAACGTTATGAAGCACGCAGAAACTGGGCTTCTAGTTTGTGCCGAGGGCCACGAACCGATGGTGGTGCTACGTCAGCAGATAGGGTACCACTTGCAAAGTAAACACAAGGGCAATTGTTCCGAAGAGTTCCTCGACAAGCTTCGAAAAGAGCTAAGAAAGAGCAACATCACCAAGCTTCCTCTCAGAGTGAAAACCAGGCTTCCAGGCATTCCCGTTACTGAGGCATTCTATTGTTTTACATGTTGTAAAGTCCTCAGAGCCAGAGTGGTGCATACTGTAAATAGCCCTACATGCAAGGGAAGTAAGCGAGTAACGGTCAGAAGTCAGCAGTGCTTTGATCGCGGAAGCGTGATTCTTGGGTCCATTCCAGGAGAGCCCCTCGATCATGACCACGTCGATTCTGATGATAGCGATCTGGAAACAGAAGTTCAAATCGAGAAGCACAAAGAAACTGGCTTATTTGTGTGTGCCCACGATCATGACCCGGTGGTTGTGCTTCCACAGAACATCTCAAAGCACATGGGTCATAGCCATAAATATGGGTGCTCTGAAGAGTTGCGCGCAAAGATTCGCCGAGTTCTCAGGCGTTGCACGGTTATGGAGGTTCCCCCCAATATAACCACCAGGCTTCCTTTTATTCCCATTGTCACGGTTCATTTCTGCTTTCACTGTCGCGAGATTTTCAAGAAACGGCACTTTCATGAAAAGACAAATCCCCAATGTAAAGGCAGCAAAAGCGTACCCGTCAAATGTCAATTCTCCGCCCTAAAGAACGGTGTGATTCTTGGTCCCATCCCAAACGAAGAAGATATCAATATGTGCGACCATGCACTCACTGGTCAGAATTCTGAAAACTATTCGGTATACACTAGCGATGAAAGTAATGGGGGTGCTTTAACCAAAGTTAACGTGTTCCTTCACGAGGAAACAGGCTTACGTGTTTGTGCCGAATCTCATAGCCCTAGGGTAGTGCTTCCACGCCAGATAACGTCGCACATTTCGAATTTTCATACTGACAATCAAAATGGCTCCAACGAGATTCGCAAGCGACTTCGTGAGGAACTTTTGAAGTGCCCTGTCACCGACGTCCCGCCCAACATTCAGACTGCGCTTCCAGCTATCCCCATTGACGAAGCAAACTACTGCTTTAAATGTCGAAAGGTTTTCGTAAACACTTACATGCATGACAAACGACCCCAATGCAAGGGCGGCGAGCGAGTATTGGTTAAATGCCAATTCTACAACAAAGCCAAGAGCGTGATCATTGGGTCCATGCCAGATGTACCTAGTGATCTTGCTGATGGCGACGTCGACCATATTGACGACGGTGAGGCCAATGGGAACGATGGTCCAGATGTAGATGTCCAAAAACATAGCGAGACTGGCTTGTTTGTCTGTGCTCACGGCCACGCACCTGTGGTAGTACTCCCACTGCAAGTCCTCGTCCACCTCACTAATAACCACACCACCAGACATAACTGCTCCAAAGAGGAACGTGCACAAATTCTGAAGATACTCAATACTTGTACAGTTACTGAAATTCCGGCAAACATTCAAACAGAATTCCCTGCCATCCCCATTGTCATCGCAGATTATTGTCTTAATTGCAAAATGGTCTTTAAGACAAAGACAAGTCATGTCAAGAACGACGAATGCGTCTTGGTACGAGTCAGGTGCCAATTTTACGCTAAGGGTCTAGGCGTGGTGATTGGACCGTTACCGCAAACGCCTGATGACAACGAAGTCATAGACTCCGACGAAAGTGACGTTGAAGAAGAATTGAAGATTGAAAAGCACCAGGAAACCGGCTTGCTTGTTTGCGCTGAAGGTCATAAACCAAGGGTAGTGCTTCCAAGCCAAGCCAAATATCACGTCAGATATGACCATTCCATCAAACGTGGATGGTCCAAAGGGTTACAGGAAAAGATGATTGAACTTCTCAGCGCCTGTTTAGTTAACGTGGTGCCTTCCAACGTTCAAACCCCACTCCCTTTCATTCCTGTTGTCCAGTCAGAATACTGCTTTAATTGCTGCCGGGTATTGAAGTATAGCTCCGACCATGACGAGGAAAATGAATGCTTGGGCAGCAAGCGAGTTCTAGTCAACTGCCAGTTCTATTTACAAAATAAGGCCTTAATAATTGGGCCTACGCCAGAAGAGCCCAACGATGTCGTCAACAACATTAGCAGATCGGGTCTGGTTCACTTTAATGATAGTGACGACAATGATGATTATGAAGATGAACCACCATTGAACATCTCGACTCACCTTGAAACTGGGTTGCTTGTGTGCGCACACGATCATGAACCGGTGCTAGTGCTTCCACAAAACATTGCAAGCCACCTTTCACAACTTCACCCGAAATCGCAGTGTTCCGAGAGACTACGTCAACGTATCCGTCGATTCATAAGACGTTGTACCGTCAGTGAGGTTCCTGCCACCATTCAGACCGCGTTACCTGCCATTCCCATGTCCGTCGCAGAATATTGTCTTCAGTGCAAATTGTTGTTCAAATCATCCAACACCCACCAAAAGACAAAGGCGGAGGGGTGTGAAGTTGTGCGAGTGAAGTGCCAGTATTATAACCGATATCAAGCCGTCATGGTTGGGGATATTACAGATCAAACAGATGTCAACGAGTTACCAGTTTTATACGAAAGTGATGTGGAAGCGGAGGTATTAACCGAATTGCACGAGGAGACTGGCTTGTTCATGTGCGCTCATGGCCATGAACCTGTGGTGGTTTTACCACGCCAGGCCCGTCAACACACCGTAAGATGGCACTCCGACGAGCGTGGCGGCTCCAAAGAATTACGTATCAAACTTCGTCGAGTTCTTGAGCGTTGCAAAGCGACTGAAGTCCCTGCCAACATCTATACCAAGTTCCCTGCCATTCCGGTCACGAAAGCAGAGTACTGTTTCGGATGTTGCGAGGTCATCGGAGACTGGCCTCATCATGTAAAAGAGTCTTGCAAGCGCATTCCACGAGCACAAGTCGACTGTCAAATTTACCAGTACAGAAAAGGTGTGATCATCGGGGATGTGCCGGAAACTCCCCCTTATTATAAAGACATCGATTCTGGAGATTCTACGCTGGATGCATCCAATGATGAGGGCCACAACCGTCCTGACGATTCATCCACACCAATCGAGGGTGAAGATGAGGAGGACGATGGCCTAGAATTGAACATCATGAAGCACCAAGAAACCGGCATACTTGTGTGTGCCCATGGTCATAAGCCTATGGTGGTACTTCCTCTGCAGCTCACGTATCACCTCTCAAAGAGACATTCCTACATGTACAACAGCACCGACAAGTCACGAGCAAGGATTCGTCGTATTTTCAGCACTTGTACGGCGACAGAGGTTCCTCCCAGGATTAGTACGAAGCTTCCCTTAATTCCCGTGATTCTGGCAGAGTATTGCTGCAACTGCTGTCGCGTAATCAAGAATGACCCAGATCATGATTGGACAAATGAGTGCAAGGACAGCAAGCGAGTGATGGTCGATTGCCAGTTCTACACCAAGACCGAAGCCGTGGTTGTTGGACCATTACCCGTCGAGTCTGACTGATGCTCTAATAGAAATGACATTTGTGACTACAACGACACTACAAGGGGTGGTTATTGAATTTGAGCTTTAACTAGAGCATGACGATCAACGACATTCAACGATAACAACTCTTACATATTATATTGTTACTTTACCACTTTCGTTGTACCTCAATGCAGTGCCACGCTCATAAGCGTACGGAGCTTCACGATCTAGTAATAGCCTAGGAGGGGTTGCAAGGTCGTTCTAAGTGTTATATTAATGCAAGTTAAGTAGTTTGAAATCATTAAAGCTTGGTGGTGTCGCGCCACTCCCGGCCCTTGTTACCTCTGATCATCACGTTCATCACCGCGAAGTCCTTACCCTCCACGGCCCCGTCAAACTTGTTGCCGAGAACGATGTTTTCTACCAAGTGAAAGTTGAATCTCTCGTAGATAGGGATGTTCACTGGACTCAGCAGTTCCAAATAGCAGATCAGGTCGGGATCGTTGTCGATGTAACGGTCAAACATGTAAGAAAACACTTTGCGCAAGTTACCTTTGCCTCTCAGACGCTCCACCAGGCCCACGTAGACAAGTGTCCAGCAGTGCTTGTTGCGGAAGCGGGGTTCATGCAAAATTCGTTCACACAGGTCGTGCAACAACGGCACCAACCCGGAGAAGAACTTCTCTCTGGTGGCAGGCGGTACCATGTCCCACAACTCGTTGTATTTCAGTTCCATCATCGTGGCGAAGGAGAACATCCCTTCATCTTCTGAGGTGGGAGTCGCAAAGATCGCTACCGTCTCAAACGTGCTGGCATCTTCACCGACACCTAAACACACCCCTTTGAGGATGTGCTGACGCACGTAACACTCGTACATCTTAGTTTCCGCTGCCTGGCGGAGCTGGGGGTCCTGGATGTCATTCATCAATAACAGCGCCAACGCATCGTTGCGGAACAGCTGGTAAAGGGTGCGGGCGGCCTTAGCGGCATCGTCCAAGGTGAGGAGACGTAAACCGGTCAGATATGTCGTGGTATTGGTGGTGGCAGTGCTCATGGTGGAGATATCAGGGAGTGGGCGTTTGTCATTTATAGATGGCTACCCCCAGGGCGAATGTGGCTCCCAAAAAAGCAGGACGATGCGCGAGCGGAACCCTGGTTAGGCGGCCCCGCGCGAAACTTCAACCAGATTGCGGGGGTCTACCCCCCAGTGTCAGGCAAGTGACACTGTCATTTACCCCCTATGCCCCTGAGATCAATACCTGTGTCACCTGGTTCAACATCGTGTACAAGAGTTTACGAGGGTAGCGTTGAAGTCATTGATCTGTGTTGCGAGTGAGCTTCACCGATTAGGGAGATAAGCGCATTTCACACACTCAAGGATTCGGGCTTATACACCGGAGCGGAAATGTATGGGCGAGTTGTGAAGCCACTCTCACCGAGGGTGCCGATGCCATCGCTCATGCTGATTCAGGCAACTAATGTGCTCAAGTATGCTTCCGTATAGTGGAGAACTTTTGCTGTAGTAGCCCAAGTCGTAAATGATGATTCTCATCATATCATGTTGGAGTGACTTTGATTTATAGGGCTCTATTTGAACAAGATGTGGGACCACATATTGTACCCCTGTGGCTTTACTGATGAAGGCTAATGCGACACTGGTAGGGCTTGAGTAGTAGATGCGCCGGCATAGCCCGAAATGGCACGAGATACATATGCCGAAATTGTTTTGCCCATCGTCTTAGTTGTATCGTAGTCTTAGCGGATCAATTCACATCATTGAGCAAATTTTTGATCCATGATATTGGAGTTACCAAATCCACTTCCAGCACTCATCATGCTCCTCACATTTGAGTATGTCGCTAGTAAATAATTTTCAGACTATCTATGAAGATAGGTAAATGATTGATATTAAACTTTACTCCCCACAAGTTCAATTTATGAGGGTTTCAACAATTTTCGAAATTTATGTTGCAATATTGGAAAATTATATACATATCAGAAGATCTTGACAATCGCGCTCGAGTGTCAGCTATTTCAAATTTTTTACAGAAGGTTAAAGAGAATAGCATTTATAACTATAAATTCAAGGTATCAATATGTCCAAGTCCATAGAGGTGACTAGACATCGAAAAAGTAGAAAATGTGAGAGATGTTAGAGGCGTTGTTAATTAGGGGTCAAACTGCTTACAACAAAGCGGCGATCAAACCAATGGCACCCATGGCGAAACCGAGCTTGTTGGCGTTAGCAGCACCTTCGAGAGCACCCGACACTTCAGGGACACCCGGAGCCGACGTTTGTTGTTGTTGTTGAATGGGGGCAGACTTTTCGGGGCCAGCAACAGTGGTAGCAGTGGTAAGGGGAGCGGGGCCTTTGCTGGCGTTGCCAGTGGGAGCAGGAGCAGGGGCCTTGGTTTCCTCAGCAGCCGAGGTGGGAGCAGGGGCGGGGGGTTGAGACTTGTTGTTGTTGTTCTCGGGGGCAGCAGGGGCAGCAGGGGCAGGGGCAGAGGAGTGAGGAGCAGGACCTTGGCTGGCGTTGCCAGTGGGAGCAGGGGCGGGGGGTTGAGACTTGTTGTTGTTGTTCTCAGGGGCGGCAGGGGCAGGGGGTTTACCTTGGCCTTGTTCGCCAGTGGGAGCAGGAGCAGGGGGTTGGCCTTCGGTGGTCTTTTCACCTTCAGCGGGGGGTTGACCTTGTTCACCGGTAGGACCAGGAGCAGGGGCGGGTTGCTTGCCGGTTTCGATGGGGCACAAGGTGGTGTAGACGGTTTCCACGGAGTCGATGGTCTTGGTGACGATCGAGTGGGTGGCGGGGACGGTCTTTTCGTTGCACTTGTTGTCTTCGCACGAGGTGATGGTGATCACGGTGTGGATGGTGGAGCCAATCTCGGTGACAGTCTGGGGTTCAGTGTCGGTGGTGTTCGAGAAGGCGGCGACGGAGGTGGCAAGGGCACCGGCGAGCAAGTATCTGTATTGCATAGCGAAAGTAAGTAGTTGGGTTGGTGAAGAAATGAGATTGAAGATGGCATCCTATTTATATTATTCTGGGATCGGCGGTTCACCAATATTCTTCGTCGCCTATGTGTTATGTACATACCATGCACCTATGACTGGTCTTATGCAGTACGACGCCAGAAAATACCTCCTTTCGTGGGGTGTGGCTGCAGGGGTTACCGGGCCCCGGCCTCTTACATCCACGGGTTCCAAAGCGGAAAAATCTTATTGGGCCGGCCAATTGCACCTTAGGTGCTGAAGCTTAATGTCTGAGGTGTCGGCGCCACCCCGACAGCAATTTTTCGATAGTTAAAATTTTAGTTTCGGCAAGTTTATTGTACTCTCAGTGAGGCCACTTCAGTAATGTGACCACTCTCCTATAGGGTGATTGGGTCCCGTTCCTCCGGTGATGCCCGCCTCAGTTGTGGGCATAGCCAACAACGATGTCATCATACGTTGGCAAAGTCGCGTCGCTCGGCCAGGCAACGCCGATTTAGCAGCTCGTGTCACCCGGGCCCCGGGGGCAACAACACGACAAGGCGCTACGCGTATTGTTTACCATTGTGTAGCCGACGTACAGCTCACACAGCCATCATCCAGTGACACAATAGTCCAATTTTGTCGTGGTCGCGTGCTATACTACTCTGAGCTTATCTACAACCTACAGAAATAAACAATGCCAACGTGTGGCGGCCAAGCCAGCGGGCTAAAAATGAAACCAAGGCCAGATAAACAATCGTTGGGGTAAGAATCTATCAGAATGTTCACCGGGGATATGATATCAGGGTGCAATGCGGGTGATTTGTGCCTATATAATTGTTGGCGCCATCGCTGGGAGCGTTGCCAAGCCCCTCTGTAAGGAGCGCAAGCTGATCGCGCCTGTGACAGAACATCGCCTAAGGTAAACGAAAACACTGTGCGCGGAGAGCGGGGGAGTCGAGACCCCCGGCGAACGGAAAAAAAAAAAAAAGAACACAATAGGGGAGAGTGGAACGGCCAAACTTTAAACAACGCCACACACTAGCTCGCATGCGAAGAGGCTGACCTGATATCACGAGGCCCCACCCGGTCAGAGGCATTGCCAATTCCCTAGGTAGCCAAGCCTCCAGCCTAAGCGTAAGGCAGGTGGAAGCATTCGTTGTCTGTAGCTCATTAGCGGTTCTGTCCTCCGAGCCTCGAACGACAAATGACCGACAATATGTGCCATTGTTTTTTTTTTTTTTCAGCGCCAGTCGCCGGTATAGGCTAGCGGCGGTTTTTGTCACCGTGCGTATCCCTTTCCGAGAATGTCAACAACAAACGGGTGGAGAGACGGCACCGCAAACACCAGTATAGGGGCACACAATGGCCCACTAGCCCCCCTCCGTCAACGCAGAGTGGCTATACGACGACAGCAAGCCTAAAAAAAGGGCCCTAACACCGGGCCGGCTAAGCCTCGCCACAGGCACTGTTTGTCTCAGCTCGTGGTTGTTTGCTGTGCCACTGAGGTGCGACCCGTCTCGCACACGCGTCGTATGGTTCTGGTGTATGACATCATCCAGTCCCAGGTGTCCCGTTTCTCCCATGTCACCACGGGGATAGGCGATCCCACCCTGTTTGAGCCTGGCGTGTATGATTTCCAGACGACGCCCACCAACCAGGGTGTGGCGGTGGCCATCGCGTCGATGGCCATCAGCCATCTCAGCCACGGGCTGCTGGCGCGGGTCGTGGTTATTGAGTGCCTAGGGAGGTTTCCCTGGCCGTTAGTGACGAAACACCGTCAGTTTCGAGGGCGTTGGCTCGATGCTAATGGCCCCTTAAAGATGTATCGGTGTACCAGTTTTGGCGAAGTGTATACGCGTCTTGAGAGCTTAGTCGGCGACGAAGACACGTTGGTGGTAGTCTACCAGCTCCACGAGCTTCTTGACCACTACCGTCTCCAGCTTGTGCAGTCGTTTAAGCACCATATGCTCAAGTATAAGCTCGAGAAGACCGCGGCTGCCGTCGATAATAAGACCCAGGGAGTGGACGATATCACTAAGAACCTCCCTACTTTACCACCATCATCGGATTTGCTACAAAAGCTGGCCATCAGCAAGTTTGATGCTCACATGACGGCGTTGGTGCTGCTACTAAAAGAGGTATCGGCGACCTCAGTGGTGGTATTAACTGGGGGACTTGACGCTCGCTTTTGTAAGCTTGAACCGTGGCCGGCAACATCATCGTCGTCGTCGCAGCTTCCGTCACTGCCGATATCTCAGTCACGAGACCCTGTTGCTCCCAATCGGACTCGCCTCATGCTCGTCCCGTCATCAGAGTTTCTCTACCCTCACGTTGCGGCTCGGTTCATCTTCTTCCGTGACTGGTACCAGAAATCACCAAAGTTTGCCCTGGCGGAATGCTACCAGCCTCGGGTCAGCTATACTGACTTGCGCCTTGTCCACGCAGTTAAAGTGGATAGAGGAGGCCAAGTCAATACCTACTGGTTTGACCTAGACGCTGATGACGAAGCCACCCAGCTGAGTCAATTTAAAGTTACTAGTCTTATGGTGGACACTGTTGACGAAGAACCAGAAGATGATGCCAACCAATTCTCCTCGCAACTGACGGCAGAAGCTAACGTAACCGTCGTGATGAACTCGTCAGCGCCGCCCGAACTCCCACTGACGCCGCTGGTGACCTACGACAACACCCACGTCACCATCAGATACCGTCTGACTCCATGACTGAAACGAAAAGCTCAGTCTCCAAAACCACTAATGATAAATGTCCGCAGACTTCACCGACTCCACTTCAACGGTGAACTGCAATCTAATGCCCTTAGACACTTCCTTCACAACCACGACTGTCATCAATACTTGTATCACTATAAATAGCGTACCGTCAGTGGTTGTGTCGATAGATGCTGTAATATACAATACAATACATATTTAGAAACACTACAGGCCACGGCTGAGTTGACACTGGCACATTTGTGGCCAGATCCACTAGGCGTGTCTGCCGGAGAGGTGGCGCTTAGGTCGTCGCCATATTTTTTTTTTTTTCTCTTCACGACACGTCTTGTCCCAGTGCCTCTTGGCAACCCTCCCACAGGCAGACGCGTCTCACTAGTCGCGCTCAAGATCGAAAAGGTAGACCCTGACCGTGGTAGTGGACAGTGATCTCCTGCACGTCATTAACGCTCTCGAACCAGGCGACCGAGTGCCGAGAAACGTCGACGTGGCCCCTAGCCTCAAATCAACGAGAAACCTCAGTCTAGACCCCACTGCCAGTGTTACTTTTTTGTTTAACAACTACGTCGATGTACCCTTATATGACGACTTAGTCCGTTTTGGATAACTGTTAGCGAGATTGTGAGGTCTAGGCAAGGGGGGGGTACTCTGATGACTGTATCCTGCACATAAACCCACAGTCCCGCCGTAGGCACACCAATTTAACCTTTTAGTGCGACTGGGCGAGGCTCACCACCGTCCACCTGGCCCTCAGCGAAACCAGCCACTTTCAAACCCCCCTCTCACTGGCGATGTTTCAGGTGCCACGAAAGTTGGCCCGAGACCTGCAGACGCTGACACTGCTGCTGGTGTATCTGGCAGGCGACGACGATTTCCATTTTGACGACGAGGCGCCGCTAGAGGCCGCCGCTCCTATGGACCATATCGAGGAGGAAGAGGAAGAATTAGGCGACGAACTCGAAGCAGACATATCTACGTCGACCAGGAACGGTAACGCTGAACCAATCGAGCCGGTACCGCCTCAGCCAGTGCCGCAACCGGTAGAGTCAGTGCCACAGCCCCTGGTGGTTCCTCAAGCCGCTGACCCGGTTCCCGAGCCAGCCGCAGCACCACAACAGGCTCCCGAAGAACTGGGTGAGCTCCATAACAAGTTCCACCGTCTCCTGATGACGCTCCAGCAGCTGAAGACTAATGACCAACTGCAAGCTTTCATGCTGACGTTCCAGCAGAACGTTGATAAGGCCGCTGCTCGTCAGCCTCAGCCTATCGACACCAAACGGGCTCTGTACTATGCTCGTATCCACGATAACGTTCCCGACGACTCCTTTGACGCTCTGAATGCCTCGTTTGACGACGCTGACCCTCACCACAAATCCCCTGACCCTCTGCCTACTGTGGCTGGCCCTGACGACGAACATGACCACCTTAGTCTCGGCCAGAAGCTGGGCTCCGGTCCTTCCGGTGGGTTGGGGCTCTCAGTGGACGAAGAACTGGTGGAGCTGGTCGACGACGAGGACGACCTTCTGACGCTTTTCGTGCGCCTGTTGCACCCGTTCGACGCCCTGCTGCTACAGCTGGATCTGGACGCGCTGATATGTCTTTCATTCGACAAGGACGAGCTCGCATTTGTCCATACCATCGACGAAAGTGGCTGGGGGGAAGTGACGCTTGTGGAACTGTTACAGCGAGGGTGGGTGCCAATGAACTACTTCGCCATGGCTGTGATTCCGGGAGACGACGACGAGGAAGAAGAAGATGAAGAGGAACGTGACGGCATCATCCCTAATTCGCACTACCTCCGTCCGCTTTTCCATGCGTGTGGCAAGTTCCTCATCAACCCTTTAAGTCATCGCAACTCTAAGGGTAAGTTCACGTTCTCCCTCCGTACCGTGAACCTGATCAGAGATGGGGTACGCTTACTTCTCCAGTACACTGACTGTCTTCTGCGGCTGAATGAGATTGTCACCAAACGGCCCGTGGTGCGCAAGCTGCGGAAACTGTTGCTTGCTGACTGGTATAATTTGATGGTGAAAGCCAATGAATTCAAGGGGACGCTGAATTTCGGTAAGATTGAGATTTTAACTCTCATGGTGTACCAAGTTACCACCACCGCCACCATCTTCCTCCAAGTGTGGCTGGTGGAGCTGCGCCAGGTGATCAAACGCGATAACGAGAAGCGTTTGCAACTGGATATGAACAATTACCCGTTGTTAGCGGTACCGCCGCTTGCCAAGACAAGAATCACCGAAATCAACAGTCTTTTGTACACTTACCTTGGCCTCATCATCGGCCGGCTTGATCTTGTCGAGCACAACCCGATCGGGTGTGACATTCTTGAGACCCTCACTCATCAAATCATTTTGCTCTTAAGAGAGCTCTTATTCATTTCAAAGACGGGGCTGGACTTCAGTAATGAGAAGCCGCTGGACTTGGACGCTCTGCTCGACACGTTGTTGCTGTTGGTGCTGGACTTGGTTCTGGGGGTCAAAAACCTCGTGGTAAAGACACTTAACGAACTGCTGGAAACCCACGAGGTGGGCATCATGCACGAATACTACTATACTCCCGAAGGTGGCGACTTGATCCAGGTGGCTCTGCGCATTATTCGCCTGATCTCAAAGACAATTGCGCTGATCCGCAAGCTTCTAGAAGTCACGGGTGACTTCAAGCTTAACCTGGAGCGGCTGTATCCTGACTACTCGCGTATCAAGATTGAACCCCAAGAGTTCATCCGCAAGTGCACTTTGGGCATTGCCAAGCTGAACCTGGCTCAATTCAAACAGCACCAACCCATCAAACCGATGCAGCACAACCGGTACTCGCTCATTCGGGCGGGGAAGACAGGCGAGCTTGGCATCACCCCTGGCGGGGCAAATATCCTTCACGATGTGCTTTTGGAAACTGAAGGGGCGTCACCGTTTGCCGTTGATCAAAGTCCTCTCGTTCCTATCGATGAACAAGAGCTTCAAGTCGATCAAAATGGTAACTTAATCGGGGCACTGTTCCGGGGGTTGGTCTACACCTTGACCAATGAGACCAGCCCTCCCGACTACTTCTTCGTGCTGACGTTTTTCCTCTGCTTCCGCCTGCTTGCTCTGCTGATTGACCTCACCGAAGAGCTTATACAACGATTCGAACCTCAAGGTACAGACACTACCTCGTCGCATATGCGCAACCGCCGTCGTCTCATCGTGAAGATGTTCCAGCTCTGGATGGAACTGTACTGGAACGCCGAGACCGATTTCAGTATCTTGACCACCCTCATCAACTTCTTCAACGAAGGGGTGCTGCAGTTCCTTCCCCTTGATGCCATGAAGCTCATGGAGATTGCCGTTAAGTTGCTGACACGTCCGCTGTTGGTTGAAAACGAAAAGAAGGTGTTACGCCTGAACCGCCAGCTTGTCATACGTCTGATCACCGCAGGACGTAAACTGCGCAAGACTAACCATCTGGCCACGGTGGCGCTGGGCGACCAATTGGTCGACCAGTACGAGTTGGCGAAGATCCACCTGAACCTGCTGACGGAGCTGTACCAAAAGAACGAGATGATTGCCCTGCCGCAACTGCTGCTTTTACTGAAACAAGCAGTGGCTCAAGTGGAACACTACGTGATGCAGTACCGCAAGATCTTGGGTGAATCGTGGACGTCGTTACCAGCGGAGGAGCCATATCAACCAATTGAACCCCACCATATGTTGGCGCTGTGGTATGCTCTATGCCAACAGGCGGGCGAGCTCCCTCTGTACCGCCCTCAACTTCTTGAGTTCAACGGTCTTGAAATCGCTAAGCAGCTTACCATCCTCGAGCTGTACATCTTTTGTGTGATCAAGCCTGATGAATTGCTTAACCAGAATTTCAGTCTGAAGCGTGCCCACCTTCGGTTGGCGCCTAATATCAGATTGCTGTTGTTATTCACTAACTGCCTCTCGGGCTATGTGCTTGAGCTGATTTTACAACCAGGATTGCCCCTCAAAGCACGTATCAATATGCTTAAGACGTGGCTCAAGGTAGCGATCCTGTGTTTGTATCTCCGCAACTTCAACTCGCTCGCGGCAATTATCACCTCGCTTCAATCCCATTTAATTACTCGTCTTACTGAGATTTGGGACGAGTTGACTCCGAAGTACCGTGAGTTATACGACTACCTTGCCAGTATCATTCATCCTGACAAGAACTACCACGTGTACCGCTCTAAGCTCAAACAGTTCCTTGTGGTGAACAGTTACGCCATTCCCATCGTGCCCTACTTCTCGCTTTTCCTTCAGGACCTCACGTTTGTCACTGATGGTAACCCCAACTACCGTCGCAACCCTGTCAACGGAGAGAAGTTGATCAACATCGACAAGTACCTCAAGATCACCCGCATCATTGCCGACATTGAGTTGCTCCAGATCTCATACACTGGCCCACTGTCGCTGGCCAAGCGAGGTAGCAACAGCAGTAACAATAAGGAAGAGGACTACTTCATCCACTCGTTGCCGGCATTGCAGGAGCTTATTCTCTTGGAGTTGTATAAGGTTCACCAGTTGAACAAGCACAACGACGACCGTGCCTGGGGCTTAAGTTGCGCTATCCACCCTCGTGAGCAACACCACCAGCAACAGCAAGTGCACAACTGATCCGTTGCCGACCACCGCCAAATGATGATGTATTATAGTGTGGTTCGTGCAATGGAACAAGACAGTTTTGCAAAGATTAATATGGATTAGTTCGATTACTATACATACTGGGTATCTCTGGTTAATTCTCGTTCTCATAACTCTCTCTGGTATCTCTCTGGTATTTCTCTGGTATCTCTCTCATCGTCATATTTCAATTAAACTTCTCGATTTTCCCCACCCATGTTTCCAAGTGGAGAGTTCCGGTTTCATCCAATTGCGCTTCCCGGAGCTTAAACAAGTCCGACTCCAATGCGATGAACACCATGTTGTAGCTGAAATGGCTCATGTCGTATGCCAAGAACGCCGTAGGCACCAAGTCGGTGCTCTGGAGCAAATACAGCTCGTTAAACGCGTGAGCGAGGCGACAGTATTCCTCGATAAACCACCACTTGCCGGCATAGGTGTAGCGCAAGATCTTCATCTGGCTGTTCCAGGCAAACGTCGAGTCTTCTTCCAGCTCATATTCAAGGCCGATGTCGGCAGCATCCTGGGGGGAGAGGAATCTGGCGTACGTCCGCCGCAACAACAAGTAGCACAGCGCGTAGAAGAGGGTGAATACGGTGATGGGAAGGTGGAGGTGGATCTCGCGGGGCATTTTGTGGTTGTAAAAGATAATGTTGTGGCACGCCTTGAACACATACAGCTCGGGGATCAGATTGGGGATGTGGCAGTCGTCATAGCGCACCTTTTGGGCAATGGCAACGACGTGGTTTTGCAACACTCGAGAGATGAAATGCAAGTGCTGGGCAGTATAGGTAGCGAGCGAGTTGCGGAGGTCCAGGATGGTGGCAAATTGGCAGTTATACGGCGACTGGGTCGAGTACTGCTCGCGGTCACAGTAGGCAAACTCCATCTTTTGAAACTCGTCAAGGTCAAACATCTTGTAGCGGATCTCCATCTTGTTGATCTGCAGCACTACATTGTTGTTGTCAAACGGGCGGAACACGGCAAGCATCATATTCTCCACGAGGCGGGCAAGTTGGACAAGTTTAAGCAAGTTCAAATTCGCATAAGGCAAATCCAAGTTGAAGTCGTCCAGACGAATGAAGAGGGAGCGAGCGTTGATGAGACCATTGAGCCGGTCACTAACGTAAAGTACCCACCAGAGATTCGTCACATACTCCCGCTTGACCGCCGCCACGTTGACAATGGTATTCTTTTTGTGGATTTCCATCCCCACGGCGATGGAAATGGCACTGCTCAAATCGCTCAGCATCTGTTCATTACCAAAGCGGTGGGGGCCAAAATGGAACAGAAACATCGCCATCACCACCATTTTGCAGAATCTAAAGTCAAAGCAGAGGTATGGCATCGCCATAAGTAACTGGCGAGTCTTGTTCTCGATGTTCACCATGAACTTTTCAAGCTTCTGGTGGTAGCCTTCCCATCCTAGAATGGGGACTAAAATCGGTTCCGCCATTGGGTCTCGAGCAATCACCAACACCATGGCGTAGGTGATAATGGACGGCACTTCGTCGCGCCCCAAGTGGACCCAAAACTCCTCCGCAGGGAGTAACGGCCACACCAGGTTCACTTTGAGCATATACAACTCAAGTAAATTGCAAATGTCAACTGAGGAAAGGGTGTGGGTCTCCAGCAGAAGCGTGAACGCATTCATGTTGTGGAGCATCTTGTACTGTTCGTAAGGAAGCTTGCGAACCTCGCTGCTTCTGGGGGGTGCTTCCAGCGTCAGCCATAAGCTCACACAGTCGTGGGCCCGGCCGAGGCAGATGAAGTTGTGCTGTTTGCGGAGGAACTCAGCGGTGACTTCGGGCGGGGCTGTATCAGGAAATAGCTTCTTCACATCCACCGGGGGTACCAAATCGGTAGTGTTGGGGGTCGTATTAGCGGTATTGACGGTAGGCAGAGACGTGGAACCACTGCTGGAGGGAGGAACAATGGGGGCAAGCATCAACCCCATTTGGGGAGGGGGAGGGACGGCTCGGACTTTCCGTTTTGGGGGCATTGGCGACGGCGTTGGTAACGTGCGGGGGATATCGGGGGAGTCTACCAACAGACACCTGAGACCGAAGCGTTGACAATTGTCACACCCGTGGAGCTGATAGTCGGCGTAGTTGTCACACTTGACCCGTTTGGCTTTGCAACTGGCACAGGAGAATAACGAGCGCTTGCGGGTGCGGTAGTTTTTGTCGAATGCCGGGAACACTAGCATTGACTGCTGAGACACAAACAATGAGGGAGGCTTCGACGGGTTAATATACCTGAATTCCCTTGTCAATCATGCTGCTGCCTAGAGGTGCGTACAGTTTGAATACGAAGGGCGTGGTTGACGACGAAGCACCGGGGCAGTACGGAGATCCCGCCTTGGCGTGTCGTTTTCGCAGCCACCTCAACAAAGCCTGGCGCACGCCGAGATCTCACCTGACAACCTCAGTTCAAGAGATGATGAACTGGAGTATTCTGATCTTTTGAGATTAGACTTATTTCGTTTCGTTATACGTTTCCTTTTCATTTTTTTCCCATTTCTTCCAAACGTTTTCCCGGACGATTCGCGTCATCGGTGTTGTCGAAGGATCGCGTGTGTGCAGGGGGTACTGCGATGGTGCGCATCGTTAAGTCTGGGGAGGGGAAGAAGCATCGTCTAGCATGGGTAAACGCGGCTAGCGTACGTTCCCGATTACGAAATCACAAGAGAAGGGCACGCTCACAGATTTGATTCAATGAGAAAGTTTGAGGTGGCAAAAGTTGTCTTAGAACCTGTGAGCCAACGCGGTAGTGAATGGCTACAAAATTAATTGGTGTTTTCGGTTGTGAGCGTGTTGTTTTCTCCCCCTCGACTAATTTTTCTTCCATGGCGACGAGGGGTCATTGTTATCGCATCGCATGTCCAACCACCGCCCCACCCTCGAAAGCAAACGAGGCAAGCGGATCGCCATTGAAAACCTGATCCAGCATGCTCGGAATCAGCCTCAGCACCAAACACTCAAACGTCGTCACGTGAGCGATGACGAAGATGAAGACAATGACTCCCTGAGTGAGGATAGTCATCAGCAGCGCGTCAAGGGTGGCGATCTCCTGGTGGTGGATGGCTACGGTACTAGTTCGGATGAAGACGATGATGAGGTTGATTTGTCTAAGCGAGATCAACAGGAAGCGGGCCTGGCTAGTGATGGGGTCCTGAGTGCGGACGAAGGAGAAGAAGAGGACGAAGACTCGAGTCTGGACGATGACGAGGAATTAATCCGTTCGGAACTTGCACGTACTCAAAGTGAGCGTCGAGAGGTGGTGGTGGCTTCACCAACTACTACCAAAAAGCTGTCGTGGCGGTCTACTCCGTTCAAAAAGGCGAAAACCACTACTTCATCAAATGGCGACGATTTCCACACTTCGGTGATCGATACTAAGAGACATCGTGATTTCATGGCCAAATACATTCGGTAAATGTTGACTAAAAAACGGAGTTTCTACAAGTGGGCGCCGAACTTCTCCACCATGACGTCGGGGGCAGTCGACAGCTCGATGTCGGCGACGTTGACGCCATTGATTTGCACCAGCGGCGTCACGTGGATGTTGGTGGTCCGCAAGAACTTGGTGAAGTACTTGATGTCGGCGGTGGCCAGGTTGCCGTCGTTGTTGGGCTCGTCGGTGTTGGCCTTGATGTACAAAGTGTTCAACACGGTGTCACGGTCGAAGGGGAACTTGAACTTCTTGGCGACGACGTCGTAGATGTTTTCATAGTTCTGGTTCCGGTTTAATCCTTGGGTGACGGAATCGTAGAACTTTTGCTTTTCGTGGAACACCACATTGTTAAACTCCCAGAACAACTTGTTGGCGTCAGGGGTCTTGTGTTCTCTCAAGAGCTTAGCGAACGCCAAGGCGAATTCGTTGAGGAACACCAGGTTGGGGTGCCACGGCTGGACCACGTTGACAAACACGAATTGGAATTTGCCCGGGTGGGCCTTTTCCAACTTAGGGATCACCTGTTCATAGAACTTGTTATAGAAGATGCCGGAGAACGGGCAGTTGTAATCGAGGTAAATGTTGACCACGTGGGGGTTTTCCTTCAATTGGTCGAAGGAGTAGTAGAAATGGGTGTTGTAGTTGGGTTTAAGCAGCATGGGAAAGGTAACGGGGTTTGACTGGGAAGAGCTTAAAGCAATCTCCGGTGAGGGCTCTCATCCTGAGATTAGCCGGGGGGCAAGGTTGTGTGCAGGATCTATTTTGCGCGCGCCGCCACAATCGACACACACCCCACACAGTTTTCCAATACTGACAAAATCATAGAGACAGTTATCACATGGGTATGAGACACCGATCAGCGGATACGGGGTTTTGTGACTGAAATGTCAAAGTAGAATCGTTGCTTATGTCGGAGACAATCAATCTGGATCAACTAGAGGCTTTGTAGAAGGATAATGAGTAGTAGTCCTTCGTCATACCCTGGGAGCAACCTAGCGGAGGGTGGCTTCCCCACCACCGTCCCAGCTGTCGATTTCCTACGGGATCGTGCGAACGCGTGGTTACCCCTCGCTAGGCCCCAAAATTGTAGTCTCGGATGCGCAATCAGCCCTCTCGCCAATGCCGGTGTTGCTCGACCTCCCCGTGGAGATCTGGCTCGCAATCAGCGACTGGTTGGCGCCGACGGACCGGGTGGCGTTGCTTGATGCGCTAGCAGGGCACCCGCCGCTGGCGTTGATCTACCGCCACCTCTGCCACCACCCGATCAAAGTGGTGGTGACTAATTGCTGGCCTCAGAGCGATCCTCATAAGTTTACCGTGGAGCAATGGCTTGGGATTGATCACCACTTGGATCAAGTGCATATGGCTTTCCAAGCAGACTCTCAGTACCACTGTCCGCTGGAGTTTGAGCGCCATGAGTTCCAGACCCTCGCTCGTCTACCTGAAGTGAAATCGACGTCGTGGGACTATAGATGGGGACTGCCACCTGATCTCCGGTTGAAAACTCGTGAATTGGTCCTGGATCTGGCGCTGTTGTTCTTTAACCGGCCTAACTTGACTAAGGTAACGATAACCGAATTAGACGGCGACGTCGACCTCGTGAAGTTCCCTTTATTGAAACAAGTGGTGGTGCAAGCGTGTTGTCGCCACGCCCGCTTGGTGGTGCCGGGGCTGGTGCTGGTGTTCAAAGTGACGGGTGCTAAGGATAGTCGCTTGAATGTTGAATGGCCTCAGGGGGCATTGTACGTACAAGAAATTGATGTTCGGGGAGTGAAAGTCGACTGGGAACCAACATCGATGCCGTTACTTCAATTGTTTAATTGGGACTGTGATAGTCCCCTGCCAGTGGACTTTATGCCCGTAACCTCGGTGTATGCTGAAGGACCCATTCTCACTCAAATACCAGAAAACCGTACAAAATTCATTGCTGAGCTTAACCTTGTGGGTTTAAAACTTACATGGTTACCCGAAGATCTAGGGGGTTGTGTGGAACGGCTCCGTATCGCCGATAATCTGCTCACCACTCTTAGACTCAGTGGCAACCGGTTGCTTCGAGTATATGCTGATAATAACCCTCAGCTCTACCTGGTGGAGCTTCCCCAGCAAACAAGCTACCTTTCGCTTGACTCGTGTGGGGTATATCTGGTGGATCGTATATCACCAGTGACCTATCTTTCTCTTCGAGATAATTCCTTATCCCCCCACCAAGATCTTCGCCATATGCCTGATCTCACCACCCTTATCATTAACGAATCATTGGAGAAGCTATACGGCGTACCAGTATCCACCACATTGGATTGGCTGAAGATTATCGAGGTACAATTCCAAGGGTTCCCCGTGAACGTTATCCCGCCGCAAGTACCTCAAATGGATATCCACATGCCTGAAGTCCCATTTAAGTATCACGAAGACGTGGCCTCAGTGAACATCGATGTCGCCTTCTACCCGGAAACTCGCCTACCTCAGCTCCCCGCTCAGCTTCAACATCTCCGACTCCACCGGACCAAATTGGTCACTTTCCCTTCGTTGGAACTGCAGGTGGTCGACAACTTGTGGACCCAGCTACCTCGACTTAACTGGCTCCGTCGTCTAGAAATTACTGATAGCATCTGTCTAGATCTTGACATGCCGGTGCTCCTTCCGATGCTGGTGGAGTGGGTCCTGCTTAATGTCAACCCTGAGAATCAAGACCTAGAGATCCGTTTCGACGGTACGGGACCTACTCAGCTCAAATCGCTTCTGATTGATAACGGGGTGATGATCCCGCTCCACTGGAGCTGGCTGCTGATCGGCCATAATACTAATACCTGGCACCCCAAACTCGCCCGGATCCGCACGCAATGGGCTCCAGGCATGCAACGTGGCCACGAGTGGGTCATGCCATGGGCTAGGGAGATTGCGGCACTGGTGTTTGCTGATGCTCCCGACGACTTCCTAGGGTTTTGGTATGATGGCCACCACTTCCACCGAGACTAGGCATTTCTCATAAAAAGATATCCCCATATAGCATAAACAAAATATCGCTTGCATCTCCTTTTTTTTTGGGGGTGAAGTCATATGGTAGAGGATTTCATATGGTGCCTATTTTGGAGTACGTAGCCGCGGCAACGGTCATGTTCCGTAACGCTGTCACTTTCTGATCCGTATCGGTCGTTGCGTGATCTCAAAGTTCTCCGAAGGCGACGGAGCACAGCTAAACACAAAGCAACGGCGCCCGCCCCGCTTTCGCCTAAATCAGATGAACGACGACTATTGACGGCTACAACCCCAACGGTTTTTCCTGTTTACCTGATCCGGGAATGTCGTAGTTAACGCCAAGTTAGTCCGAGCATATTGCCCTGTTTAAGTTTCGATTTTATAGTTCCACTTTTTTGAATATTTTCCAAAATACTCCATGGAATGAGATATGTCATGCTACTGTACTATAGATCACTCGCTGGGTCACTCACCATCTCCTATAGTCTCCCGTACTGATGACTGGGAGCGTCACTCGCCCCCATTGCTTTCCATCGGGGTGTTGTCCTCACTCTACCCGTTTTGGGGGAAAACGTAAACAGCGCGTGTCATAAGCCACCATCGCCCAGTGGCCCCACTTTTTGCGGAACCCACTCACTAACACAAATTAGCTCTCCATTTCGGCCTGTGACAGGCGCTAAAAGTGACCATACGACTTGCACCAACTACTCGCCCACTGTATAACTAAAAATTCGTAAATGACCCCTACGACCACACAGGGCTCGCTAACCAAATTCCCAACAAACACACACACTCACCACACTTTACTACCAATATCTCATCACCGGACCGAGTGGGTTCGCTTATCTTGGGTCTCGCAGTGGTCTCGAGATAGTTCCGGAAGCGGCCGATACCGCCGGGGCTAGTGGCCACAACCCCCCCAACACCTTCGCTGCTGCTAGCGCCGCTGCCGCGACCCGCCTCGCCGCCAACGCTAAATTTTTATTGTATCGAGCACGTGTCCTGCACACAACCATGGGCGCTCGTCGGCGCGTAGCTTCAATCAAAACAAATCCCCTTCCCCTTCTCCACTGAGTCATCCGGTTGTACCTTTGGTGCCGCTCCACCCTAGCCGCCCGCCGAACCCCTAACGTCAAGGCCCCTCCTTGCCCACACCCTTAAGCGTCACCATGACGTCTCTGCCCCACCAGGATGAGTTGGAGTACTACACCAACGGCCACTTCCTGAGGTCGTTCAACTCGCTCATTCTCGAAGACATCCTGGAGGAATTGGGCCGCCACCCGCCGAAGAAGATGGCGAAACTGCCTCCGTTCACCGTCGCCCGCCCCTCGCTCGACCCGGGGCGCCGCCAGCTGAGCTACCCGCCCCTGCTGGACGACCACACCGACGACGTCACCGTCGCCCACCAGTACCTGCGGTGGGCGACGCCCGCCCCCTCGATCAAGCGGCTGCTGAAGTTTCTCAACCTTCTGATCGACCTGGGCCTCCGCTACGACGACGCTAACGACGAAATCGACCACCAGGCCATCGGCGACGCCACCCCCATCGACACTAGCCTGCCCATCGCTCTGAAGGTGCTGCCCCATCCGCTGCGCACCCCCGTGGTCCACAACAAGTTTAAACGGCCCCACAAACTCGTGTCGCAGCTGCCGCTGCCGCTGCACCTGAAGCTCACGCTGCTGCCCCACCCGATGATGGTGGAGTTGTCGCCGCGTGACTACGGCACCCCGGAACACCCGCGCCTGATCCTCGCGCTGCTGCTGGTACCGCTGAGCTGTCCCCATCTGACTCTTGGGGTTGGCGCCAATAAGTTGCGCAAGACCAGCGCCACTCCGTTTAAACTGCCGTTCCAGCGCTCAGGGCTGGTGGCAGCGCGGCCGCTGTCGCCGTTTGAGTACTACCACCTCGACGACTCGGAATTGGACCTGCCGCTGAAGCTGCGCAAGCTGTCGCTGCTGGGGATCGTCGTCTACCAAGACGTCGAAGGTCCTAAGAAACCTTCCACCGGACCCGCTAACCAGCGCCCCTATGACGATAAAGAAAACCGCACCCTGTACCGGTTTGTCAAACCACTTCAGACGGCATTTAAGCTGCTGGGGCTCATTCGCAAGGGCCTGGCGGCGGCAGCGACGCTTGCCAACACCCGCAAGCTTCCGGAGACCCCGATTAAGAAGAACCCCCTCATGCTCATCAACACCAACAAGGCCCCGGTGCTGGCACCGGCGGTGGCCCACGCCATCGACGACGACCTGGAGGCGCTGATTGAGTTGGGCCGGAACAACCTGACGTTTGTCAATGATCTGACGATTCTGATATTGCGCCTCGGGTCGGCGCAGGCACCGGCCACGGCGCCAAACATCAACTTGGACGTCGACTTGGATCTCGAATGCATGGTTCCCGACACTCCCACCAAAAGTGTCAAGAAAAGCCACCTGACCCCAGTGGCGATTCACCTGCCGGCGCCGGCCGTCGGCAGCCGCAGCCACCCCCACTTGACGCTGTCGGGTGCAGACTATACCCCCGATGCCCCGCGCCGCCGTAAGCGCAACTTGAAGCTGTTGATCATCAGCTGTCAAGAGGATGCTCCTAAAGGGTCACTTGAACCGCAAACCCCCACCAATCTTTTGCACTACTCCAAACTGGCTTTGAGACCAAAGGGCATCGACAAGGACAGCATCATCGAGCTGCTGATTGACGAAGTGGTCGACGTCCCCATGCCGCGCCAAGGCGGGGTGCTTTGTGATGCCGACGTTCACTTGATCTCTAAGTTTGGCATGCAAAACATCCAATTCATCGGCGCTGGCGAGTTCCTGGTGGCGTACGAGTGCACTCTCGACGGCGCCAAGTATGCCGTCAAGCGGCTGAAGCGCCAGCTTCGAGGGCGCGACCACCAGTCGATTCAACGGGAAATCGAAGCGCTTAGAGTACTTACTGGGGTGAAAGACAGTGACCGGGAAAACATTAAGGATAACGAGGATGGCAAGGAATACTTGGTCTACTTCATTGAGGCCTGGGAATACGACCACTACTGGTACATTATGACCGAGTTCTGTGACAACGGTACTTTGGCTACCTTCCTTGACGACCACAAGAACTACCGCCTCGACGAATTCCGCATTTGGAAAATTCTCATTGAAATTCTCACCGGTCTCCGGTTTATCCACCTCAAGAACTATTTGCACTTGGACTTGAAGCCAGCCAACATCTTCATCACCTTCGAAGGGCTGCTCAAGATCGGCGACTTTGGTCTCGCCACCAAGTTGCCGGTACTCGAAGCTGACTTTGACCTTGAAGGCGATCGCAACTACATTGCCCCTGAGTTGATTAATGATAAGATTTATACCCCCTTCGCTGATATCTTTAGCGTTGGGCTCATCATTTTGGAGATGGCGGCCAACATCATTTTGCCGGATAACGGCACCCCGTGGCGTAAGTTGCGTCTGGGAGACTTATCCGACGCCGGCCGGTTATCTCTGGACAACATCTCGGAGGTTTTGAGTGGAGCCAAAGGCGGCCAACTGTTGGCACTGACCACGGGCCTGGACTTCAGCAACTCGCTGTTAGGACCCGCCACCACCGCCTCTACTCTGGTGACACCGGGACTGGTACCTCTGTTCTTAATTGACAATGAGCTGATGAATTTGGACCGCTTAGTGCAAAAGATGCTTCGCCCCACCCCGTTCGAACGGCCTACTGCTAACGATATCTTGAATATGGACGAGTGTGTGGAGATCGAAAACCGTCGCAAGGCGGCCGCCACCATTTTCGAAGGCGAATTCGGTCCCAGTGACGACTAAATGACGATGTACGGATGACAATATACGAGTAAGCCTAGTTGAGACATGACAGGCATAAACAACGAAACCTTGTAGAATCGCTCGACCACTCAGCTGGTGTAGCTGAATGCCCGGTAAATCTTCCCCAATCAAGTGGCATTCACATATGCTTCGAAGACACCACGCCATTTCTATAAGTAAAATTTACTACTGCGTGCTCGTCTAACGTAAATTCAAGTACATAAATAAATAAATATATCGGGTTAAACCCGGTCATATCTCAATGTGAACATATGAGTAAACACCATCTTCATCGGTATATGAGGCTGGGGATTATTCGGGTTATTGAGGATCAAGCCGTCACGGGCTTTAACATAACCGCGAATCAATAGAAGCATTGTCACGGAAACGAAATAGCACACCCCGACCCAAATCGAACAATCTTGGAACAGTTTTGGGTTCACTTCGCCACCAGAAAACTTGGTAAGACTGGTCCCGATGGGAGGCGAGAACACCGCCGATATCCCCAATAGCGCCCACTGATTACTGAAGGAGTATCTCATCACTTCATCACCCCAGATACGTGCACACGACGGGGCCAACATCCCGAAGATCAGGCCCATAACCGCCCCCACCAAGAGGGCAAACGCCACACAGGTAGCATAGTTCCGGGCAGGGATCCACATCGCAAGACATAACACACAGCATATCAGGTGGGCGATGATGGTAGTGGATAGTACTCCCGTCTTGGGAAAATCAGATAAGTACCCTATAAGGATCCGTCCCACCACCAGTCCAAGATTGACGAGGGCTGATACAAGAAACCCTTGGTCCTGAGAGTAGCCCAATGAAGTGACAAACAGGCCTAGAGTGTATAAAAGCACAAGGTAGCCGAAGGTCAGGGTGATGGTGTAGAGCGACAACCAGTAGAAGGGGATCAGCTTATAAATGCCAAAGTTAGCTTTGGGAAACACTCTCATTTCGGGGCGGTCACGGGCTACGCATATGGGGAATAGCATGAGAGCTAAAATGATAAACGCCTGTGCTCTTAATGCCCATCCCACCAGGTTTATCTCCACAATACGGCCACACATAAGGTTAAACAATACCCCACCGAGTCCCAGAGTCCCCGCCGAGATCAGCGACGGTAGTCCTCGTCTATCCTTTGAGAAGTACATCAGGGGTAAAGTAAGCGACGCCATCAGGATCAAGCTAAGTCCCACGTTTAGCAATAGCCCTTGAGTCAAGTATAGCTGCCAGATCTTAGTCAGCCAGCTGGCAAGCATAAGCGCAGCAAACTGGCACACTGTACCCACGGAAATGATGGTAGTGAGGCCGTATTTCCCTAGCCGTACCCAAATCCAGTTTGTCAATGGAGTAAACGCAAGCATAGCTCCATAGGAAATACCGCCAATAAAACTATAGTCCAATTTCGTCGCTCCTGGAAAAGTATCGTCGTGGAGGAAGTGCTGGAAGTAGACGGCAAACCCCAGATTAAGCCCCCAGATACAGAAGTTCATAGTAGCACAACAGGCACAGATCACCCACGAGTAGCGGGTGTTGAGCCACGGATCTAGCTTCACGCTGTGGTGTTCAGCATCGGACAATTGTTTATCTTTGTCTTCGGAGTCCATGGTAAACGACAGAAACTTTGGCCCCGGCGGGATTTACCGAATAGTTATATGCTGGCAGACGCTGGCGATCATGTCGGCAGTCCTTCCCCAGTGACGTTTGTAGAGGTACAGCATAATGTATCCATGGAAGCGCTCCGATATGTTAATTTCCGTTTTCATCTGTACCCCGCATTACCGTTAGCACTAAGTCCGGACTTGGCTCAAGAACTCCGAGGAGGGGCACTGCCGTACCATCGACAAACACCCCGACCACCAACGGTTTACAAATATAGGATTAGCTTCAGGGGATTAACCACATCGTCAAACGGTATGAACTGTTCCCTTCGAGCGTGGCGCTAACGCCGAATTCGAGTCATCACTACCCGCACTGGACCTCGGCAAACCACACCTAATTTTTTAAGGAACATGTTGGAAAAAACTGCTATTGATTGGCCCGACGGACAGCCACATCCTTGTCTAGATTATCTCATCCTGCGTACGTATTGCTTGAGTCATCTCCGCACTAGCGGGTATCCACACCCTTGCTACTGAGATTGAGTCATTTTCCGTAAGGTACGTCGCAGCAGCTGGCGGGACCACAGATCCGCCAGTCGATCCGTCTCCGGAACCACTGCTATCACGCAATGTGTTTAGCAATACATACATAGCGTCAGGCTCCGACACACGCTCTCACATTTGAAATTTACTTAGGGGGTCTAGCAAATAGTGTATTTATCAAGAGCAGACTTCGACGCCCGATAATTCACCATATAGAGTTTGGGTTCCGAAGTCCGGGGTCACAGGGAAAGTCGGACAAACGGTCGGCTAAACACAATTTTGACTATCACATATACACCACATTAGCTGCCGGGGACCTCGGACGTCACAACTCAATGATTCGTCGTGGATAGTCCTAATCCTCCGATACAATTGCAGTTTCCACTCGCACTTTTTCGTATCAGCCACAACACAGTGCTCCAATTTTGGCTGTGTATACGTCCATCTCTTCACTTTAGTTCTGTCATACTAGCATCGTAAACTCTTCACGGTGTGCTGTTATTCGAAAACAAAAAAAGAAGCCCAATGCGGGGCTCGAACCCGCAGCCTTGAGATTAAGAGTCTCACGCTCTACCGATTGAGCTAACCAGGCTTTCTTGAGCGCAGATCGGTTTCCCACAAGTTTATTAATACGAAAATGCCACAATTACACCCTTAAACAGCTTAGTGATTGTACTGTTTGCCTTTGAGAACTTTTCAGCGGCAGTAGTGTGCATTTAATTAGGATTGATTTCGTGACAGTAATAGATGAGAAGTCGCCGAAAAAGAACTCTCACAATCCTTCAACAAATAACTTTTCGAACATATCATAAACTTTGACGATTTTTCGAGTGATGTACCACTGAATGAACCCGCAACCATTGGAATTTGGGAACTGGATTGCTCGTCCTTGGCTCGGTTGCAGATACGCGTCCGCGATATGAGCCCACTTGGTTCGCGCGTAATGCCATGGCCAACGGTGATGAATCCAGCGAAACCAAGGTCTCCCTTGCAAGTCTTCCCGACCGTATCTTGAAGAGAATCTACTCCTACCTCGATGTGCCTCTGGTGTGTCGAGCATACGTGGCGTTTTCTCCTAACCAGTGTGCCAAAGTCGCTGCCGAGGTTTTAAAGGATTGTAAAGTGAATGTGTCAATTGACGCCATTGATGGGGATTTGGATGAAATAAACTTTGACATGCTTGCAAAGCTCCCTCCGTGTAATGTCGCTGTGACGGCGACTGACGCCACTTGGGTCCCATCTGTTGAAAGACTCAATCGCCTAAAACTCACTACGCTAGAGATGATCATAACCGAGGATTTCAAAGAGATCGATGAGTTGTTTTCTCAAGTGATTTTGCTGCATCCTATTAAGACTTTAAGACTCACAAATGTCATCGTCGCGATTCAATGTCTTCCGAGGAACATCTGCCTGATTTATATTGAAAAGTGTCGTGTTTCAGGTCTAAAATTCTTTGGAGTCTTCAACAATCTTCACGATCTAACTATCGTGGACTCTACCTACGTGCCACCTGAAGATCCAGACGAGCCAGTCTGCGTCATGCTACCAAGCTCTTTGAAGGAGGTGACACTACCCCAATATTGGCATCAGATTGATTACGCATTGGCAAGCGGACTTCGATACGCTAGCACTGAAATTTCAAAGCCATACTTTAGTAGGCATACTTTGGAGACTCTTGCACATACTGATATTCCTCGATGGGAAGAAATGAAGAATTTGAAGCGAATCAAGGTGACAGAACAGGGCCCTGACCACCGAAACTCATTCAAAGAAATTAACCTTCCGAAGCTTGAATCTGTTGAGATTAAAAGGGGGTTGGAGCTTAATCCACAACGCACAGAGGCCTCTGAACTCTTCACGGAACTGCAAATGACCCAGTTGATCGAATTCAATGCCCCTGATTACTGTATCAAGGACTTTGGACCTTTTAAACAGCTCCGAAGTGTTCATATCATATTAGAAGAACCGTTGACTAAGGACCTTTCCCTACCTCCTACCCTTGAAAGTCTCCATGTTGAGACGTGCTACCCAGTTGAAAGTGTTCCAGCACAAATCAGAGTTTTAGGCATAAATGTTTTTGAGAAAACCGATTTGTCAAACAGGTTACAGTTCAATCCGGATGTGACTGTTGCCTCTCCCAAGATTCGTGAATTATCTGTGAGTGGTGCTCACAACGTGTCCGTGCTGTGTGTTCAACTAAGACACTTAACGTTGAAGAAATGTGACGGAGAAATGTCTCTAAACACTCCCAACATGAATAAGGTGGAGATAACTGGCATGAAGCATGATGACTTTGCTTATATCACAGAGAAGAGCTCTGTGTCGTTTGTCAAACTTGTTGATTGTCATGCAAAAAGCTTACACTTTGGACACCGGTTGGATAAATTGATTTGCGAGCAGGTGCTAATCAGTTCACTTCGGGTCGAGGCCCTCAAAGTTCGCTACTCAAGTGAAGACGCTACCAATGTCTTTATTAGAGCCGACTCAGCTGTTATCGATATACCATATCCTTGGGAACGGTTGAGGTTAGACATCGAATGTCGACATTTGCTGACTTCGATTTATCGACAATTGCTTTATGAAAGTGTTAAATCACTCACACTCTGGCACAAGGGTCCAGGTGTAATGAATTTGCCTTACAATGCTTTTGGAAGTACCAAGTTGGAAAGAGTGATTCTAAAAAATGTCACTGTGGCAAGAGGCTTCCGTATTCCTGACACAGTGAAGACGTTGATTTTCATCGATATGGGAGGTTCTACGCTCGACCTTGACTTTGACGACGATACTCAGCTTCAGCATCTAGAAATCCGTCAGGTTAACAAGCGCTCAATTTGGAACGATCAAATGAAGCTGATTTCAGAAAAAAACCTTGGCTTCAGTAAACGACCTCCAATATGCAAGTTCTACGGATTGGATGTACTTGAGGATATCGATGTCGATTTTGATGAACACCCAGCAAAACGTCCTCGATTAGAATATGTTGATTGATTGATGTGCGACTCAATATGACAACAAGGTGATGGTGAATAGTGCTGGAGAGGTTACTAGTCTATCAGCGCCAGGTTCCAACGTTGGACCATTCATCAAAATACTGGATCCCCTTATACATATTTCCTCCATATTGCCCATTCACGTGAAATACAACGCAATAGGTTTGTCAGCGATCTTCTCACAACGATCTTGTTTAGGTGATATCGGATCACAGGCACATGGGGAAAAAGAGAACTAAGCACATATTCAAGTTTCGTTAAACAAAAGAGAGAAAAAACTCACACATCTCTAAAAAATGGACGAGTTGGGAATCGAACCCAAGACCTTTCGCATGCCAAGCGAACGCTCTACCAACTGAGCTACACGCCCTCGGTCGAAAAATACCACTTTCAGTAAACCAAACGTTGCAGTCTGCCCAAAAACAGTCTCCTCGTCTCATAATTTGATTTTTGCTTAATCTATACTCAGGAAAAAAATGAATCACTAATCAGAGGGCCGTATCATTACGCACGTTCACTATTTCCTCTATTTATTTTCACTTCAATGCCTCCAACTCCTTCTTTAACGTTTGGAATCTTGGCTCAGACCCATACTTGGTGAAAGCAGTAGATACCCACGGCGGGACATCGCCAGCTTTTCCAGCATGCTTCAAGTTACCATACGCAATTAGCACTCTGTAGGCGGCTTCGCTCCCCAGCTCCACCACTTCGTCAGCGGCGGTGAAGGCAAGGTTGGAGCGAGCTTGCTCGCTCGAAAGAGTGTAAATGAGAGTGGCGTACGCCGTGCACGCCGCGCCGTACTGCTTGTGTGTTTTGTCGCAACTCTTGATGAAATTACCGGCCGCCGCTATTTCCAGGTCTTTGATAGGAAGGAAGTTCGCCAAGTTGTTAAGCACCTTGAGTGCCATCATCCCCACCATGGTCAGAGGACTCAGACCGAAAACCTTGATGAGGGCTTGGTTGACCTTATCGTAGCACAGAGGGACATACGCAAGCGACACTCTGATCAAGTCCAACCCGATCACGGCGGCATCCGGCAGCCACTTGTCGATGATGTACAACCCTGTGTCAATCAAGTGGGACCCCTTGGCATGCACAGCTTTGAGAGCTTGGTTGATTTCGTCCAGATCCAGCAGTGATAATTGGACATCCGTAGGTGCCAGCGAATTGAATTTGGCCAAACCCTTTGCGAGTTGCTCCAGCTTGAAATCGGAGAAGTAGACCGCTTCTTGAGACGGAATTACCAGCGGAGTTGGCGACTTTTTCTGGGGTTGCGATGTAGCCTGAGTGTTCATGTAGGGGTCAGCGGCGCGATCGTAACCCAGTTGTTGCTCGATGTTGAAACCAGCGGTGTTCTTTTCGATAAATCTCACCACTTCCTCGCGATAAGATGTCGGAAGGTCATTATCAGCGAGGAACCGTTCCGCGGCAGCGTAGGCGTTTTCGTTAACATTGTAAGGTAACTTAAGTGGAGGCTTACCGTCTTCAACGTCAACGTCAAAGACATAGTCCCACTGTTTGCCACCATACTCTTGCTTTTGCGAGTCCTTGGTGGCACCGACAACGTCACCGATCTTCGTCCACAAGCCGCCACTCCACTGGTGAGCCTCGATGTTTCCTTCAGGAGACTTCACCATGATGGTCGCCCCTTCCAGTTTACCGGGCTTTTCAAGCGCTTCGTAGCCAGGCAAGTCAGTGCGGTTAATCTGGCTCAACAGCTGTTCGGCGATGGTACTCTCCTTGACGGCATCAGCGAACGAGATGAGTTCCGCCTCCGTGGCATAGCGGCTAGGGTCAGCAGAGAACACTCTGAGATAGTTATCGGACAGCCCCACAAGCAAGTCGCCGTTGTTGTCGAAGTCGACGCACCATACCGAGACACAGGGTAACGTGATCACCTGTTTCGGTTCGACCAGGCCCAAGTCCCAGAGTCTCACCAGCCGGTCCTCGCCGGCACTGGCAAGGCGCTTGGACTCGGCGTCGTAGGCTAAACTGTAGATAAACAGCTCGTGGCCGTCTAAAGTTCTGACACACTGTCTGGACTCGACGTCCCACACTTTGATGGAGCCGTCGTTGGCGGCCGACACGATGTGGGTGGCGTCGATCTTGACCAACGACCGCACCACGTCGGTGTGGCCAACCAATTGTCCCACTTCCTTGTGCTGGTGCCACAATCTGATCGTTTTATCGGCGCCGGCGGTGACGTAGCGGTCCTCGCCCAAGATGATGGCGTCCCACACCGCCAGCGGGTGTCCCTGGAGCACGTGGACCTCGGAGAAGTCGGCAAGCGACCACACGCGGGCGGTGCCGTCCCACAGACTCAGGATGAGCTGGTTGGTCGTCAACAGCGACCGCACGCTGCAGATGTTTCCCTGGTGGCCCACGAGGGCGAACTCGGGCTCCTGGCTCGGCTCGTCGGGCTTGAGCATGTAGACAATCGCCTCCTGGCCGCCACAAGCAATTAAATTGTCGGCCACGGTGAAATTGACGCAGTTGATGAATGCGTTGGTGCCGCTGGTGGTGAGGATCAGCCCCAGGTTGTCTGGATGCCACTGGCGCACGGTGCCGTCGCGCGAGCACAGCACCGGCAGGTTATCCCGCAAGTGGGTGACGCCACGGACGTCCTGCTCGTGTCCCTGCAATTGGCGGCTTAACTTGAACATTGTGGTAGGTGGTGTTGTCGCCACTGAGGTGGTGTTGGTGCGCGCGCTATCAGTGGCGACGCCGCACGCCCGACCCCGTATGAGAAGCAGTATGGAAGCCTGTGGAAGGGTTGCAGAGTTGAACGTCTCACCATATCCATATCACTAATATCGCCCAGCTTAGAGATTTGGCGAGGTCACCACTTAGCGTGAAATTTCAGCGAGGCCCCTACCATATTATGGTATAGTTAAAATCATCACTGAGTTTGAATGATATTCATCTGGTCGAGATTGAAAAACTCTGCTTATAGTAACCACCACTTTTCGAGTCTAACTCGAGCGAAGTTCGACAATAAACACGCGTGTTTGGATTTTATCAGCTACGCGTAGAGTGAAACTAGTTATAAAACTTCAATATGGTGTAACCTCGTTTTCTCAAAACTGTAATCGCGGATCTCAAGTGTTTGTAAAGCCTTCGTTCTCGATACCCTGCGATTTGAGATATAAGAGTATTGTCTATGGTACTGTTGATTTCAAATATATTGAAATCAAACTATGGGTCCTATGACGTCATAACCTCTATGGCTGCGAAAGGTTAACTATAGGGCTGCGAAAGCATTGTATTAAGCTAGACCCGCGCTACCACCTTGCGCAGAAACTACCACCCCGCGCTACCACCATGTACGCCAAATTCTACCCTGCGGAGGGAAACAGGTAGTATTCAGTTTGTGGAATTCAAACACCCGTCCCGATCTACACTTTTACAGCACATAACCCCTCGGCTAAACCACCTGACACTGGGAGACTGAGATGGACCCGTATCGGGCTGAGAAGTGAGCACATCCGTAGAGACACTAGGCCACAACCCGCCTCCTAAGTGCCACTAACACAGCATGTACTGCTATTAATTGATTAAGCACTGGCAACAGCCTTTTAACTTGGCTGCTAGGCGTGCTATGCGTAGTGAACAAGCGTTTGGAGGTCTGTGATGAGTGTGCTAAACCTGTGCCAAAGCCGTGCCAAAGGTGTGCAAAAGCAAAATATGAGGCAAATCCGCAGTTACACCGGCTAAAACCCGCTACTAACATTGTAGGAGAAGTAGTAGTAACCATATGATTCAAAGTAAGAGGCTGTGATGTGGCGAACAGTAGTAGACCTATATAATAGAGGGGATAATGATGAAAAGTGCACCTGGGGCAAGGCGATCATCAAGCTAAGAGACTGATATCGCTTGGAAAACCTTGAAATTAAAGAAAACTTTACCATAGTGTTATCCAAATTCGTTTATTTCATTTATCGTACATAAAAAATCACAACTTCGCGGGCTTCAACAACGAGCCCTCGGAGTACATGTCCAAGATTTGCGGTTCCCACTTGGCAAACGCCTTGGGCCGTTGCAACTTGAGCGAGGGGGTCATGCACCCGTCCAAGGGGTCCTGGGCAACGACGATGTTGTGGAGCTTTTCAAACCCGCACAATTCGCCCATGGGCTGGTTCAATTGGCGCAACAACGCCAGCTTGACATCGAACCGGTTGACAAGCTTGACGGCTTCCTCTTCGGAAACGTCACGGCCAAGGTGCTTGGTGACAAAGCGGGCGACATCCTTGGGGGCCATGCCGACAACACCAACGATGAAGTCGGCGCGAGAGTCGCCGTGGACGTAGCAGTGGGTCAACACGGCGTTGCCACCAAGGTAGGCGGTTTCAATCTTCTCTGGGGCGACAAATTCCCCTTGGGACAACTTCAGGTACAGCTTGATGCGGTCGATGATGTACAACATGCCGTCTTCGTCGATGGCCCCGACGTCACCGGTGCTGAACCAGCCGTTGTCGAACGCCTTTTGCGTTTCCTCGGGGTTCTTGTAGTAGCCACAGAACACTTGGGGCCCTCTGATTTGCAATTCGCCGCGCTGGCCCAAGTCGTGCTTGGTGTCGATACCGGGGATTTCCCGCAATCTCCACTCACAGGCGACGGAGCACAGCCCCACCGAGTACGGCTTGCCCTTCTTGGGACGCAACCACGGGTTGGTCATGGCGAAGCCGCCGAACAGCTCGGTCATGCCCATGCCCAGCGCCATGCCGATGTCCAAGGTGCACCGCAAGAACTCGATGGTTTCCAGCGACAACGGAGCGGCGCCGGTGATGAGGTACTGGAGGTTGTCGAACCCGTAGAAGCGGCGCAAGAGCTTAGTGATCGACGTCTCAAACAACTCGGCTTGGTAGTTCAAGGGCCCGCGGCCCCGCTTGCGTTGGAGAATGAGCAATTCCCACGCCTCTCTCACTTCGGGTCTCAGATTCTCGGTGGTGAGCTTCTTGATCAGAGCCTCCAACTTGTTCCAAATGCGGGGGACGTTGGCCAACACGTGGGGCTTCCACTCCTTGACGTACTGGAAGTAGTTAGCGGGGGTGTAGCCGTTGGGGGGGAAGCCAATGACGCCGCCAGCGGCAAGGGCGCCAGCCATCGTCTGCCGCTCCATGATGTGGGCAAGGGGCAAGAACGAGAAGTATCTCCACCCTTGCTTGGTGGGGATGTCCGTCATGTTGAACGTGATCCCGGCGGCGGCGCCCAGTTGCAACGAGATGACACCCTTGGGGGTACCAGTAGTGCCCGAAGTGAACAGAATGGTGTAGATGGTGTCGGGGTGAGAGGGCATGGTGGGGCCGGGGTGGGCCTTACCGGCGGCAACGACGTCGTCAAAGCTGACCACCTGGATCTTGTTTTGCGCGGCAAACTCGACCACTTGGGGGTCGGTGATGGGGTCAAACAGGACGATCTGGATCAACTGGCCCAACTTCTGCGGGTTCTGTTGCTTTAAAGTGGCTAAGCGGCGGATGTGGTTGCCCAGAGCGAACACCACGGGACACTCGGTGGTGGCCAAAATGAACTCCAGCGCCGTGACGCCCAACGTGTCGTAAAGAGCGGTGTTGGTGATCGAAAACGCCAGGCACATCAAGTCGGTGGTCACCCACTCGTAGCGGTTGGTCAGGTAGAGACCCACGCAGAACGAGTGCTTCTGGTCGCGGTAGAAGTTAGGGTACTCCTTCTCGTGGGTGTCGATCTTGCGGTGGGCGTCGTAAGCGGCCAGCTGCTTGTAAGGGTTGGCTTTAAGCAAGTGCAACAACCCGCTGCCCAACTGGTCTCTTAATTGCTGGACTTCGCCATAAGTTAAATAGTGGTAAGTAGGGTCAGTGGGGCCGACGCGGTAGCCAAAGCATCTCTGCTCGCGGTTCAGCGCCACCAGGGCCTCAAAGTACTGGTGGTAGGTGTCGATGCCTTCAATAAGCGTCTTCTTCAAGTGGTTGGGGAACCCCTTGTTGCGGTACACTTTCGAGTAACCGGGAGTAGCGCTGCCCTCCAACGGGACCAGCGCCTGGATCCACTCGTTTTTGAGGGGCAACTGGTCGCGGAGAAGCTCGGCAGTAGTGGTGACGTTGCTGAACACCCAGTCGGCCTCTTCGGGGGCGAGGGCCATCTGCGAGTAGAAGGTCAGCGGCAACAGCGCCAACTGCGCTTGCGGTTTGTGGTCTTGTAAAGCACCAGGCATGTTTGTGGTTTGGTGGTGTTTGTGAATTGGTGATGGATTGGATGGGGTTTTGGTCGTTTATATAGTGTTGGGGAGGTGGTGGAGCAGAGAGGAGAGTCTATCGGAAGTATTCTCCGTATGCGGGCACCAAACCATGCAGTCACACGACGCTAGAGATTAAGGCTAACTCACCAAATTGAAACTTAATTAAAAGGAAAACTAGCGTGGCTGTTAACTTCAAAGCTAATTAGACAATATATCTGATTTTAAATGGTAAATATTGGTGGGATTTTGGTGTACTAGGCCAGCTTACGGATGGGTACCCCGCAAAGTGTTACTGCGAGCCCTGGCCCGGACTTATCCAGGTGCATAAGGTTGCATTGTACTTTGCCGCCTTTGTGTTTTCGGAGTTGTAGCAATGCATGAAGGGGCGTCATACGTCGTTTACCCCATACTGCCGATCGTGGGGATTTTGTTGGGGCACCGGCAGCCGCCGCCCCGCCAAGCTTCACCTCATAAAATACATAGACAACCACAGTATTAGAAACTCATGTAGTTTCCAAACAATGAAAGATTATTGCACTGCCCCCCTCCCACCCTCCTTGATTTAAGGGATAGGCTATTGTGCTTGTTACTGACGTTTGCGGGGTTAGGCTTTCGCCTAGGAGAAAAAGCAACGCCCCCGAGCGGAGTTGGAGCATTGCAACCAAAAAAAAAAACAGAAAAAATTCCACAAAACCGCTCGGAGTCCCCACCCCATCGGGCGGAGGTTGCGCGATTTGATCCAGGTGCAGATGGATAGGGGGGCGTAGAACAATGGACGGAATTAGAAGCAAAGAGGGGTTCTCCCTGCAGTCGGCGGCGGCATTGNTTTGGGGGGGGGGGGGGGGGGTGATGGCTACGCGTGCCGGCCAACGGCTAGGACAGCGATGACAGCGTGGCCATTACTAAGCGGGTGACGGCGCCAGCTTCCTACTCTGATAGGTTTATGTGGTGGTGAAGTGTCCACAAAAGATAAGCGCATTTCTGACACTTTAACAATAGCTATCGGTTAATCGCTTGAAAGAGTAACTCTCCGAATATTGAGATAGGACTTAATTGTTAATTTTTTTTACTTAATCAAAGCATCGGACTGTTTTTACCACTTTTTCATTTCGTGTATACATTTAAACGTTGGGCTTTTGAAGGGATATATTGTATAGGGCACTAGCTGCGCGTGGGTGAGTCACGGTGACCGCCGGCGACACTGACGTCATCGAGGTTTGTAATGTATCAGTTATTTCTGATTTTGAGGTAGGCGTCGGTGCCCCACCCCGGGTACGTCTGCAACGAGAGGCTGCCGTTGATGTGGTCGTCGCCGTCGTTGTTAAACACCTCGACGTAGTTGCGCGAGAGGGGCAACCCGTACCCCATCCCCGCCACCAAGTTGTCGTCGCCCGCCAGCGCCGTGTACGCCATCGTGGTGTCGTCGGCGGCGGCAACCGTCAGGAACGAGTACTCGAAGATATCGCCGATAAGGTGGGGGTTGATCCCCTGGCCCCGGTCGCGCACCCGGATCTCGACAGCGTCGCCGGCAGCGCACACCGTCACTTTAACCGCCAGTTTCACCCGGTTCTCCACGTGCGAGCGGAACGAGTTTTTGAAGAGCTCGGTCAAAATGTAGTCGAGGTGGTACTCGACGTAGGGGAACAACACCGGTTCAGAGCCAACGACTTCGACGTCGACATTAACGTGGGCGTCGTATTTGACAAAGATTAAATCGTTGACGAACTCGGCGTTTTTATGGATCAAATCGACGGCATTACACTCGGTAATAATGCCGTTATAGCGCGATCCCGGCGTATAGTTGTTGGTCACCAATGACGCCAGGAGGGCGACGTGGTGCTGCGCTACAAGCTGCATTTTGATCCGGTCCTCTAGATGGGTATCGAGGAAGTGGCGCACTTCGGGGGCGTCCATGAGGCCTAGCGCTAGCACTTCATTAAACCCTTTCAGGAGCTGAGGGAGCGCGTCGGCGTGGAGGTCGATAATTTGAGTAAGAGCGCCGTCGACCAACTTTTGGTTGGTCTCAGCGGTAGTGGGTAGCGCCACCGACTCGGTAATGAGTAATTGGAGGGTGGCAAGGTAGGTTTCGTAGGACTCGGCGATGGCGGGGTTGAGCACCACGAGGTACGGCAAGCGGCGGAACCGGCGCAACTGGCGACCCGTGTAACCGAGCAATTGGTCAATGGTCAGCTGGGCGTTTTGGAGGATATACTCCCGGGAAAGCTTAGCGCTCAGGTCACAGAGGGCCAGCATGTGGAACGGCGGGAGCGGCTGGTCGGCGTAGTGCTTGATCGGCGCCTCGAGGAGCGAGCGCATTCTAAACTCCTGGAGGTACTTTTGCTGATCTCTCTGAGGTAAGCGACAGCGAGCCGACGTCGCCAACGGGCGCCATTGGGCGGTGATGGGAAGTAGTCGTCGCACTAGCATGGGAGAGTCTCTAGTGCGCCGGCACCGGTGAGTCAATACTACTGTTGCGCGCACCCGCACCGGCGCACCCGCACTAGTGAGTAATACTAGAAAGAATAGTAAAATTGAAAAAGGCCATCTAGATTCTGCCATTAGAGAATTTTACGTCCGGTAATGACTATTCAAGGGGAATGTCATCGACTATCGGTTTTGGTCAAGCGTTACACCTGAAGTTGTTGGATATTGAGTCAAAAAGTGAGAACATACGACCGTTGTAGGCATAGAGACATATATCAAAAGGTAGAGCTCATAAGATTGATGTGTACAACTCCTCCTAATGAATAATTGTTCAACGTTCGAAGAGGATAAATTCTAGACCCACATGTCGTTGCTTAAAAATTATGAAGCCAACATAGATGACATACTTGCCCACAATTTTGTAGTTTTGTGAACAGAGATCATTTGGAATTTCAAAATATCTTGTGGAGTGTCTATAAGCGTGACCTATCGGCGGGTTCAACCAGGCGCATTCCCATTTGTGGGGTAAGCCAAGAGGACAAGCACTAAATGCAACAAGTTCCACAGGCTACTCATTTTAGAGATTTCTTTGGAGCGATTATATGAGTAAGCGTTTTGGTGAGATATTAGTGCAAGTGAGTAGAGATTGGCGTGGATCCAGCTACCATAATTGGTTTAGTAAACGTGTCATGACTAATGTCTCAGCAGACGGGTGTTTCATGGCTGTGCCTAGACGTCAGCTGCACTTAACAGATAACGCCGCCGATTGTTTCCCCCGGACCGGGCGGCAAGGTCATCCGCTGTCGGTGATTAGCGTCGCCACCAGTAGAGACTGGTCAGTGGGCATTCCCGATTATGAGCCCGTGACTTTCCCCTCATTTTCGCAGTGCTGAGGAAAATTCCAGCGGCACCAGCTTCCGAAAACCCACCTCAGCGGGGGCAATTACCGTTCATGCTGCCACCCACCCCATGAAACAGCTCCGATGATTCAAGATGTTATCATTAAAATCGGCTCAAGCCGCACCCTTCACCAAAAAAAAATTTCTCTCTCCTTTTATGGAGAACACCTATCCAATAACAAGTACCACCCACTTTACCCATAAAATGACCACTACTCGAGCCAATCTATACCAGAATTTGACTGTTCTTGATATACCGATTTCTCTCGAATTGTCAAATCCCCCTTACGCCTTCAGCTCCTTTTCTGCTACTAGTTGGTATTGTTGTTGGTACTGTTGTTGTATTTGCTGATCGTACGATATCTTAGTGCGCGGCGAGGGAAAACAGTGGGGGGCGTGGCGGGAGCCGCACCCACACGCCTAACTCGAACGATGGACCCATGATGACCACCGACGCCTGCCCCCCGCTGATATGCCGTGCCCCCGAGTGTGGCGAGTGGATCCTGTGTGACGTGTGTGGCCAGTGGTTCCACCAGCCATGTGTCGGTGTTAATCCGCAACTGGTGGCGGAGATCGTCGCCTACCACTGCACCAATTGTGAAACAAAACACGGGCCTCTGGTTACTGCTCGCAAGAGTAAACGGAGCAAATCAAAGATCGATTACCAGGCATTGGACCGGGGAGAAACGTTTGCCGTTCCTAAGCTTTGGCACCCCCATATCTCGCGGTTATTGGCGTTTCAAAACCAAGATGACGTTTCGGTTACTGTCATAGCTGATGCTAAGGAGTTTACGACGGCAACACCACGTGACCGTCCTCTCCTTATACCGCAGGGCCAGTCTCAACTAGAAGCTCTTGGAATGGCCATCCCCAAATCGTTTACCATTGATGACATCACTAACCTGGTCGGCGACGACACCGCGGTGGAAGTGATGGACGTGCTTACTCAGCAGGGTGTCCCCGGATGGAAATTGGGCCGGTGGCGAGACTATTTCAAAAGTGACACGCGAGACCGCATCCGCAACGTCATCTCGCTTGAGATCTCCGACCTGTCCCTTGGCCAACAGTTTCAGCGTCCGTTGGTAGTGCGAGAGCTGGACCTCGTTGACAGAGTATGGCCCGGTCCCGAACCACGTCCGAAAATCACTACCTATTGTTTGATGTCCGTAAAGGATAGTTTTACTGATTTCCACATTGATTTTGGTGGTACTCTGGTGTACTATACGGTGTTTAAAGGCGGTAAACATTTCTTGTTTTACCCTCCTACCGAGGAAAACCTTATATGCTACACACAGTGGTGTCTTGATAAGGACCAGAACTATACCTGGTTTGGCGACTACCTGACGATGCATAAACGCCGTACCATAAAACCGAAGGGGGGTTTCAAAGTGGAACTCACTAAAGGTGACGTGTTCTTCATCCCGCTGGGATGGATCCACGCCGTGTATACTCCAGAGGATTCACTCGTTATTGGCGGTAATTACCTCACCGAACAAGACGTGGCGATGCAATTGAGGATCTGCGCCGTTGAGGAGGCTACTCACGTGCCGCTAAAGTACCGGTTCCCTCAATTTGACCAAGTGATGTGGCTCACCAGCAATTGGCTCCTCCAGAATAAGCAATCAGAAGAGGTTGATGATGATGTGGTGGAGGCACTTATACAGCACCATAAAGCCCAAGTGGAAACTAAAGGTAAACTGCTAAGATTACCTAAAGCGATTACTGATGCTACTAGCCATATCGCTCAATTGGAACAACTACGAAAAATTAAAGTGGAAAGTGACGATACGTGAAAGCTTTTGGTGTGTATCAGGTGCCAGTCAAAGTTTCATTTGCTTTGCATGTGATACCTTGCTCCACCGATAACTGAGGGCCTTATGATCAATTGCGAATTACAGGTGAAGAAGTTGTGATTCTGTTTTCTTTCTGAGAGCGTGGAGGTCACGAGAGTATAGAGGGGCTCTTATTCGTTGTATGTGAAGTTCCAAACGACCTTTTAAAGCACCTCCTACAGCACCCCACGGCACTTGACAACCCACTGCCGCTAACTGTGGGGTAATCACCTACGTCTGTCTCAGAAGGTATCACTTATTGCGAAACTTCAACTTTGGTGTTGTTTCAAGGTTGTTTGGTGCAGTGACCGAGATCGCCGATTCGTTAAAGAGGATGACCCGTTTAGATGATGATTAGATTGTTGCTAGATTAATTTTAGATATAATATATATTTCGCTTAGTCAGCGGTAGCGTCAGCGCCCCCCGGCCTGCGACCCGCTGCAGCACCTGAACCTTAAATTCACGTAAAAAGGGTGGGGTTAACGCCACCGATATAGAGGCAACCCCACCATCACGCGAGGGGAGGGGCTTAGCGGTTGTGTGTGTGTGTGTGAAAACGGTTACCAGACGTTTCATCTCTCGTTTCGGTTACTGCCTCCTCAGGAGACGTTGCACAATATGAGATAAACGGCGACTTTCCACGAGGCTTGAAACCCCCAATTCGAGCCGAGCATATTATACCATCCCTGATTAGGAAATTTACTACGCAGTTCGGTACGGGCTCGTAACTGATTTTCTTACTTGTACGGTACGTGAGGCACAGGGCTTTATAACCAGCAGGCCCAGCATCTGGATATGGGCTAAAAGTTTATATACTACGTATTGCTATTTGGTGAAGACCAAAAATCTCATGCAAACGGCGTTAAAAAAAAAAATGAAAGCACTGATTTTTCGGTTCGAGGCAAACAGACACCTTTGTGGAGACATCTACCACTATATATTCGGATGGCGGGTCAGTGATAACTCCGAAACAAACGCCTTTGTTGTGAAACCCGTAGCCACGTTTCACAATACGTACCCCTACCCCTTGTTACCCCTAACCCTCATGTTTCGGCCATTAACTTTCGCTGCACTGGCAGGCTCTAACCTGTCTCAGCACATGATCCAATCTCCACCCTTCCCAAACGTGTGAGGGCGGGGTCCACGCGGCAGTCCCCCCGTGTCTTTTTTCGCCTCGCGACCACACCTCCCAAAGCACCACCAGCACACCCCCCAACCCCCCGAATCACTGTGTGGAGCGGGCCCTGATCTGCTAGACTTGGGCCTCTGAAACACGTTTCACGTTTCACATTACCCCCTCGATGCCGTTACGGTTTTTCCTGACGGACAAGCGCGGCGGCCTCTTCAAGCGCAAGGACCTCCTGGGGTTTATCCCAGAGCTGGTGGTACGCCTGGACATTGAGCGCCACGGGTACCAGCTTGTCGGCGGTCAGCTGACGCTGCTGCTGCTGGCGGCGCCCGACCACCTGATACCAGCGCTGCTGGCGCCGCCGCCGCCACCCCACAACAACTCGCACCAGCGGCGGCTATCGCTGTCGCTGTACGGCGCCGACGACGACAGCGGCGACGACTACTCCCGCGACGGCTCCTACAAGCGCCACCTGAACGACTACTCCAAGGATTATTCGAAAGACTACACCAACGATTACTCAAAGGATTACACTCAAGAGTACTCCCACGAGAACCTGGGTTTTTCATTTGACGACTCGTGGGCGCTGCGCCCCGACGGCGCTAGCGGCGCCAGTGGCGACGACCGGTCGCTGGTCCACCGCCGGCGCCGGCTGGCGCTGGCGCTGCTGCTGACGCTGCTGCATTTCAGCTTCAACCGCATCGCTCCGCGCAACAAGCTGCTGAAGCTGGTGGTGCTGGGGCTGACCCAGGCCGACCACCTGAGCGTTGCGCTGAACCCCTACGAGTACAAGACGACGATCGCTGACCTGTTGGCGCACCGCGAATCGCGCAGCGCCAGCGGCGGCGTTAGTGGCGGCGACCAACGCACTACTAGTGGTGGCGCCGGCCGCCGCAAGCGGTGGCTGACGACGCTGCTGGCGCTGAACCTGCTGTTCCACTCGACCAACCTGCGCCACCCGTCGCCCACCATCGCCGAGTTCGCCCGCCAGAACGTATCGCCGGCGCTGCAAACGGCGGCGGCCGCCACCAAGATCCGCGTCAAGCCGCCGCAAGCGAAGCGGCTGATGGACTTTCCCCAGCCACCGCTGCCGCTATCGCCGACAGAACACCTGTTTGGCCCCGTGCGCCCGCTGCGGCTGCCGAGCTCGTATAAGCTGAACGGCAAGACGCCCCTCGCCCAGCAGCAGGCGACTGACCAGACTACAAGCAATAATAACAGCGCCGAGGGGTCGATGACGAAGCTGTCGCTGGCGCTGGTCCCTTATAACGGACGGTTAGCGCCTAAAGTCGATCGCAGCGAGCGCAGTGATCGCGAGCGCTCTGAGCGCAGCGACCGCAATGACCGCAGCCACGACCGCTCCGACCGCGACCGCGACCGCAGTGAGCGCAGTCTGTGGCACAAACAGCCACCGGCGCACTCGCGCAACTACAGCTCGGGCACCATCCACCTGGTCCACTCGCCCGCGCTCACCGACGTGCCCCCCGTGCCCCTCACCGACTCGTCGCTGCTGCTGGGGCTGTCGCTTGGCTTGCGCCGCTTCCTCAAAAAATTCCGCCTGACCAAGGACGGTCTGGAAGCGCTGCTGGCGCTCCTCAAGAAGTACAGCCACCCGGGGCGCCTTTTGGGTACGGGTGCGCTGGGGCTGGTGCTGCTCGTGACGCTGCGCCACGACAACGTCGTGTACGCGGTAAAGAAGTTCCGCCCCCGCCAGGCGCCTCAAGAACTGGTGCAAGACTACCGGACTAAAGTCGAGGTGGAGTTTAAGATCGGCCAACAACTAACCCACGAAAACGTCATCCACACCATCGAGCTTATCACCGACATGCCCACGCGGAAAATGATCTCCGCCAACCCCACCCTGGAACCTGATTATTACATTGTCATGGAGTACTGCGCCTACGACTTCTTCACGCTAGTGATGCTGGGGCTTATGACCGAGCCCGAGGTGGCGTGTTATTTCAAGCAATTAGTCCTTGGAGTCCAGTTCCTCCACCTGATTGGCCTCGCCCACCGCGACTTAAAGCTCGATAATTGCGTGGTGAACCAGTACGGCCAGCTTAAGATTATTGATTTTGGTAGCGCCGTGTGGTTCCGAGGCACTCAGTCTCAAGTACAATACGCTAAGGGCATCGTGGGGTCTGACCCGTACTTGGCGCCAGAAGTGTTTGAGTACGTCGACGTCGGGTATGACCCCAGGCTCGCCGACGTGTGGCTGGTGGCGATCATCTACTGTTGTATGGTATTGCGCCGTTTCCCCTGGAAGATTCCGAAACAGAGCGACACCCTGTACCGCAGTTTCTCCCAGGGTCACACCCCCGGCGACGCGCCGCTGTCGGATCTGGACTCCGACTATAGCGGCGGCGATAACCCTTACGGCGCCCAGCGCCTCTTGCGGTTGTTGCCGCAGGAAATGCGCCGCCTCGTGAAAAAGATGTTGACCATCGACCCCGAGCGCCGCTACTTAATCTCCGACGTCGCCGACTACCCGGAGTTGGCGAAGATCGACCACTGCCACAACTTGAACGCGCGCGAGTACTTTATCCCCAACAACCACCGCCACCACCTCATCGCCGAGGACGACGTCAAGAAGGGGTAGGCAAGTCTTTCTTTTTAGCATTTGTTGTTTTTTATGATGGTCATTCGCTTGTTCCGTGGTTCGACTCCTGACTGCATTTTTATTATGGAGTCGCCCCCCAGAGCAAGGACAGTGTATTCATTTCTATATCCCGCTTAATGCAAGTTTACTCAGGCTCTCTCTGACATGTGAAGACTCGCATTCGATCTATCACTTCTAATTGCAAAGATACGAATTGAATGGGAATCTGAGGTTTGACTGTACACGGCTGTACTTCATTCGACGGTCACCAAATGGCTTACTTCTCTATTAAAACCGTGAAGGGTAGACCTCAAACGCCTATCACAATCGAATGCAAAGATTTAGATCTCAGATCACATCGAGGGTCGTCTTCATTTTGATTGCACCCTGCTACATTACCCTGGAGATTCAACAAATTTTATAAATTCACCTTCGAATTTTATCAATTCCATCTAACCATTTCCAACCTAAGCCTATCTTAAGCTCTTTAGGTGAACACTATATAAATTTATATTAGGACTACGCACCACTCGAAACTCCTAGACTAGATTTTCGGAAAGGGACTCGAGTCTCAGTTGCCGTGCCCTGAAGAAACGAATTGTCAGTAATCAAAATTCACAAGCAATTGACTTGGGAGGATATATAGAGGCACTGAGTGGGGTTAAACGGGTGTCCTGCGCACGACTCCTTCGGCTGACAAATCAACCCTTAGTAGGCGATTGCGCAAACGTGCTGTGGCGGATGTTGAATAAATATCGTGTCCTTTGTCAGTTGCGTCGCCACTACTCAGTCGCTTCAGTCCGTTCAGTAAACATGACCCAGCCCGTCACCCTCTATGCCTTCCCCACTCCCAACGGGGTCAAAGTGAGCACGTTGCTCGAGGCGCTCGAAGTGCCGTACAAGTACCAGAGAGTGAGCATTTTCGGCGAGGTGAAATCAGACTGGTTCGTCAAGTTGAACCCCAACGGCCGCATCCCCACGCTTGTCGACCCCAACACCAACACCACCATCAGTCAGACGGCGGCCATTGACTACTACTTGGCCGACACTTACGACAAGGAACGCAAATGGAGTTACGCCCCGGGCACCCCCGAATGGTACCAGCAATTGGAAATCGTCATGTTCCTGATGGGTGAACAGGGCCCCATTCAAGGACAGGCGAACCATTTTGTCATCTATGCTCCTGAGAAAGTGGAGTACGCGATCAAGCGTTACACCACCGATATCAAGCGCATTTACGGCGTGCTTGACGAGTACTTGAAGCGCAATAGTGCCAATGGCCCTTACTTTGTGGGCACGCACTACTCGATCGCCGATTTCGTCGTGTTTGGCTGGGCCAACCGGTTGGACGCGTTGGGAATCGAACTCGCGCAGTGGCCCCACGTCCAGGCGTGGTACGAAAAGTTTAAGCAGCTCGCACCCATCCAAAAGGGGATCGCCGCCTTGGATGAAGAGACCAAATAGCTACGTCGATAGTGGAATTCAATGAGTCCTCGCTGACTAAGTGACGACACCATAGTTAGACCGTAGGTAAGACACTCTGTTGACAATTGTCGATGTGTCTTTTTTGTCATTTGTGGCATGGCCGAGATCGGAGCCAAAGTAGACGGATACCACGGATTCAATCTACCCTCATTAGGACCAGAAGTCAATCAAGTGGGGTCTTGTACTATATTTAGCTGAGATTTAGGGGTCGGCTCCGGCCGAACCACTTCTCCAGAGAAATAGGGGCGGGTGGCAAACCCTAGATCTCTTGGCATTTTTCCCTTGGTCCTGGTGTCGATATCTCTTATCAATATTACCGTCACTAGCGATAGTTACGACGCGCGTGAGTGTCGACAGCTGCATTTCCGACAAGCCCGCACTGTACCAAAATCCAACACCATAAACACTCCGTTTGTCATGGAGCTGGGCAACTTCTACTTCCTCCTCAAGACCGAGAACGTCCAGCCGCTTGTGAGCGTGTTGGACGAGCTCCTGCACCAGCTCCAAGCCAACCACGAGCTCCTCGCCAAGGTGACGGCCCAGGCAGACGCGCTCACCTTCCCGGACCTTGTGGCGCCACCACCACCGCTGTCGCCTAAACCCGAGGCTGACCTGGCCAACAGTGGCCTCAATTACCTCCTCAACCAGAAATATAAGCTTGACGAGATCGTCGCCCGCAATACCAAGACCTATAGCGATGATGCCACTGTTGATAGACTCCACAAAGAAATCGAGGCGTTGGCGGCGATATATGAGGGCAAACGGAAACGTAACCAGCAAATGGTGAAGATTATCCATGAGTATGAAGAATTGATTATGGAAACGATCCTCCCGGCGTTGAGAAAGGATGTGTTGGCGACAGATAGCGATATCGACCACCGGTTGGTTGAGAGCAAATTCGCCATGGTTGATGCCGTGTACCGGCGCTACGTGGCTAATGTTGAGTGTCTTTCACGGCTTATCGATGTGGGAAGGCGGTTGATGGCGGTGTTGGAGACTTACGATGATACCCACTATCAATTGCTTAACCAGTTTGAAGTGCTTCAGAATCTAAAGCATAATCTCGTTGAGATCGCCATGCCATAGCTCGTGCTTGAAATATCAAACTGGGAGACAGCTATATCGTGCTATCGATATCACAATGGAATACTTGATTGAGGTATGAACTAAGTGTCAAACTTGGGATACCAAACTGTTAAAGTATACAGCTATACCGTACAACTCACCATACTGACGATGACACAATGATTCTATTGTTGATTCAGTCCAGCCTTGTTGGTGGTAATGAGACTAAACTCCATCTATCTCCTCCAGTTACTGAAGATCTGGTTGATGCTCCCGTCACTTTAGCATTACCGGTTGATGCTACACCAAAACCAATGTACTGTGAATCCGGGTAAGCTCTAGTTCCTGTGGTAGAGTATGCTACACTCGCTCCCTCGCACCCTCGCTTTGGCTTCGCCAAATCTTGGGAGCTTCGCCAGCGCTCGTCTCGTTTCTCTATCGTTATTTCCCTAGCTCTATATATTCTGGCACAGCCGGGGAATGCCTCATGAAAATTCTGTCCGTTTGCTCGTGTCACTTGCGCGCCGCCTTCCGCTCGGCCTTGCCCTTTTTCATCACCTGTTTGAGCGCCACCAGGTCCAACGGGTCAAGCAATTCAAACAGGCACAAGAGCTCGTCGCTCACCAGCATCACCGCCCCCCAGTTGTCGAACTCGCCGCAGTAGTTCGGCGCCAGAAACACCGTCACCAACGTGCGGTCGTTGAAGAACTCGTACCCGTCCTCGACGACCATGTGGGCGCGGCAGACAAGGTCAAAGCCAAATTTCGCCAAAAACTTGTTGATCGCCAGCTTGGAAAACACGTACAGCACCCCGCGCTCGTTGTCCTCCCACTCGTTGACGGTGTCGGCGGGGTCCAGCCACAAGAGGTCGTTGAGCAACCCGAAGTCGGGGACGTCGGTGGGACGGGCAATGTTGCGGATCTCGTCCATCAGGTTAAGCACTGGCAGCAACCCGCCGTGGACACAGAAGATCTTGCCCGCGACAATGGCGGCGATGGGCAACGTGTTGAACGTGTCTATAAACATCTTCCACGTCTTGATGTTGCAGCGGCGCTTGCACTCGTCGTAGAAGCCGTACACTCTGGTGACGTTGGCGCACTCGTGGTTGCCCCTCAAAAGAAAGAAGTTCTCTGGGTACTTGATTTTGTAGCACAATAACAAGAGGATCGTCTCCAACGACTGTTTACCCCTATCAACATAATCCCCTAGGAATAAGTAGTTGGTCAGCGGCGGGAACCCGCACTTGGTGAATATGCGAATGAGGTCGCCGTACTGGCCGTGGACATCGCCGACGACTTTCACCGGTGGCAGGAGCTCTAGAAGCAGCGGCTGGCTCAAAAAGATTTCCCTGGCAGTGGCGCAAATAAGCTGGATCTCGCTATTTTTCAAACAAAGGGCCTTGGTCCGTTTCCCCAGGTAGCCGGCGTCCAATAACCTCTGGATCAAATCCTCAATGTCCACCGTCTCGTTGTCGACAGTGGTAATCTTCGTCATCACCACGGGGGCCTCGGTCTCGTCGTCGTCGTCCTCGATCGCCTGGGAGTTGATCAGCAGCGTCCGCAGCAAGATACCCCCGTCGATGATTTCCGACCCGTTGGGCAACAGACCCCCGGCAAACAGACCCGACCGCAGCCCCGGGCGACTCCCGGGACGCAGCCCCAGCCGCAGCCCCAGCCGCAGGTGCGACGAGTGCACCGAGCGGGTGTCCAGGTGGTTGGTGTTGGTGCGCAGCAACCGGTTGGCGCCGGGCAGCGCTAACCCACCGAAATTGGGCGTCAGCAGCAAGTTGGAGTCGTTGGTGTTGCGGCGCATGAGGATGGGGTCTTTCGGCGTCACCACCGCCAACGAGGGCGGCACCTGGCCCAGCGGCGTCACCGTGAGCTCGGGCGCCGAGAGCGCCGGCGGTAGGGTGCCGTGGCTCAGGCCATGGTTGTTGGTGTGGGCCAGCAGCGGCGGCGCCAGCAGCGGCGGAGCGGGGGTCACCAGTTTCGGCGTCGGCGCCGACGACGCCAGCGCCAGCGCCGGCGCCGCCGCCTTGCGCTGGTGGCTGCGGTTCAGGCGCACCAGCTTCCCTGAACGAGCCAGGGCGCCGGTGTCGGAGCGACTGAGCGGCGGAAGCTTGTCCTTGGATTTACTCGGCGAGTTCCCCATGGTATGACGTCCGAAAGGAGGAGAGGTTTTGTTTGGCGCGCGCAAAGGGGTCAGCAACGCAGCGAGAGCTATCGGCAGCGAGGCGGTTCCGGCGCCGGCAGTGTCGTCAGTGTCGGAAGTCGCACTAACCAGTAGTCACGGCTACGCAAATTTGACTCATCTTGTTCGCCCCGCCCCCGTATATGTGGGTGCCCCCCCTCCCCGTAGCCATGTGCCCCGGGCTCGCAATCAGACACCCCCCACGCCTCGCCCCTCGCCATCACCATGACACTTAACCGCCTACCACCCACTTATCAACATCTCCGTGCTACGGTCCATGGCAAATGAGAATGGCGACGCCCCCGACACCAGTGCTTCCCCGCCGCTGCTGAAGCCGCGAGGGCGACTACCGCAACGCCGCTACGCCGTCACCCCTGCCGCCGCCAGCGAGTACAAGCGGGTGGCGCTGACGTTCGTGGCGGCGTTCTGGGACGACCCGTTTGTCAACTATGTCCTCCGCACCGAGCGGCTCTCGCCGACGGCCAAGCGGGCATTATACTCCGCCTACTACACCCACGCCGTGTGGGAGTGTTTCGCTTTGGGTGGCACCGTATGGGTGGTCAGAGACGTTGACCACGAAGCCGAGCTCGCAAACAGCGCCGCCACCCACGTGCGACGCGGCGCTACCACCGTGTTTGTGGCAGCAGCCACCTGGTACAACGTCTACGGCGACCGCCGCTACCACGACTTGGACTTGGGGGTGGTGGCGCTGCTCTTGCTGCGCCACTACGTGCGTGTCGAGGTGCTCACGTGGTGGTACCAGTGTCGCCGCCGCCTTAGCGGCGCCATGAAGCGGCTCGCGGCGGTGCGCGATTCTTACGTTACCCGCCACCAGTTGGTTAGCGACGATACGGTACTCTGGTATCTTGATGACTTAGGCGCAGTACCTGAAGTCCACGGCCAAGGTGTAGGCACGCAATTGCTCAGTCACTGTCTTGAGCAATTGCGCCAGCCCCACGCCGTGTTCTATTTAGAGCTGAGTAACGTCGCCAACCGCGGCTTTTACCGTAAACACGGGTTTGAAATTGTCGACCTGGAAGACGTCAGTCGCGGTAAGAGTAAACTGCCAATCGTCGTGGACGCCATGGTGCGGGCGAATTGACCCTTAAACAATTTGTATCTATCTCTCCCTGGGTGTTTTGAGCGGTGTTTTGATGCTCACCCCAGTATTTCCTAGTACTACCATATAGTATTCAATCACAAGATTTGGTTTATTGTACTGTATGCTAAATCTCAACTTACAATGTCGTCATCAAATAGTAACGGAATGCTCTCAGTATTAGTTTTCACAAATGAGTCTATATTGGTTTCAATGTCGCGTAGGTTACAACTTGGAGGTCGTGTTTGCCCCCTTATACGCTTTAGTGATTGCCAGTAATAAGTGGCCACCGACAACCTCGGGGATCTCCTGTACCATCAAGTGTTTCCCATCGGGAACTTCGACCACCTCCACCAACAGCGGGAGCATCTTTCTCAACTCCAACAGTCTATCTTCAGGCGTGGTATCGCGGTCTCCCCAAATAATGTATACGGGCGTCTTAATATTCTTATACCCGGCCATTGCTTCCCGCGCACACCGGGGGAACTGCCAGTAGATCTGCGACTGGATCTTGGCCGTGGCCTTAGGTCTCACTTCATCATAACTCTCACCTAATTGGTAGCGTCCGTTAAACTCATCGTAAAGCACATTATTCAACTCTTCATCGGGGAATAACCGGAAGAACGACTTTTTCCGGTAAAAGTCCCACGCCGTCTGCCACCAGTCTTTACCCTTAGTGTCATACGACGTCTTAAAATATGGTCTTCGCTCCCACATGGGGATGGCTACCGCCATGAGATCCTCAAATTCGTCGTCAATATAGGCAGTAGGATTGACGACAATACACGCCTGCCACAACTGGGGCTCGAACTCACACTGCATCAACGCAATGCACCCCCCCATCAGATGTCCCACCACCACGTTAACCCCTGCAGAGAACTCTGGCTGCGCCTTAGCCACAAGATTACAGTCGTGGGCACTGTCCAGCCACCAGTAGTCGTAGCCCAATTTGTCTTGGTTGGCCTCCACCAGGTCGCCGTGATTAATGAGATCAGTGGCCACGGCACACTGGAGCTGGGGCACCGTGTGAAACAACGAGTCGATCATCCGATGCCACGCCGCCTTGTTCATGCCGTTCCCGTGGTTGAACAAAAGATTAAGCGGGGTTCCTTTCACTGGTTCTCGCCGTACGTACTTGCGGTAGGCGACCTCGACGTCCTGGCTGGCGTACACCAGCCCCCGCTTCCGCTGGTCGTACCCCGCGGTGGTTTCGGTGGTGTAGGTGTATAACGGCGACGATTCCGGGATAAGCTTCAATGGCATGTTTGCGTAGTTCCGAGTAAGTCTGTTTGGATCAAGTTATATAGTTTAGCGGGTCGGCATGTGAAAGCAGTAGTAGCGGATGAAGTCCGGGGTAGAAGCCAATGTGGGGAACGCCAACCGTTAGGCGCAGCCTCGGCTTCGGAGATGTGCGAGCCTGCGCCCGCCGAGGAACAAACACCGAAGCGTTGATGAGAATTACGCCATCTAGAGTATTCGTAAGCTTCTCTCGGCTTGGTCTTCTATTAGCCTATTCTGCTTAGATTAGCTGATAGTAATTCAATAAACGACTATATTGGTCCTAACAGCCTCGGGCTATCTCACTCCCCCCCTCTCTGACCCCGCAGTCGGCTCGGAGTTCGAACCCCCCCTCGCGGAGTTTTCTTCACCGTGACAATTATCGAACTTTTCCAGAATTAACCGAGCTTAGATTTATATGGTGGTGGTTTGCTTAGCGGGTCGTTTCCTCGGATTGCACCTTATCACGTGAGCATGGACACCTGCCCCATAATGAGCGGGCGATGCTACCACCACCGCCGCCATGAGTGACAGTTTCGAGCTCAACGAGGTCGTCGACGCCTCCGTCGACACGTCGCTCCAGCGGAAACTTAAGGATATTGCCGCCGGCTTCGTCGGTGGCGCCACCCAGGTGTTAATCGGTCAGCCGTTCGACCTCGTCAAAGTGAGATTGCAGACGGCCAAGGGCTCCGACCCCCAGTCGATGGTGGGCATTGTCAAGCTGGTACTTAAAAATGAAGGTCCGCTGGCATTTTATAAAGGCACATTGGCTCCGTTATTCGGAGTGGGAGCGTGTGTGCTGCTTCAGTTCTACGGGTTCCACGAGACTAAGCGCCAGATTTTAGCTCGCGAAAAGACATCAGAATTGGGATTGTGGCCTCAAACATACATCTGCGGTGCCGTCGCTGGTATCGTCAATACCCCCGTCGCCGCTCCCGTGGAGCAATTGAGAATTTTAAGTCAGGCCGACCTGAAGGCCACCCACACCCTTCTGTCGATGGTGAAACAAATATACAGTCACAGTGGCATCAAGGGCATATATCGTGGTACTGGTATCACGTTAGCCCGTGAGATTCAGGCGTACGGGGTGTGGTTTTTGACATACGAGACCCTCATTCGTCAGCTCGTCAACTACCACGGGTACAAGTCACGCGACCAGATCCATACCCCGGAATTGTTGGCGTGCGGCGCCTTGGCAGGCAATGCCCTCTGGCTTCTGTCGTACCCCTTGGATGTAATTAAATCTAACATTCAGAGCGACGGCTTCGGTGCTGACTCCAAGTTCAATGGGAAGGTGTCAGCCGCCACGCGATACATCTGGCAAACTTATGGGATTAAAGGGTTCTGGAGAGGTTTGATTCCCTGTTTGACTCGTGCGGTGCCTTGTTCTGCCGGGACATTTGCTCTGGTTGAATTAGCTTTGAGGTTGATGGGTTAATGAGTACATAGTATAATGATGAGGTTGTGGTTTTGAGAAAGCGGCCTTCAGAGACGTTCATTCGAACGAGCAGTTGGTCAAAAGAAATATAAACGAAGCTAACGCCTGAGAATTACATTAGCCCAATGTTGGTGTCCTAGCGAACACTGTTAAATGACTTGAAAACCTTGAAAGCTATAGTGAAAGAATTGTTACTCAACCTTGAAATTGGCGCCAAATTCACAGACTGCTGCTGGAGCAGAATTGGAATACACCTACGTAATGACTACAATAACCGAGTTAGTTGTTTGGCGATCGCTAATTATGATCTACACACTCAAAGATGACATACGTTTTGATAGACCATCGAATTGAATCTTTCGCTCAGCCTGTTACGGCTTACTCGGTTAATCCTGCATATAATGCACTGCGTCGCTCGTCAAAAATTATTTCAAATTTTTTTTTCAAGTTTTTTTCTCCAGTTTTTTTTTTTTTTCTCAAAATAAGGATTTGGGATCCTTCTGTTGTATAATTCGTCTAGTTCTCATTGATGAAGTCAGGACTTTTCGCGTATACACATCTAGCCGTATAAATGGTTGATGTTCAATTGCTGGACGGTAACGTGGCTGCCATCAATTCGACCATTATATTTAGTGCTATCGAGGTAATCTTGTAACACCCGGATCTTACACGAAGTAATTCGATGATGAAGCTTAGCGAGTAAAATCTAGATCACACAGGAGACCGCTTGTATTTATGCTACAGGTTAGCTATACCTTATCCGTGTATCTACACGCACGGCGAAGGCCAACATTTCTGAAAATCCCTGATTTATATAGTCCAGTCCTTCTGAAGTTTTATGTCTACATTCATTGAGGAACAGTCTTTTAGGAAATGCGATTTCTGACGTAGTTTCACACCGCCATAAGCGTGGTTCGTCGCTACCATCACAATGTTCTTATTTCAAGCCCTAGTGTTCGCTATGCTTTTCCCCGAAGCTTGCCTTGGTGGAGAATTAAGCATGAAGCTGGTTTCAGAACAATATGGGAGCGCACTCTTGGAAACAAATTACGCTAAGTCAAGATTTCGGAGACAACACTGCAGATCGTATATCATAGTAGCTCTATTTGTTGTCAAGAGGGTACGAAAAGCAGATGAACACGTCGTTGATGTGTTAGATTCAAAGTCTCGAAATATTAGTCCATATACCTCTCCACAGCGACGTAGTCAATTTTCTCTCATTCCTTCAATTTCTCCAATGACAATCATATCACGCAAAGTCATCCTAATGTCAATCACGAAGGCTATAATGGAAAAGCCCAGGCAACCTCTGTACTTAATTACAGTGCTTTCTCATTCACAAGCCAAAATATTGAGTCAAGAGATGGTAGACATTGATAGGTGAAGTTTTCCCTGAAAAGCGATACTCACAGCGACGTTACAGCTGAGTGAGTATCCCATTTGCACATTTTCATTTCAACTCATATGATACTACAAAGCAGTATTATTTTTGTTTCGTAAATCCGGTATAGTGTAGTGGTTATCACTCAGCACTCTCCATGCCGCGACCGGGGTTCGATTCCCCGTACCGGAGATTACTTTTTTTTAACCTGTCATTAATCATTTTTAGCATCATCCCGTTGATCTTACATCGGACGGCAATCATTTTGAGTCATTCGGGTAAATCTCCTGGATCGCATTTTCAGCTAATTAGTCATCGTATACGAAAATCTTTCGCGGTGTCGAATAATCATCTCGGACATTTCCCTTTTGGGGTAACTGCACTGATCGATTAGATGAATAACAAAGAGGAGTGGCAAGTTGAACAATGCGACATGGCAAACATCAGACATTATTAGTAAAATGAAGCGTTGTAAGTAATACTCCTTGCCTTGAATTATTTGCCAACGCTTAAGTTTGTAGAAGCTGCTTGATGCTAACGTGATTATATTCTCATTGATAGGAGTCGGGATGTTTCCTGATCTGGCACACTAGCGACACTTACTAACTCAAATAGGTCAAACTATTGATTTATCATCACGTGACCTTCGTCGGCTGCAAAAAAACCGTTTTTCACGATATTGTGGTGGCTGACAAATTGTGAGCATCAACTTCCCCAATATAAATACAGCGACTCTACCGCGTTTTCCTTTAGTCATCAATTACAAAGCCAAATCATGACTGTTGACAAAATCAATGCCCTTGGCAAGACCAAGCTTTTTAAGCCGCTCCAAGTGGGCGCCAACCAATTGGCTCATCGGGTTGCCTACGCTCCCACCACCAGATTCCGGGCCCAGACCAACCACGTGCCCTCTGATTTGCAAGTGCAATACTACGACGACAGACTGAAGACCCCCGGGACTTTGCTTGTCACTGAGGCTACGGTAGTCTCGGCGCAAGCCGGGGGTTACCCGATTGTCCCCGGGATCTGGAGTGAAGAACAGCTGAAGGCGTGGAAGGCAGTGGTGGACAGAGTGCACGCCAACAAGTCGTTTATCGCTGCTCAGTTGTGGAATTTGGGTCGTACTGCTTACCCCAAGTTTCTTAAAGCTCAGGGGCTCGATTACGTGTCGGCGTCGGAAGTGTACGACACTGAAGAACGTAGAAAGGCGGCTGAAGACGCCGAGAACCCCTTGAGAGCTTTGACCACTGAAGAAGTGGACCAGCTTATTGATGAAGTGTACCCTAACGCTGCTAAGCAAGCGATGGACGCTGGTTTCGACTACGTCGAATTGCACGGCGCTCACGGCTACTTGTTGGACCAGTTTTTGCAACCCACCACCAACAAGCGCACCGATAAGTATGGTGGATCAATTGAGAACAGAGCCCGCCTTATTCTCGCCATCATTGACAAGTTGGGTGAACAAATTGGCTACGAAAAGATTGCCATCAGACTTTCTCCCTGGGCTCAATTTGAAGGTATGAAGGGTAAGGACGCCGAGGTGCACCCCATTGCCACTTTCGGCTACTTGCTTTCGGAATTCCAAAGACGCGCTGATGTCGGTAAGAAGCTTGCCTACGTCTCCGTAGTGGACCCCCGGGTGGCTACCATGGCCGATAGAACCGTCAACGTTGCCGAGGAGAATAACGACTTTGTCCCCTTGATCTGGAAGGGCCCCATCATGAAGGCGGGCAACTACACTTACGATGCTCCCGAGTTCACCTCGCTTTTGCAGGATATTGAAAACGACCGCACCATGATTGCCTTTTCTCGCTACTACACTTCCAACCCTGATTTGGTGGAACGGTTGCGCGATGGTGAGGCGTTGACTCCCTACGAACGTGAGTTCTTCTACACTTCCTACAACTGGGGCTACAACACGTTTAACAGATTGGGTGAAACTAAGGAGTTTGACGAAGAAAAGGAAAAGGAACACGCCCCCCAACCCGTCAAGGCCTAAGGTAGCTATATAACCAAAATACATTAGCATTCTGGAATTACTCAATCTTTTTATTTCATTTGAAGCTGTGATCGACATGTATATTAGGGTTGGCTAATAGCAGTGCATTCGTCTGTTTGGTGTTTGATCCACAAATACTACGGCTGAATTCACGTATAGCTCAAAGAAATGTCGCCATCTTCTCTCTATCCTGATTGCGGTTACACCCACTCGTCGTACCAACCCTCATTGGTGTACTGAGGATTATAGGGTGGGTCCTGAGGGTACGGTGGAGGCTGGGATAGCAATTGCGGGGCACCATCAACTGCCAGGTGAGGCGTGACTTCGTCAAGGTATTGTTCGTCCGGCAGGATATCCGGCAGCACCGACGTCAGCCCCATTTCCAGCGACTGGGAGTCCAGACTCTGCTGCGGTTGCTGTGCCGATCTGGGCTTCTTTTTGCGGATCCGCCGAGGTCTCTGCGCTGCCTGCATCGCTTCAAACTCACGGTACTTCGCCAAGTAGATCTTGAGCATCTCGGCGTAGTGCTCGAACCCTAGAGTGTACATCGACCAGAGGATATCCTCGCCGTTCATCGTCTTGCGCTTTTCTAGGAGACACCGGTCGCTCAGCTGAGACGTGATGAAGAGGATAAACTCGGACACACACTCTTGCATACACTCCTTCAGCTCCTTGGAAAGCTTACCGTTTTCGGGTAGAGCCGCCTTCATCACCCTCCCCACTTTTCTCAGTTAGTACCTTTCGAGTCGGCTGTTTGGGCGTGTGGTTCAACTGGGATTACGTACCGTTGGCCAACGGGAGAAACCGGTCCTGCTCCTTGATTTCGTAGTCCCAATTTTCCATGACAGGGAGTGGAACCGCTGTGTGACGGTAAAGTCTACGGCAGGTGACGGGCGCGTTGTGTCTATATAGCTGATGGATTTGATAATGCGGACCTCGGACACGCACAAAACCGGCCAATAATATCGCATCGCTCTCGCCCGTCGCCGCAGCACCAGGCGTGTAAACCATGGCCCTACCACTACTAGTGGTGTCTACACTGGTTGAAAATGCTATTTCATGAGTTAGTTACCCGACCAATGGCCAATTATTACCTATTTTCCGTGTCCTTCATCGGTCGACCCCGGGGCCATCTCGCCAGATAAGCCACCCGTGGTGCGGCGGGGTGCGGCTAAAAAAAAAAAAAAGAATGGGCGAATTCGGGGCGTATTCGGAATAAATCTCGGACATCCTAAGCGAAGATGCCTCCCCTGCTCACCAAATGCGCTTGCTGCTCATTTTGAACCGCATCACCGAGTCGAGGTCGGTATCCCGATCTCGGCGACGCAGCTTCTCCTCGTTCCCCGGAGGTACCGGTTCTGACGGGTCGTAGAGTAAATGGCGGCTCGTAGGGTTAATTGTCGACATTTCGGGATTGGGCACCCCGGGGAAGATGACGTTCTCCACCTGGCGCCGGTTGACGATGCTCACCGCCAGTTTGAGGAGTACTAACCCTAAGATGAGGCGTATTAGTACAAGAGCCAAAAACACTAGGAGAATCACCACTGAGTTCGCCGTCACCGCTTTAATTGAAGTGCCTCGTACCGGTAACAACACGTACTTTAAGTCGCCCATCGTCATCAGTAACAGACACACGATCAGCGCGTACAAGGGGATGCCGATGCGCCGCACGTGCACCAAGTAGTCGGTCAAGTTGTGGCTATCGCCGTCGCCCATGCTCAGAATATAGTCGGCGCTGATCACGGTGAGGAAGTTGCGGTACACCTGTGGGCGTAGCTTATTGAACTTGGTGATGTAACAGTGCTTAAGCCAATCGACGATGATTTCCAGGCCAAACACGCCGATGGCGGGGCCAATGATGGCGCCACCCACTAAATTATTCCACGCCAGCAGCCAGCTGTTGGGGATGAGCAGTTCCCACGAGTCCAGCCCCATGCGGGTGAGCTGGAGCAAGTTGCGGGAGGCGATGATCAGGATCATAAGCCCAAGCGAGTACCGCTCACACAAGTCGGCGAGCGCCACTTGGAAGAGCCCCTCGCGTTCAAACCGTTTGAACACGCTCCCTTTAAGCTCAGCAAACTGGTTGGAAAGCAATAACGTCATTAACGCGTTGGAGTATGAGTTGGCAGCGACGTTAAGACTGACGGTTTGGTACACCAACACGTAGGCGTGAAACGCCAAATACACAATCGCCAGCGCTGCCACCACCACCCGCCGGAGCTTGCTATTGTCCCGACAATAAAGCAAGTCCAGCACGTCCTGGCCGAGACTCAGGAGAAGCTTATCGGCGACCTCAAGCACCCCAAACATCACGTACAACTTGATGTGGGCCTGGCCGCGGATATCGTGGTACATGCGGCTGATATCGAGTCCCACCACCACATTGAGCAAGTACACCGCCCCGCCAATGGTGACCAACGTCGTGGCGTCGTGGCGGAGCGAGTCTGGCGGACGCGTCCGGACACCTGTTATCCGGGCCCATAGCAGCTTCACCAACTGCACCACTAGCTTCAATGGCACCAAGGTAAACACGGTGAGGTAGCTGCACACACATACCCCTAAACCAAACGCCATGAACCGCTCCAAGTAGTACGGCACCCGCGTCATGTTGACGATCTCCTCGATGTCCCGGGACAGCGCTGGTGACGGTGACGGGTGGTCGCCGCCTCGGATCTCATAGAGCAATAGCAGCCAGAGCGACACGTTCACTTTTGAATCACTGGTACTGGTAGTGGCGGGCGTGGTTGGCGGTGACGACACCACTCGCGACCCCGAGTGGGTTCGAGACCGCCGCCGGAGCGTCAGCGCCAGCGCCAGCGGTAGCAGGAGGCTGTGGCTCCGTTTCAGTATTCCCATAAATTATTTAGATTTGGTCTATTCCTTGGGAGGGGCTGGAGCGTAGGGGAAGGTATTGTTATGATGAGGTGGTGGGGGATGGGATGGTGTCATCGTGCGCCCATCGCGACCACTAGTAGTACTGAGTCCGCTGAGGCATTCACCGCTAAATATTACCAACTCGTAGTGAATCAAAATAGAACCAATCACTTTAATCGCCAGTGATGATGTCATCGGCGTGAGAGTCACCCCCCGCTGACCATTGTTGGTCGCCTTCCCCACAAATATGAGCCCTGCTCGCTCATCCATCATGCTGCCACTGCTGCTTCTGTGCCCCGGCAAGTGCGACCCTGAGCCGCCCACCACCAAGGCAATCGCCACTGATCCCGCCCCCACTTCCACAGCCAGTGCAAACTTGTGGTTTCGAAAATCGCTTCGGATCGTTACCAGCAATTCACGTGACTGTTTGAAAACCCTGACTCGAAAACGACGACGACTTAGGTGATATACTTCGCTCTGTCACCATATTTACCTGCCGACGTCGCCCACCATCATCCCCCCCACACGCCAGCGATGCCGCCATTGACCCTCACCCAGTTTGTCCCCATGCTCGCCCGCTACCCGCACGACGAGTTCTTGGACCCTAGCCAAGCGCTGGGGCTTCTGTTGCTCCTTGTCGAGCTCTTGGTCGATAACACCGTCGAGTACCCTCTACTCAAATACCTCAGCCGGTTTCTTCTGCCCGATCTATACGACAGCGTCGTCGAGGAACGCCAGATCGAACACAACTGCGGCTACATAACATGCTCCAATAAGCCCAAGGCGCGGCGGCCCAGCGTCCATCTGCTGCTGCCGCCCAACGGGTTCCAGATCTACGCCCGCAAGCCCCTGATTATCTTGCCCAATACTTACTCGCTGCAGTACTGCTGCAAGGAACACTACCAGGCGCTGACTTTCTACCGTAACCAGTTGCTGGAGGAGGCAGTGTTCAGCCGAGCCAATATTATGGTCGCACCGCCGTTCCCGGAAGACTACCCCGCCTACTGGTACGAAAATGGCATTACGTGTTTAGAGGAAGTATTGGAACGCCACCGGCAAGATACCAACAAGCTGCTTTCGGAGATCATCGCCCAATTGGCCGGTCTTAAGGTGGACGACTCCAATGGCCACCAACAGCCTCTGCCAGCACATGACCCCACCAATAAGCTCATCGAGCTCATCAACAACTTCGAGATTGTTGAACACGAAAACCCTCAGCCTGATCTAGGCAACAAAGAGGAGGAAGACGAGGAGGACACCAACACCAACGCCGACGGCTACCGCACCCTGGCGCGTGCCTGGGGCGGCTATGTGGTGTAAGCGCCACCGACGTCGCTAACGCTAACCATTTAACGACCATCTAACGCTGTATACATTGTGGCACCTATCCATAGCAGACCTACCCAGAGTACAACGCTCGCTCGTGGACAAACCACCATAGAATACAATACAAGTCATATCGATTATGAACCTAGAAATAAGTATAGGACTTACTGTGTCGAGTAGTACTCGGATGAGAAAATGAGTGTGATTTACTGATCATCCGTGGCTCCACATGAGAGTAGCAATCAGGAAGCAATTGACATATGCTACTCAAGCACTCTGAGTATGGCTGATTTGAAACCCAAAGTTGGATTCCAATGGAACGAGTCTTTCGCCATTAGCCTCGATTCGGCCGCTCATATATCCAGCATACCCTCGACATGGCAGACTGTTCATAACACCGCAAACTCGGGGCAATTGCATTCCCTGTCCATGATAGTACTCATAGTCCTATCATCGCAACGAGGTCTTTCGGCTCGATAGCAATGGTACTGTTTCGAAAGCCATTCCACTGAGGATTTACCAGGCAATATAATCATGGATGACACGTGGGGTAACTGGCTCGAGTCAACATCAGAGAGCTCAGTGCAAGTGAGGGGTATCGTAGATGGTGTTGAGGCTCCTTCTTCACATCGGGAAACGATCTGGGCTTTGTTCACTGACTTCAGATGGGTTATACAATCGCCATCTTCGGGTGCGGTGTCATTTTGGTGACTTAACGATCGCACTACGTATGGAGGTATATACGTCTTACTCGTATAGTATTGTCTACAAGCACTGACCTTTTGCTTTCCAGTTATTGATGTGATATAGTTCTCTTTATTGATATTAATAATTCTATTACCTCCAAATAATTCATTCTTCGTCGCTATCGTCGTCGCTATCGTCGTCATCGTCACTAACGTCTCCACCTAGGGCCCGTAATTGATCCTTATACTTAGATTTAGAGTCGTCAAGCTCACTCATCAAAAGCATCATATCGTCCAACTCCGAACGTGGCACCATCAGCTTGAGTTTATCCTTAACGTCCTTGAGCTCACTTTGTAATTGTTCAAGTTGAGAGGAGTCGGCGGTGGCAGCAGTGGTAGCCTTCTTCGCCGCTTCAAGTTGTTGCTCCATTTCAGCGATACGTTTGTCAGCAGCAGCCTTAGCTTCGGCGATTTGCTTTTCAGCTTGTTGCTTAGCTTCGGTTTCAGCAGCAGCCTTAGCCTCGGCAACTTGCTTATCGATAAGCTTCTTAGCGTCAGCTTCCGCTGTCGCCTTAGCTTCAGCAGCCTGCTTCTCCGCCGCTGCCTTCGCTTCCGCTACTTGCTTGTCAGCGGCGGCCTTGGCGTCAGCAATCTGCTTGTCGGTTTGCTTCTTGGCTTCAGCATCACTAGTCGCCTTAGCCTCAGCGACTTGCTTTTCGGAAGCGGCCTTAATTTCAGCAATTTGCTTTTCAGCTGCTAGTCTAGCCTCAGTAGCAGCGGCCTGTTTGGCTTCAGCCACTTGTTTCTCAGCCGCTTGTTTGGCTTCAGCCACCTGTTTCTCAGCAACAGCCTTGATATCGGCAATTTGTTTATCAGCAGATTGATTCAATTGCGTTTCATGAACTTGCTTGAGCAGGTCGATCTCCTTCTGGTGGGCTTGTTTAGCGTCATCGATCGTCTTCGCCTTGGCTTCATCCATCTCCTTCTCGTGCTTAGCTTGCGCAGCCACAAGTGTTTCGCGCTTCGCCTCCTCGATTTGCTTGTCGGTGGACTTCTTGGCTTCAGCTAACGCCGCCGCCAACATCTCCTCGGCCTTCTTGTTGGCTTCAGCAGTGGCAGCCTTACGCGCTTGTTCGATCTGTTCAGCAGCTTCTTGCTTCGCCTTGGCAACGGCTTCTTCCACTTGCTTAGCAGCTGATTCCTTAGCCGCAGCTTCAGCAGCATCGTTGGATTTCTTGGCTTGTTCCGACTTGATCTTGAATTCCCGTTCAGCATCAGCATAGGCTTGGGCCTTGGCTTCTTCCACTTGCTTTGCAGTTGTCTTTTCCGCTTCAGCGCGAGCCAATTTCTTTGCTTCTTCGACCTGCTTCGTCGCGTCTTTCTTCGCTTGTTCCAACGCATCCTTAGCCAATTGCACTTCACGTTCAGACGAGGCCTTCACGTCAGCAAGTTGTTTAGTAATGAGCTTCTCGGCATCTTCCTTAGCTTTCTTGGCTTCGGCTTCGGCAGCAGCTATCTTAGATTCCAACTGTTGACGGATAGTGCTGATTTGCTCAGTAGCTTCGGCCTTGGAAGACTCCGTCAATTGTTTCTTTACCGCATCAACATCTTCAGCTGCCTTCTTCTTTAAAGCCTCTGCTTCAGAGGCTGCCTTAGCCTTGGCATCTTCTAACTGTTTCTTAAGACCAGCAACTTCCTTGGTGATCTCCGCAACCTTAGCGTCAGCTTCCTTTCTAGCGGCTTCGACCGAGGCTAAACCCTTTGATGATAATTCAGACGCTTCTTGTTTAGCAGCAGCAATGTCCTTCTCGGCCTGAGCTTTAACAGCAGCCACAGACTTCTCCCCTTCCTCCTTAGCGGCAGCCAACTTCTTTTCCAATTCAGCCTTCAAACTAGCGGTGGTCTCCTGGGCTTCAGCCAATTTCTTTTCCAATTCAGCCTTCAAACTAGCAGTAGTCTTCTTGGCTTCAGCTTCAGCAGCAGCCGCTGTCTTTTCAGCATTAGTCTTGGCAGCAGCAACGCTCTTTTCGGCCTGAGACTTAGCATCAGCAAGTTCCTTCTCCAACTTGGCTTTAATCAGAGACGCCAGTTCCGTGGCTTGCGCCAATTGGTCCTTCAATTTCTGTTCAGCCGAAGCAACCAGTTGTTTGAGCAATTCCGCTTCCTTCTTGGCGTCTTCAAGCGCCTTGGAGTGAGCTAAAGCCTGCGCAGCAGCTGACTCCTTAGCCTTGATTTCGTCAGCCAACTTTTGCTTGAGCTCAGCCAACTGCTTGCTCATAGTTTCATTCGCCAGAGCCGTCAGTTTGGACAGTTCTTCTGCCTTAGCCAGAGCAGATTGTAAGGCTTCAATCTCCTTTGTCTTAGCAGCAGCATCGGATTCAGCAGTGTCCAATTTCAGCTTCAAACTGGCAGTCTCGTCTCTTAGGGAAGTAAGCAGCTTCTCTAAATCACTGAGCTTAGTTTGGTGATCAGTTAACTTCGAGTTGAGGGTATCACGATGAGCAACCACTTCTGCGTGCTTCTTCTCCCACTGTTCAGTTGCTTCCTTGTGCTTCTTTTCCCATTGTTGAGTGGTTTCAGCCAAAGCAGCAGCGGCGGCTTTAGCGGCCGTCTCGTGGTCATCCTTCGCTCTCGCCAATTCATCCGCAACCGAACGATGTTGTTGAGTGAGTTGGCGGTGCTCTTCTCGGGCCGCTTTAAGCTTGGCTGACCACTCAGCCACCACTTCTTCAGACGTAGAGGTAACCATCGCCCGTTCCTTCTCCACATCGGCTTCCAATTGAGCCACAAGCTTAGACTTATCGGCGAGAGTCGCCTGAGTTTCCATCAATACTTGCTTCAAGCCCAGAGCATCCTTCTGAGCTTTAGTTTCCGCCTCTTTGAGTTGGCGACGCAAGTCATCAACCTCCTTGGATTTAGCAGCAGCAGCCTTGGTGCGGTTATCCTGGGCTTCAGAAAGCTGTTTCTCAAGAACGGTAATCTTTTCCAGGTACTTCGACTTCGCATCGGCCAACGCTTGGTCGTGAGCTTCCTTCTGCTGCTTCAACTGGTCCTGGAGCTTTGTGACTTGCTCCAGCCCCGACAACTTAAGCTCGGCAATTTCCGCTTGGCTCAGTTGTTGAAGCTTGGTCAATTTCAGTTGCGTCTCCTTGAGCGTTTCCGCCTGAGCCAGTTGAGCCTCAGCAAGTTTAGCAAGTTCAGCCTTGTGGTCCAGTTGAAGCTTAGCCACTTGATCGGCCAATTTCTTAGCATTATCGGTAGCCTTTTGAAGATTGGCTTCAGTCTTTTCGAGAGCAGCTTGAGACGTTTGCAATTTGGTGGAGTACAGCTTCACCTGTTCAGCAGCATTAGTGGCTTCCGCTTGTGCCTTAGCAACATCATCTTCTGCCTTCTTCTGGACTTTAGCGACCTCAGCTTCAGCATCTTTGCGAGCTTTAGCGACTTCAGCTTCAGCATCCTTTTGAGCTTTGGTCAATTGCTCATCAGACTGAGCTTTAGACAGAGCAATTGCCTTATCGGATTCAGTCTTAGCCTTGGTGACCTCAACCTTAGCATCATCCTGAGCTTTAGCAATGGCAGACCTCGCCTCCTCTTGAGCCTTGGCAATGGCCGTCTTGGCATCAGCTTGAGCCTTGATTACTTCAGCTTGAGCGGCATCACGAGCCTTCGTAAGTTCAACAACTTGGGCCTTCGCCGCGTCACGAGCTTTCGTGAGTTCTTCAATTTGGGCTTTAGCCTTTGTCACCTCATTCTTCAACTTAGCAACCTCAGCTTTAGCATCAGAAAGTTGTTTTTCAAGTTCCTTGACCTGCAGGGTACGCTCATCTCTGGCAGTGGCAGCTTCCTTCGCCAATTCCTCCAACTTTTTAGTTGCTTCGGTGTATTTTGCCACCACCAGCTTGTGTTTGGCTTCAGCTTCCGCGAGTTGCTTAGCGTGGTCTGCTTTAGCCGCTTCGTGAGCCAGCTTAAGACTTTCCAATTCACCCTTCAGCTTTTCCTCAAGTTGCTCAACAGTCTTAGAGTGTTCATCGGCCAACTGTTTGCGCTTGGTGTCAAAATCAGCAATAGCTTTTTGGTGAGTCTTCGTCAAGCTGTCATTCTCCAACTGAAGCAGTTCGACGCGAGAGTGAAGATCAGCAGCTTTCGCTTCGGCAGCTTTGATCAAAGAGCTCGCTTTCTCATCAGCTTGTTTGATCAAGGTAGCCGCCTCGGATTTGGCAGTATCAACAGCCGATTTAAGTTTACTTTCATGAGCATCACCTTGAGCCTTCAACGCGGCAGCATGAGTATCCTTAGTTTTAGCGATTTCAGCAGCATGGTTGTCCTTGGCTTTGGTAAGCTCATTAGCATGGTTATCCTGAGCCTCCTTAAGCTTTTGCTGAGCATCCTTAAACTTGGCCTCGGCAGCCTGAAGCAACTCTGCATGCTTGCCTTCAGCAGACTTAAGAGCCGCATCAAACTTCGACTCGGCAGCTTCAAGCTCCTTCTTGTGTTGTACTTTGGCAGCAGCAAGATCATCTTCGTACTTCTTGATAGTCGACTCGAGCTGTTTATGGGTGCCATCAGCATCAGAAAGCAGCTTCTTGTGGGTGTCAACCGCCAGTTTAAGATCGAAAATCTCCCTCTTGTGGGTATCAAGGGACAGCCGAAGATCAGAAGCCTCCTTCTTGTGGTTATCAGCCATCAGTTGCGCCTCGGTGAGCTGCTGTTTGAGACTGACGGCAGCAGCTTTAGCAACGTCAATTTGTTTCTGGTATTTGGCAGTGAGCTCGTCGCGCTCCTGCTGATATTTAGACGTGAACTCTTCCACCTCCTTCAGATGAGCGTCTTTCGTAGCAGCAAGAGCGGTAGCATGTTTCGCTTCCACAGCATCAAGCTCCTTCAGATGGGCATCCCTGGCAGCTTCGAGGGCCTGTTGGTGTTTGTCTTCAGCAGCCTTGATGTCCTGTTGGTGCTTAGCTTCCGCAGCCGCGAGCTCCAGTTCGTGGGCCTGCTTAGTGTCGGCAAGAGCCTTCTCGTGGCCCTTCTTAAGCTCCGAAACGGACTTATTATGGGTATCTTGTTCCGACGACCTAGCAGCCTCCAACTCCTTTGCGTGAGTGTCCTTCAACTTATCCAGCGCCTTTTGGTGGTCATCAACCATTTGTTTGAGCTTAGCCTGGTGGGTATCCTTGAGTGATTGAAGTTCCCGTTGATGAGTTTCCTTGGCCTGCTTGAGCTCGTTCACGTGACTCTCCTTGGCGGTGTTAAGCTCAGATTGATGGGCCGCCTTAGCTTTCTCGAGCTCCTTCTGGTGGGTTTCCTCGGCAACCTTAAGCTCTTTTTGGTGGGCTTCCTTTGCAGAGGCAATTTCAGCTTGATGAGCTTCTTTGGCAGCCTTGAGCTCAGCTTGATGGGCTTCAATCTTAGAGTTGTGAGCATCAGTGGCCTCCTTCAATCCCCGTTGGTGAGTTTCCTCAAGCAGTGATATCTTTTCATCGTGAGCCTGCTTATCAGCTTCAAGAGATTGGCGAAGTTTTGCAAGTTCAGCGGTGTGAGTCTTGGTGGACTCAGCGAGCTTGGCGTCAGCAGCTTCCAGGGCTTGTTTGAGCTCATCTTCAGCAGCCTTCTTGGCTTCAGCAAGTTTGTTTTCAGCATCTTTGATGGTTTCTGTAAGCTTAGTCTCGGCATCAGCCTTGAAAGCTTCAAGCTCCTTGGTTGCCAGCAGTTTTGCTTCAGTCAATTGAGTCTCAAGATCGGCAACACGCTTATCAGCACCAGTAGATAACTTCTCCACCTCTGCCTTCAAGTCGGCAATTTCCTTCTTCAAAGACGCCACTACTTCCTCATGCTTAGCCGCTTGCTTAGCCGCTCGTTCTTTCTCCACATCCAATTCGGCTTGGAATAAATCACGCGCCGCTTCAACTTCTTCCAACGTGTCCTTAACATCCTCCAATTGCTCTTCCAAGTCTTCAACCTGAGCCCTAGACTTGGCCGTCGCTTGATCCAAGTTGGCCCGTATCAGAGCAAGCTCGCTCTTGTGGGTTTGTGTTTGTTCCAGGGCTTCCTTTTCAAGACGTTCTTTGACAGACTTAAGTTCAGCCAACACCAGTCCCGCCAGGCGCAATTTGTCCATAAGGTGAGTATTCTGTCCTTCAACCTCAGTGAGCTTCGTTTGCATATCACGCACGGTGGTTTGACTCAGCAGTTGCAGACGTTCAAGATCGGCTTCAAGCTTAGCCACTTTCCCCTCGAGATCCAGCTTGATTTTAGCATGTTGCTTCTCAAGTTGTTGGTGAGCCTGAGCATGAGACTTCTTGAGGTCATCAAGTTCCTTAGTAAGCAGCTTGATCCGCTTTTCTTGTTCCTTCTTCTCCCGCTGAAGCGTAAACAAGTCTTGCGTCATCTTATTGACCCCTTCTTCAAGCTTAGCCTTAGCCGCCTCAGTTTCCTTCAACCGTTCTTCCAACTGTTTCTGCAGCGACCCCAACTTCAGAGACTCAGCTTCCATCGTGGTCAATTTGGCTGTCAACTTCTGCACTTCGCTCTCCGCTTGGTCCTTCAATTGAGTAGTTTCCTTCAACGAAGCTTCAACCTTCTCCAAGGTAGACTTGGTCGAGGAGTAATCAGTCTCAATCTTAGTCAATGCCGTCAGTTTTGTCTCAATGTCCGCTGCCATATCCTCCAGCTTCTTCGTGAGCTCAGCCACTTGCAGTTTGAGATTCTCTTCCGCAGATTTAGCAGCGACTTTGTGTTCCAAAAGCTTCCGCTTGACATCAGAGTATTCGCCTTCGAGCTCTTCAAATGCTTCAAACGTGATGGATTTGCGAGGATCAGTCATTGGGTCGTGGAAGAGCGCTCGTCTGATACGACTGAAGTTGCTCTTTACAAGTGTCACATATAGATGGTCGAAATAAACCTGCGGTAACCCAACGTGGTCCAGCAGCAGGCTCAGAAGCAGCTGGTCGTCGAAGTCACGGAACAAATGGTATTGGCGAAGCTGCTTGATACGTAGCAGGTAGTTATCTTTACCCATACTTTTGATCAAAAGAGTGTGGAGATCCTTTCTGGGAAGTGGCAGTTGGGAGGTGGAGAACTCGTAGCACACGCCGAGCCACACCAGCGCCATCGACTTGGCGACGGTGACCTCAGTCAGCTCCAGATGGTGGCCACTAAGATAAGCCAACACTTGACGAAGAGCCAGCGGATGCTTCAACACCTCGTTCACCACGGTGAAATCCTCGTACATCCAGTAAGTGAACAACATGTAGTACGCCATGGCAATACGCTCGTCGTAGCCAGTTTCAAGCAGCGCCACTAAAAGCTCAAGCATCGCCTCCACCAGCGTCATCACTTCAGCATCGCCTTCAGCTCCAGTGGTGACCGTAAGAGCAGCTTGACGGTTCTCGTCGTAGTCTTCGAACGTGTACATCAAAATGACGGCGGCAAACCATGCCCGATAAGGGTTAAGCTTGATATCCATATCGTAGTCCATAAGCACCAGAAAGATGTTGGGGAATTTCGGCGGAGTAGCCGAGGCAGCGCTGCCGTTAGTCTCGCCATTGGTTTCGCCCTGGTCCCAGTAGTGGGGGTCCTTGTATGCTTTCATTTGATCGCTCAAGAATGCCTGTTTCAGTTCCAGATTGTCTTTGAGAAACGCCCTCAAAACGTGGGCAGCGTTCATGCGGATATCGAACCAGTGCACCAGGTTGATGTTAAGTGCCCAATTGAGCAAGACGAGGGTCACTGGCGCTAAGCGGCCGACTTCGAGCCCCGGCATCAGCGGGTCCTCAATCATCGGCACATCGATCTGACTAAATTTGAGCTGAATTTCAGGGTTACCAGCGATCAAGTGGGCCACGTTGCTCAATGCCACCAGCTGGAGGGCTAGCGGTGTCTGTGGAGTAAACAAGAGTTGAAGGATGACAAAAAGTACCCCAGCATCGAAGAGTTTCTGCTGATTTTGAGCCAAGAACTCCAGGTCTTCGTCGACAAACGTGCGGCACAACTCAATGGCAATCGTCATGTTCTGCTGGCGCTGGTCGGTCCACACCATCGGCGGCAGGTCTTCACTGGTGTCCACCGGCTCACTGAGCAACTGTCGTAACCGTTGTACCCCTTGAGTTTCGAGAAATAGCAGCTGGTTACTCGCATTAAACTGTAACAAGTTGGTGATGAGCGTCAAGCAGTCTTGGACCAAGATCAGACCGCGAATACCGCCTTCTTCGGCGATAATATCAAATAGCTGGTCAAAGCAGTTTTCGAAGGCAATAAGCTTCTGGATGCTATAGTTGTTGTTAGCCAATGCCATCAAAAGAAGGACGGTTTCGTTGCGCACGGGGTCGTGGTCATGATTTAAGAGATTGACAATCACCAGGATGGCGGTGGGCACTTCAAGCACCACTTCCTTCATCTTCTGCGGTCGTGTAGCCACGAGCGCTTCCAACAATTGCAATGCGTAGAGGGTAAGGTGCCAGCCGGGGTTGCCATTGATGATCTCGATGATATCGGCAATAACAGAAGTATCGGCGGTGAGGCCGTCAGCAATCCACATACTGAGTTGGTCCAACAGCACCTGGTCCTCCATGAGCCACGGCAGCGGGTATTTGCCGTTCTGTACTCTCAGCTGATGGGCAATCCACCCTTGGCGGGTCATATCCTCGTCCAGCTCTCCTCGGATAAATAAAATAAGCCATGTTTCAAGCACAGCTTTGGCGACGTTGACGTCGTCGACAGCGTCTTTTTTAAACGCTGCCACGAGCGGCCGAAGCCCGTATTCGACCACTGTCTCTCGGTGGGTGCGGCTGAACGACTTGAGCCCCAAGATTGCCAGGCGCCGGTCCAGGGCTAGCGTGGCGTGCTGGAGCCGGTCGCATAAAGTGGGGATGGCCTCCTCGACCAGCTGGACCTGGCCGCTCGAGAGGATATCCTTGAGGTAGTCCATGGTGAGGGTTGAATACGTGGCGCGAAAAATTTATGGACCACTAGGTGGTGACTTCAAAGACAAGAGTTGGGGAGAAGCAATTGTCACAATAGAATACTCGAAACTAGTAGACGACTAAATTGTTGAGGTTTAGGTCTACATGCTTTTTAGATTGCGTGGGTGGGGGTCTGGTTAAATTGAGAGATGATGGTCGCGTCCGTCGCGTCGTTCGCGTCGTTCGCGTTTTGGTAGCTACGGTCAACAGAAAACGGTAAGAAGCAAATGTGCAGTGCCAGCTTAAGGAGTGAACAAAGTTCATGATTGAAAACTTCATAGTGAAAACTGGGAATAATAACATTCGAAAAGTGACACTCAAATCAAAATATATCATTTTATTAACGTTAGTAGGAGACCAGAAATTTTGTGGTAACAAATCTGTGGAGTACAACGACGAGTTTAGGATGAACGCTTAAATCTAATCAGACTTCAACTTTGCTTATAGGGGTAATGGTGGTTCGGAGAGTGGTTTTTGTGAAAGTGGTGAGAGTCATGAACGACATCGGATGATAATCCAGTTTTTTGAAAATGCGGGGAGATTTTTCACGAATTGCGGAGCGACTCAGTTTGACTCATGAAAATCCACTCCGTCCGCCCTCGGAGGAATAGTTTCATTCTTGTGACGTCATTTTATCTTTTCACAAGATTGTCACCTAATTTCTCCAACGTGAATCACGTCTCAGTATGGTTAATAAAGTCCGCTCTTAGCAATGTCGTAAACAAAAGTAATCAAAGACTAGAAAGAACAGTTCAACAAAAAGTTTACTAGATTTTCCACCAGAGTTCGATGAAGAGTTTCGTATAATTTGATAAGAGAATACGAGACGGGTAAACGGAACATGTTTGAAAAACTTTCGCCAGAAGTTCCTTCCGTCCAGGTCTCTCCACCTTATCGGCGATAGGATTGCTAACGGCTAGTGCACCTGTGACACCCTATGGGGGGCTTATCTCAAGTGTGGGGTAAATCACCAAAACACTTCACTTCCACTGCTAAATTCTGTGCTACGGCCGAACGGGAGTTCTTCATCTATGGTATGTCGTCGTCACCACTGGTAACCGCTACCCCCTTGTCTCTCGCTTCTCTTGCCTCCCCCGCACCGGGCACCTCAGCCGCGGCGGTTAGACTTGTCGCACTCGCTCAGCCCCACCCTGACTCAGAGTCATGAGGGACACACATCAGGTATAGGGGTATCATCCGACGCCGCTCTCTCGCCTAGTATTTCCGGGCATTAACTTCCTCATGTCTGTCGGGATATGCCACCGACCGTGAGTCACACTTTAGGCCTACTCCGAGTGTTGCACTGTCTCCCGGGCCCCGGTCTGGGCCCTTTTTTCACCATTTCTTAAACGGTGTCATTTTTCACAGGCATTCGGCTAGCGTGTATGTCTGATCCGTTAGTCCTAACGCTCGGGTCAAAGGGACGTGGAGGAGGCATTTGGGGGGTGCGACTTTCCGTCTCTCAGCGGAACATTTTGTCGGCACCTTTGTCGCAATATCCCGTGAAAAATTAGAGCCAAAGTAGTCAAACCCTGGGCCAAAAATTTGGGCCAAAATGTAGTATTCTTGATGGCAGATAGTGCCCACTGATCAACTGAATCCATCGGGATGAGGCTGGGCTTTGTGGTGTAGGATTGCGAGCCTTAGCCGGGGAGATAATGCACCTGGCCGCCTTCCCCTCCAAGGATGGTTGTCACCCGAGGGAGTGAGATTGCTTACATGATCCACAGATAGCAGGCTACTAGTGTCCCGGACCGGGCGAAGGAGGGGGAAGTATATGTCCCCGGGCGGACGGCACATGACCCACACCTGTAGATCACTAATCAACGTATAAATACCGCCGCATCGACGCCGTTGCCGGCAGCCCCCCTCCCCCCTCATTACTAATTGTTGTAATTTGTCCGTGGACAAGTTTGCCCCGAATTTCGCACACCCTTATATATAAGCGCCACCGCAACCAAGATGCCCACCCCCTACCGCCGCCAGCTGCTCTCTCGACACGAACAGAGGCACCGCCGGTTTTCTTCTGGATACGTCGAACAAAAACCTCGCACTGACGACATGTACCAGTCCGTTGGCCACTACACCACCTTCACCGTCTTTGGCGCCCTGGGCGACTTGGCGAAGAAGAAGACGTTCCCTGCCCTTTTCGGGTTGTTCAGAGAAGGCGAATTGCCCGAAGAAACCCAGATCTTGGGCTACGCCCGCTCCAAATACGAACAGGACAAGTTCCGCGAACACTTGCGCCCCTTCTTCAAGAAGGGCAACACCAGCAAGCACCCCGACTTCGAGGCTAAGGTGGAGAAGTTCTTGAGCATGATCCACTACGTCCAGGGGCAATACGACACCGACGAAGGTTACCAGAAACTCGACCAGATCTGCCAAGAATACGAAAAGAAGCACAACACCACCGATGAGCCGTCGCGCATCTTCTACCTCGCGTTGCCCCCGTCGGAATTCACCACCGTGGCCAAACAATTGAAGAAGAACTGCTACCCTAACAAGGGTATTTTCCGACTTGTTGTCGAAAAGCCCTTTGGCCACGACCTTGAGCTGGCCCGGGAATTGCAAGCCAACCTTGCCCCCCTCTTCACCGAAGACGAATTGTACCGTATCGACCACTACCTCGGTAAGGAGATGGTGAAGAACTTGCTTGTCCTCCGTTTCGGTAACGAGTTGCTCGCAGGTCTGTGGAACAAGAACCACATCAAGCTGATCCAGATTTCGTTTAAGGAATCGTTCGGTACCCAAGGCCGTGGTGGCTACTTCGACACCATCGGCATTGTCCGTGACGTGATGCAAAACCACTTGCTCCAAGTGTTGACGCTTTTGACGATGGAACGTCCCGTGTCGTTCGACCCTGAAGCCGTCAGAGATGAAAAAGTGAAGGTGTTGAAGGCTATTGACGCCATTGACCACAACGACGTCATCATTGGTCAATACACCGCCTCGGAAGACGGTAAGGAACCGTCGTACCTTGACGACGACACCGTCAAGAACAAGGACTCTAAGGCCGCCACTTACTGTGCCCTAGGTCTCCAGATCCACAACGAAAGATGGGAAGGTGTCCCCATTGTCATGCGTGCCGGTAAGGCCCTCAACGAGCTGAAGGTGGAAATCCGCATCCAGTACAAGCCCGTGGCCAAGGGGATGTTTGAAGCCATCCAAAGAAACGAGCTTGTCATCAGAATCCAGCCCGACGAAGCCATCTACCTCAAGATCAACAACAAGATCCCCGGTATTTCCACCAAGACCTCGCTCACCGACCTCGACTTGACCTACGCCGTGCGGTACTCGGACGACTTCTGGATCCCCGACGCCTACGAGGCGTTGATCAGAGACGTGTTCCTCGGCAACCACTCCAACTTTGTCCGTGACGACGAGTTGGACGTGCTGTGGCTGTTGTTCACCCCGTTCCTCGAGTACATCGAGGGCCCCAACGCCCCCAAGCCCGAGTTGTACCCTTACGGCTCCAAGGGTCCCAAGGAGCTCCGCCAATTCTTGAGCAAGCACGGCTACGAGTTTGCCGACGAAGGTATTTATGAATGGCCCGTCACCACCACCAAGGTCGTCGACGTGGCGGAAAAGCTTTAGGTGCTTTTCGTCTACGACAGTCACGTAACTAATATATTAGAAGAAAATTGGAATTTTTGTAGTGGTATTCAGGCCAGTTATCCAATGCCAACTTAAGCTATATCGTAAGGAACCTAGGCTATATCGTAAGGGGATTACGCCTTGTGGCAGTGTCGGAGTTATTGCGCAGTTCATATAGATATAGCCTTACCTGGCAACTCCGACCTCGCGAGATCTCCTGTCGGCACTGCCGGAATTTTCAAGAGTTACGCCTTCACCCCTTCCCTCGTCTCTAAGTACTCCAATTATACCATGAAAAATCACCTAAAAGACCTACTAACTGATTCCAATTCTCAACCAATCATCTTCTAAACCAATCACATCGACCCCTAGGTATATTTCCCCGTCGCCTGTTACCCCGTTCTCCGTTGCTGGATTTCGGCTCCGCCGGCATTACCGGACCCGCTACATATAGAGGCGCACTCGGCCCTAGAGTTGGCCCCTCCAAGCCATGCTCCGTCTGATCCGCCACGCCAGCACCCAGAGCCTGCCCTTTCGGGTCGCCATTGTTGGTTCTGGGCCCGCCGGCTTCTATACCGCCCACCATTTGTATAAGCTGGGCGCCCCCGTCGCCGTTGACTTCTACGAACGCCTCCCCGCCCCCTACGGCTTGTCCCGCTATGGCGTCGCCCCCGACCACCCGGAGGTCAAGAACTGTGAAGAGTACCTTGATTTGATCATGGACAACCAGGAGAACCTGAGATTCATCGGCAACGTCACCGTGGGCGAGGACATCGCCCTCGACGAGTTGAAGAAGCAGTATCACGCCGTGGTGCTCAGCTACGGGTCGACCGCTACCGACAATACCCTTGGCATTCCGGGAGAAGACGCCGAGGGGATCATTCCTGCCCGGCAATTCGTCAATTGGTACAATTCCCACCCCGATGCCGCCAACTGGCAGCCGCCCGATCTCTCAAAGATCCGCGATGTTACCATCATTGGCAACGGTAACGTCGCCATGGACGTGGCCCGGGTGCTTATTGGCCTGCCCCTGTTGCACTGGGACCCCACCGACATCGCCTTGGCCACGGTCAAGGCCCTTGAAAAGTCCGCCATCCAAACCGTTAGCATTGTCGGCCGCCGAGGGGTATTACAGCTGGCGTTTGCCAATAAGGAGCTCCGCGAGTTATTAGAAATGGCCGCCCTTAATCAATTCCTGTTCCAGATTAATTCCGATGAGCTTAACGCCATGGCGGGGAAGAAGTTGGGACGCGTGGAGAAGCGCCGCTTGGGTTTACTTGAAAAGTACGTCGGCACCGCTGTCGACTCGTCCAAGGTGTTGTCGTTTGAATACAACTTGGCGCCTAAGCTGTTCCTCACCGAAAACGGTAAGGTCAAGGGGGTGGAATACAATATCAACAAGACCGACGATCTGGGCAAGGCCACCCCCACCGGGGAAACCACCACCGAGCCGGCCGACCTCGTCATCACCCTGATTGGCTACAAGGGTAGTCTCATCGACAACAACTTGGGCATTGGCTTCGCTAAGAACCATATCCTCAATGACAAGGGCCGCGTGCTCACACAGGACTCGCAGCCGATCCCCGGTTTATACTGCAGTGGCTGGATCAAAACGGGGCCTAAGGGGGTGATCGCCACCACGATGTTGGAATCGTTCGACACCGCTGAGCTCATCCTCGAAGACTTCAAGGACGGTAAGCTTGCCGCGCCTGAAGTGGAGCCGTCGCCCCCCAGCAAGGCGATCTCGTGGACTCAATGGGGCAAGTTGGACGAGTTCGAAGTGTCTGAAGGTGAACGCCTCAACAAGCTTCGTCTAAAGGTCGACAACACCCCCGGCATGCTCGCCATCGAAGACAACTAAATCCAACAAATATAGCTTAGTAAGGATAATAATACATTGAAATGATCTCCCAGTAGACTACATGGACCCATAACTGTTTTAATCTAAATTATGTTTTTGTTTTATTACGAATTCGAACTCTTATAAACAATGGAAATTTTTAGACGTAGTTGTGGTATTTGAGAATTTCATCAAAATTTCTGAACACCAACCAAAAATGAAAATTACAGTACACTGATACTTTAAAATTATTTAACCTTTATATTGATTATGCATGCATTACAGATCGACCATGGGTCGTTTTCCATTAGCGTTAGGTGTATCTGCCAGATCTTGCCCCTTCCCTAAAGACGCCCGGTATGCTTCTACGGCCTTCTTGTATTCGTCCATAGCGGCGTCAAGTCCAGTGACCACCGGTTCAAGACACAATTCCAAATCCTGAGCCATTTTGTCCTGTAACTTTTGATTGTCCTTGATAAGTTCCACTTGCTTGAACTTAGCCACCGCCTGGGCTTTGAATGGCTCGATTTCTTCTCTCAGCTGTTTGAGCAGTTTATAAAGCTCTTTAAGTTGCGTGGGCTGGTCGCCATGTAAAAAGATTTTCCAGAAATGCAGAAGAAGCTCGACAACAGTGATGTTGAAAGTGATGATATCCTGAATAACGTCCAGGGGGACGATGTTGGTGGCATCCGCCAGCACTGCGGCTCGTTCCCGGAGTAGCAGTCGAAACACACGATGGTTTTGCTTTACCAAGGCATTGATGCCATGATTAGTCAATTCGATCTCCTTTTCGCGACCCTCGTAGGTGCTACGCAAATCAAGTGTACCCGGTTGGAACATATTGCGATCAAGATAGCTAGAGATGGTAGCATCATCAATTTCAGGACCTCCAGTAGTACCGTGGTCGTCAACCCGTTGCCATCGTTGGCGGTTGGAGTGGATATTGAGCTTGATATACTGTTGTGGGACGTAGTCGTTCAAGTCATGCAAGTCGAGTTCATCAATGTACTCGACTTCCTCACGTTTCGACAAGTCATCCGGTGCACCGGGCTTATCCAGCGCCAGTGGTTGCGAACCTGGCAGCTTTTCTCTCACCATCTTCACCATCTTCCCCAGCAACTTATTCATATTCTTCATCAACAAAATCATTTCGTTTTCGCGGCCGTTATTCTGCTGACGTTGTTGCTGTTCACCGGAGAGTTCCTCTTCAAACTTCATCGTCATGTCAGGGGCGTTACCGAGTTTTTGCGAGTTATCGTCGACGTTAGCCTGGATGTCAATGAACCGGCTAGTGGCTACCTGTTGATCCGATGCCTCCAGGGCATCTTCAGTCTTCAAGAATAAGTACTTGTCAAGCACGGCATCACCACGATTGTTGGTGGTATTGATTTTGTCCCCCCGCAACCGCCGGAAAAGCTTCAGGTTGAAGAACCGCAGCCAGAACTCCCCTTCACTGAACTTTTGCGGCACCAAATCTTCAAAAGCTCGTTTCACCACAGGGTAGGTATCGAAAATCTCATTAATAGTCTCACGTGTGACGTTGACATTGACTTTATTGTCAGACGTCGCTACTGGCTTGATTGTCGACAACACGTTATAAGGGCCCCGATGTTGAGATACCGTCAAGGCATAGGTTCGTAACAAGTTAACTCGAGTCAGCCAAAACACTTTGGGAGGAAGTTTACCCTTAAGAACCGAGTTGGTGAAGATATTGCGGAGATCTCGATCTTCCTGGAGAAGTTTCTGCTGAAGATCAAAGTTCTTGAGGAGAGAGGTGTCTGATAACGAGTCCACCGCTGGGCTTGCTGATGGCATCGGTGTAGTTCCTCTCGAGGTGTCACCGGGAGCGGGAGTGGCGCTGCCTTCGGTGACCACCGTCTTTAACCTGTTCACCACCACCTGAAGCGCTTCCTTGATGTTATTCATGATGGGTCGGTTGGAGAAGGACAACGTGACCAGCTTGTTCTCGCCGTTGTCGTCGTAGTACACCCTGACCTTCATCGCCGCCACCGTCTCCTTCAGCGCCTTAAGCCCCGTGAGCGAGTTGAGGGGCACGGTGACGACCTTCTTCTGGTCAATCAGCTTCCATTCAAGGGTGGAAGGGGTCACGTCTTCCCGGACACTGACCATGCCACTGAGGTTGTCGATAGAACATGCCCCCGAGACGCTGGCCATCTTATCGGTACGCGGATGAAAAAAGTGGTGGGGTTGGGTGACTATATGGCGATTGCTTCCATGAAAAATGGTAAGGAAAATGATAACCGAGTTATCCGGGGAGTGTAGCAAATGGAATAGAGTAAGTAGCGACATGACAGATTAATGATCAAGTCTATCGTAGTAGTAGAGTGGGCTCAGCTGGCAAGCAACCACCACCACTGGTGCGATGCTGTCACCAACCAGATCAAAATCTAAACATAAATTTACAATATTGTGACGTATTCAACACAATGAACCAATAATTCTCAGATTATATCGATACACCTCTCCCTAATTTAGTTGTCTGATCTAGAGAGACACCTCGTCGTTTATCGCGGTGCGCGGCCGAATAAACTCAAACACCGTACGATGGTCGCTGTCCTCCGTAACCTTGTCCGGATCCCCCGCAGTGGGGTGTTGCTGGTGCTGCCGATGCGGTTGATGTCTCGGAGCACGATGTTATACCAAGCCGAGTCGCTGGTGAAGTTGCCTCACCCCAACGTGACGGCTAAGGACTACAAGCCCCCCGTCACCATTGACCGCGAGCTTCCTGACCCGTTTAAGGAGAAGAAGCGTAACCGGTGGTATTTCGTTGCCTACGGTATCGGGGTGGTGGCGTCGTTGGCCATCATCTTCAACTACGAGAAGACGAGATCGCCCATCACCAACTCCATCCTCTACTTCTTGCGGCGGCTGAAAATTGCCCGTGACGAGTTAGGCCCGGGGATCGACTTCACGCTGTCGTGGCCGTGGATCTCTGGCGAGTTGAACACCGTCAAGGGTAACATCGACATTCTGTTTGACGTCAAGGGGGCCAATGGGCCCGGTACCATTAAGTTGAAATGTAACCGGAGTCTGAAGCTTATGCCGTTTGACGTCGAGCACTTTGTGTTGGTGAAGGACGGCAAGCTGTACGACTTGACCAAGGATCCTGAGGTCGACTTTGACATTTAAAGGTGGTTCTCTCTCCGATTTACCATTCTTACCATAACCTGTATATAATCAACTCTTTTTTTTTTTGAAATAAACATTATGAGAAATCGAACTTCGATTTTTTTTCGCACTGAGATAGAGGCGGAAAAAAATTAGTCAGTGATGGTTGCGCTCCACCACCAAAAGAGGATGGTTCAGCCAGCCTTCAACCGCCAAGGTTTCGTTTCAACCCCTGCCAATGAGTAAATGACCTTCCGCCCTTCCCATAGCATAGAGAAGCGAGCAAAATAATTACACTGCGTCGTTGTTCCATCGCTCTCGTGCTACATATTGTCGTGTCTAGGCTACAGAATGCGTCGAGGCCCTCGAAGCAGGGTGCCTAAATGCCGACGATTCAGTCTAGGCAAATGTCGTACGTTAATGCTGATGGATTCAGTTCTTAGGTTGTTTATTAGACTTTTAGATTTCAGGGTCCGGTGGGAGAAGGTTAAGATCTTTGCCCCACGTTAGAGGCGCAACAGTCGCGTCAATAGTTGTGTACAATTTAACCGCTTTGTGCCCATGGTCATGGGCGTTGGCGAATTTTTTTTTAACCGAATTAATTTTAGGCATTACCACCTCAGCGGGCTGCTGCGGCGAAGCAGGCGTGGGCAAAAGCCATTGTTGCTCAGGTGACGTATGGGACAAAGGGGGAGATGACGAAGGTCACATCAATTAGTTGCCATTGCTCTCCGGTGGCTGGTTCGTCCCCTTAATTGGGATTCGACGAGAGGAACCCGAGGGAGGTGAATTGACTATAGGTATGTGGGGCAGCAAATCGAGGCGGTAAATCCACCAACGTAACCAGATTTACAGAACGATTAAGGTATCAAACTATTCATTTTATACTCAGACCATAAAATAACTCAGAAAAAAAAACCAACCTAAACGATATTTTTCAGATAAAAAAAAAACAGTGCATCAGAAGATGCTTTTACCAAACACTCTGAAATTGCGATAATTCGAAGTCGTTTAGTATTCCTTGTCAAGCCATTGCCACTTGAGCTTGAATCTGCCGAGGGCGTGGTCGGCGATCGAGTCAAAGGCAAAGTGCGACAAGTCCAAGTCGTCCTTGGCACAGCCAGGGCACGAGTCGACGACGGTGACCACCACCGACTTACCGTTCTCGGGGTTCCAGGCCTTAATCTTGGCGCCACACACGGGGTTGTTGTTGGGGTTGGCGACGTTGTGTTGGGCCATGATTTCCTTGTAACGGGTGGCAGAGATGGCAACGATGGGGTCGTCAATGGTGTTGGTCCAGCCGCACGAGCCGACGTAGGGTTCGTAGTAGGTACCGTCACCGGAGTAGGTAGCACCCGTGGTGTTGTCGTCGCCGCCGCCCGAAGTAGGCGAGGGCGCCGCCGACGTCGAGGTGGTGGTAGGCTCGGGGGCCTTAGTCGAAGTGGTAGTGGGTTGAGGAGCTTGCGAAGTGGTAGTAGGGGTAGTGGAAGTGGTAGTGGGGGTAGTGGAAGTGGTAGTGGGGGTAGTGGAAGTGGTAGTGGGGGTAGTGGAGG